CGTGGCATGTTCCTATTTGATCCGCGTTGGTGCTAGGACATTGTGGCCATTTGCCGCGCACGCAACATCACGACCATCGTCGACGGCGCCCACGCGATCGGCCAAGTGCCCATTGACCTCGCGACGCTGCAGCCCGATTTTTACATCTCCAATTTGCACAAGTGGATGCTGTCGCCCAAGTCAGCGGCCTTCCTCTACATCCGTGACGTCGCGCGACAAGGGACCGTCCGCGTCCAGCCGTCCATCGTGAGCCACGGGTACGGTGGCGGGTACGGCGCCGAGTTCGGCTTCCTCGGCACCCTCGACTACTCGGCGTGGCTCGCGGTGCCCGCGTCGCTGGCCTTCCACGCGGCAATGGGCGGGAAAGCGCTCATGGCGCGCAACCACGAGCTCTGCGTGCGCGCCGCCAAAACCGTCGCCGCCGCGTGGGAGACCTCGTTGCTTGTCGACGACCCGCAGCTTGTCGGGTCGTTTTGTGTTGTGTTGCTGCCGCCTCGCCTCTTTCCGTTTCCGCTGACTCCGGCCAACACGACGCTCCTAACTCAAGCGCTTGTGACGCTGCACTTGCTCCTCCGACGGGACTATGCGATCGAAGCCATGTGCATTCTGTGCGACCCGACGACCCCCGGCGTGCGCATTGCGGCGCAAATGTACAATGAAGCGTCCGACTACGACAAGCTCTCGGCGGCGGTCCTCGACCTCATTGCCCGTAGCGACGTGACGTACTAGGATCCACATCTCTCTACGGCGTACAGAGGTGAGTGCGAACGAAGACGATCACGAGACAATCGATCGACCGATGGGATGGCGCTCGGCCCACGATTGAACGTTCAGAAAATACATTGCGTAAACTATGCCTTGAAGACAGCGAGGGTCTTGCGGAGAGCGTCGGCGAGTCCGTCGACGACGTGCGCCTTGGCTTCGTGGCACCCGATCGTGAGCGTCGTCGCCTCGGACGGCGCGTAGAAGCGCGTGCCTTTCGAGTGCCGCATGCCCTTCCCGGCCGCGTGCGTGAGCGCCGAGACCCACATCTCGACGTCCTCTGGCTTTTCCGCGAGCATGTGCACGTGCAGATCCATGCGCTGACCGACGACAGGCCCGTCGACCGAGCAAAACTGCAGCGCTTCACCTGGCAAAAGCCCGTTGAGCGTCCACATAAGCGGCGTCGCGCCTTTGACGAGCGTCATGCGGCCCAATGGCACAATGTAGCGCAAGACTCGGGGCGAGTGGTACGTGAAGATGTAGACGCAGTTGCGGCAGAGCACGACCCAGCGCCGGCGCTTGCTGCCGGTGCCAAAGCCGACGCGGAGGTTGCCAGAGAAGGACGTGTCGGACGGGTACACCTCTTGGACATCCGCCAGCTCGGAGCGGAAGCTGTGGCGCATCACCGACGCAAACGTCTTCATCGCTTCGACCGCCGCCGGCGTTTCGTGGCGCCACTCGGGGCGACTAAGCGGTCCAGTAAAAAGGCTGTTGACGCCGACACGGAGGTGGAGGCGGATCGCGTCGCCCTTCTCGACGTCGATGCTGTGGATGTACTGCAGCGGCGCCGACCACTCGAGGGCTGCGTCTGCGTACGAAGCCTCGGGCGCCCACTGCACGTACAAGACGCGCGTGTCCGTAATGATGACCCAGTGCACCTGCGTGACCTTGAGCTTGGCATACACGGACGGCGTTGGCGGGAGCGTCCGGAACGACGGCGACGGCGAGTAAACAAAGGTCTTGCCGACGTCTTCGTCGTCGTCGTCTGCGTCGGACGCGTTGCGCTGCACGTTGGCGCTCTCAAACGTGATCGTCACGGGCCGCGCCGCGCCCTTGATCATGTCGATGGTCTCGCGAAAGCCAATGCGGCGGACGTCGACGTCGCCAATCATGACGAGGATGTCGCCGGGCTGCAGCAGCTTTTGGGTCACGCTGCGCGTCGTGGTCGTCGCCGACTGGATGCTCGACTTGTCCAAGCAATTCTTGATGATGACGCACTCGTTGTAAAAGTCCGTCTCGAGCTCGAGCCCCAACGCTTTTTCGTAAAGACAACGGCGTACGTCGCACGGGCTCCGCCTTCGTCGACGTCGGTCGCGCTCTCAAAGCGCTCCATGCGAAGCACGTGTCGGTGCAGCGGCAAGAACGGCGGCGTCTCCTGCGCCAACTTGGCCTTCCTCGCGAGCTGGTCCGCGGCCACGTGCTGCTCGACGCGCGCGTGGTAGATGATCTTCTCGTGCGTGCCCGTCTTGGACACGAGGAGGTGCGCGGCGACGTCCTCTTCCTTGTAGCAACGCAGCTCGTTGTAGCGGCCAAAGACGCGCGGGAGGCGCACGCGGAGCCCTTGGCGGCCGTACGCGAGCGACCGGTTGCGAATGCCCTGAGTCGCGCGCGATGCAAAGTCAAATACACCCGCGACGGGCTTCATCGGAAGACCGAGAATCCCCGTGACCGTGCCCTTCAAGAAGCCAACCGCGCCGTCCGACTGGGCGCCCCGGATCGGGTTGAGCACGACGCCCGTGACACCCTCGACCATGCCTGGTTGTCAACAGATTTAGCCACGTGGAAGGAGATGGGAAGAAGTACCGAGTGTGAGTTCCCGCGAGCCCTGGATGATGCCTTCTTTGAAGCCGCGGACGTGTCGACGGCGGGCCTTGGCGCGGGCTTGCTGGTAGTGGTCGTCGAAACTCATGGTCGCGAGGCCTTGCCCAAACGTACCCGTGACCTTGGACGTCGCGTCGGACGTGCCATCGATGAAGTTGGTCACAAACGACGTGGCGCCCTTGGCGAGACCTTTACCGAACCCAACGCCGGTGCCTGTGATGCCCGTGCCGGTCCGCGCTCCTTGGATCGGCTCGACAATCAGATCGCGCACCTATATACGTATACCGTCAATGCAAATATTGATCCCAACAAGACGCGCAAATTGTTACCGCCGTGCCGAGGTGGTCGAGCAAACCCGCGGGGTTGCCCAGAAAATCAAACGACCCCAGCACCTTGTGCACTTGCTTCCAGAGCTGCCGCGTGTAGTACTTGGTCACGCGCCGCGTCACCTCGCCGCTCGTACCGAACGCGTGCTCGACGATGAGCGCGTTGAGGCGGATCGGCGCATTGTCCAAGTCGGGCACATGCATACTCAAGCTCGGTATCCACGCCGCGACGGCTTCCTGCATGTGTCCGCCTTCGTCTACCACGTGAAATGCGTGTCATGCTGTTCAAGGTCCAAGGGCAAGGTACCGTCGGACGTGCCGTGTTCGTAGCTCAGCTCGTTGCGCGTCGTGCTGATCGAGTTTTGCAGCATGCGCGAGCCCGAGATCACATCGCTTCGGAACGTCAAGTCGAGTTCGACCGGGTGAATATGCAAGAGCGCGAAGTAGACTTTTCGCTCGAGCGACGTTGACGTTGTCGCGCTCTCGAGCAAGCTCAAGTTGTTGAGCGGGTCGAGCTCCGAGCTCTCGATGCACGCTTTAAAGTCGGCTGCGACTTGCCGCGCACTCAAGGTCGGCGCCACGTCCATGGCCGAGTGGTTTAGAAACTTTTGGCCCGCGGCGCCTTGCTGCTGGTAAATCACCTGGATACGATGACGGTCAAACTCAAGGGGCAAAAATATGTTGGAGGCACAAGCAGCGCAGTACCTGCATGAGAAAGCTGCGGAGCACCGAGACGAGCTCTTCGTCGAGCTGCACCATCATCGGCAGGAGGTGAAACGAGCAGTACTCGAAGTAGTCGGTCGAGCCTTGCTCGTTGGACCAGCCGCAACAAAAATGAAACGCAACGGCGGCCGACGGGTGCTGCGCGCGACAGTCGTCGCAGTGGAACGACGCCGGCGCGTCATCGGACGCCGCCACCTCCTTCGGGCACAGCATCGTCGTAAACGTCGCATCCGGGACTTGGTTGTCGGCCTGGATGTCGCGCACCGTGATGGCAAACTGCATTTTGGTCTCGTGGCGCAGAAACTGGCACGTGAGGCCCTGAAGACTCACGTAGAGCACCTCCATTGGCGTTGCATTCACGCACGAGAGGCCGACGCTGTGGAGCGTGCACTGCACCGTCACGTGCTGGAAGAGCGAGACGGCGCTCGGAGCGATCGGCGCCATCAACGACGTGCTTTCGTCGAGCGCGCGTAGACTCGACGCGTCGCGCGCCCCGACATCATCGTCCTCTTCACCGCCCTCAGTCAGCTCGAGCACCTTGGTCGGACCGTCGGCACGGACGCGCGCATGCACGTACGTCTTGGTGGTCGCCCCGGCCTTCTCGTCGCGCGGGCGAGCGTGTTCGTGCCGCCGCCGGGACGCTTCGTGGACAGTGTCCATGGCAAGGACGATCGCTTGTCGCAGCGCGAGGCACCACTGCCGCGTTTCCTCGGGCGACTCGGTGCGGAGCACATACGACTTGCTCGGCGTCAAGAGCGTAAAGGTCGTACTTGGCGTCGGCGGCGGCGTTGGAATCGAGACGCGGTACAGAACGTCATTGTCTTCAAACACGATATTGTCGACATCCATGTCGGGCGGCGGGTTCCACACCATGAGCATGCCGCACTGCAAAAGGTGCTGCGCGGTCGCGCCCGCGTGGTTGCGCGACGGCGCGAGGTCTTCGTCGAGAATGAGCTGCACAATGTCTTTGCCGGCAGCCAAAAAGAGCTGCGTCGGCGTCAAGTCGGTCGCGGCCAGCGCTTTCAGCCACTCCAAGGCCTTGGCTTCGAGCCACGCCGTGCGCTTGACCAAGGTCGCGAGCCACACGGCAAACTCGACCGACTGCATCTTGAGCGCAATGTTCAGAAACGGATCGGTGGACGACTTGTCCTCGCCGAAAAGCGTGTCCGAAATCGACTTGGAGACCGACCGGAGCGGGTTCATCGACGACGTGGACGGCTTGCGCGTCGGCTTGGCCCAGCCCTTGACCGCAATCGACGACCCGAGCCCGAGGTCAATGACACCGCGGAGCGCGTGGTCAACGTCCGTCAGGAAATAGTAGACCATGTGCTCGTGGATGCGAAAGTAGCGCTTGCTCCAGTTGAACGCGTTGTCCTTCTTGAGGAGGAGGCCCTCGCGCGCGCAGCCGCCGTTGAAGAGCGACGCCGGCAGCGACCGCGTCAATTGCAGCCGCTTGTGCTTCTGCATCGCGTCCAAGTTGTACTCCTTCATGTCGACAATCGCATTGGAGGCGTCGACCGACGAGAGCGACGACGACACTTGCATGAACCGCACTTCGAGGAACCGCTCGAGCACGTGCGATTGCGCGCCGTCGGCCGAGACGGACAAGCTGCCTTCGTGGCTGTCCCACGAGTACGGCACGGAGCTCCGAGGGCCGACCTCGTCCCAGACATCGTCCGGCCAGTGCGCCTGGTGGAAGTGGAGCCGGAACGACGTAAAGTTGTCGATGCGGTACGGCGGCCAGCGCTTGCTCTCGTCGCAAAAGATGCAGACGATCGAACCACCGACGAGCTCGAGCTGGGCTTGCAGGATGTAGATCGCGTGCGGGTCGTCTTTGCCCCGGAGCTTAAGGTACGTTGTGCCGAGCGAGTGCAGCGCAAATGGCCCTGACCACTCCATTTCGCTCGAGGCAAACGTCACCTCGAGGCTCTTTTTTGGCTCGTCGGCCTTGTCCCAGTGGTACGCCTGCAGCGACTGGAGCGGCAACGTCGAGACGATGCTGCACTTGTGCTGACGGAACCAGAGCGGAACGACGTGCGGTTGATGAGCACATAGCGAGGGACGAGCGTCGTCACGATCGTGTCGGCAAATACGCCGCTGCCATACGCGCTCCATAGCGCGAGCTCGTACTGCTTGACAGCGCCCGAGGCCGCGCTGGCGTCGACGAGCGTGATTTGCTGGGCGACGCCCGAGTTGCCCATCGCGTTGCGGTGGATGCGGACGGGCTCGGACCAGCTGCAGCGGCCCGTCCGCACGCGGAGGACGTCCCAGTGACTGCTCGCGCTGCTTGAACGCGAGCCAAAGTTGATGACTTCACCCCACTCGACGGGCCGCGACTGTGCCGGGAACGACTGCTGCCGGTTCAGAACGAGCGCGCGCGGCGTGCTGTGGTGGACGCTCGCCGTGCTGCTCTCGTCGTAGAGCCGCAGCGTGTTCATCGCGATGCGGTGGCAGAGGTGCAGACCGTGCTTGCGCCCAATGTTGCGCAGCGGCGCTTCCATGTCCGTGAGGATGTGGCCGTACCACCGGTCGCCTTCTGGTCGGCCTGCGCTGCGCAGCGAGACGAACCGCGGCAAGACGAGCTCGAAGAACACGTAATCCGAGAGCACAACCGTCGAGCCAGCGCTGAGCCCGCCGACGCACAGCACTTTCTGAATCACGTCGCTCAGTGTCGTCGACGGAAGCACCGACAGCACCACCGACGTGAACCGGTTCGTCGAGAGGTACACTGTAAGCTCAAACGGTGCGTCCGACGGCGTGTGGCGAAGCAGCGGCAAGGATGACGACGCCAAGGTGCCCCGGGGCGTCGTCGCGATCGTGCCCCACGACGGCTGGTCTTCGGACGGCATCTGATGCACGGTGGCGACCGAGATGGAGAGCTTGATGCGGCCGACGACGCCGGTCGAGGTCGCGCGGCGCGACACCTTGCGCTTGGTGAGGTCGTGCCACTCAAAGCCGGCGTAAAACTCGCGTCGACTGAGCACGTCCATGAGCGGGATGGTCACTAGACAAGAGTTCGGATACAACACATGAGGATGTTGTGCACGTACAAATGCCGAGGTTCGTGTCGAGCCACGTCGAGCGCACTTCAATGACGACGCTAGCCGACGGCAGCTGGTAGTGCAACACGTCTTTTGGAAAGTCGAGGTACAGCGTGTTGTTGTGCTCGTGGCCAAACGCGGGCGCAAGGCCGCCGCTCGCGACCGGCCGCGTCCGCGCCGTGCAAAACAAGCTCTCGAGCAAGCTGTTGGTCTTGGCATCCTGCTTGGGAATGAGGAGCGACGCTTTCACGTACGGGCTCTGGTGGCCCCAGTACTTGTGCGAATTGAAGAGGTCCTTGGCCGAATGGACGACCACGTACAGACCCACGGGCACGATCAGCGCCGGTTTCTCAAACAGCCGGAGCTCGTCGTCGCGGGCTTGCTGGTGCACCGGCGACACAAAGTCGTTGTGACTCGTGAGGTGGCGCCGCTTGGACACCGATGCTCGCGGAAGAAAGCGCGTTGCCGCCGACACACCAGGTCGTGCGTGGAGGTATGTAGTCGCTGCCTCGAGCGTCTTGGGGTTGCGACTCAACGCGTCACAGTACTCAAGAGGCAGACCCGTGTGGTTCACAATCCAGAGAGCGCTGTAGACGACAATATCGCGGTCCTTGCGCTTGAGTCGCAGCTGCAACTCCGGCACGCGCCCTGCAAGCCTTGTCGATATATTGTATCCAGCTATCAATTACCTTGCGTGTCCTTGTACGCACTGGTGTCGGGGAAGACGCGGCCTTTGAGCGCAATGCTGTCGATCGACTCTTTGAACGGAACCGCGGTTTTGCTCGAGACAACGCTGAACGGTTCGCTCCAGTTGTAGTTCTCGATCCGGAACGACACAAACACGTCCTCGGCGCAATTGACTTGAAAGAGCGGGAGCACGTCGCCGACGGGCAAAATACCTTCTGCTACCTACGCATGTGTGGTCAAGTACTGGCAGCATGCATGCACGAGGCGTACGAGCTGGAGGCTCTGGGCCAAGACGCGGTACGCCACCGGCGACGCGAGACGGTTGTGCAGCGTCAAGTACGGCTTGAGCGTCAGAATATGGGCGTAAATCGGGTCACCGCCACTCTGGCCTTGCTTGGCGTGCTTGGCTTCTTCCAGTACGTCCACAGCCACTGCGTTGTTCTTGGAGCCTGGCGTTGTCATCGGCGCCTCGTCAAAGATGGTCGACGTTTCGTCCTCGACCACTGTGGACTCGTCGTCGTGCAGGCTGCTCGCGGTCGAGAGCCGGCGGTGGGTCACCTTGGCGCCACCGCTGCTGCCGCCGACCGACGTGTTGAGCAGCACGAACGCATCCACGTCGTAGACGCACTGCCATGCCGGGAGATCGCGCACCAGAAAGCCCGGAAGGAGCTGCTGCTCGAGCTCGCGCTGCTTGACGCCGCGGTCTTCTCGGAAGCGGCACACGCACGTCCCGGTCTTGACAAAACGCCGCTTGGCTGACGTGAAGCTCAAGTTGGCGCTCTTGATGTCGTCCTCAAAGACGCTAAACGACGACGCGAGCGGCGCGTAATCGGCGTCGGTCGACGGCCGCAAGCTCATGCGCGCGTCCGGGTGGATGAGGTGCAGCGGTACGTACGACGTCGCGTCCCGGTCGACGACCCACTCGTGCACGTGGCCCGGCGGCGAAAATCCCCACAGAAGCAGCGGCATCGCTGTCTCGTTGCGCAAGAGCACTTGCGAGTGCAAATGAATGAGCTTACTTCCGTCTTCCTGGAGACTCACTTCGGCGACAATCACGGGCGGGTCCAGCACGTCGTCTTCAAAGTCGTCGGTGCGCTTCATACAGATTGCTACGTTCCCGACCACGTCAACTGCGACGGGGTGGACACTGGCCCACTTGGTGTTGGTGACCCACACATACCTAGTCGCGGACCGTAAGTATCCAGTAGTATCCACGCGGGAGAGATATATCGCACAGCGAGTGACTGGCCGTGAGGTTCGACTTGTGAAAGATGAGCGAGTCGACTTCCGACGCCTTGTCAAAGGTCCGGAGGTGCGTGCTCTTGTCGCGGCAGTCAATTGGGACGACTTCGAGGTGCGAGACGGTCTTTTGGATAAACGACTGGCCGTGCGCAAAGCTAAACTTGATGTCGCTTCCGAGGCTGTTTTGGAGCCAGAAGGGCGTCGTGACCTTCTCACCCGTCGTGACCGCGTCCATCGTGTGCAGCGCTTCCATCGACAGCAGCGGCGCCATCGCAGGCGTCATGTTGACGTTGAGCGTGAACGGCAAGTTGACCTTGACGTCCATCGTCTCGGCCATCGCGCTAATACTCTGCACCTCGAACGGCTCAATGAGCGGCTCCCAGCGGTAAATGCTGTTGTTAAAGTAGTTGCAGTGCAAAATCCCACCGACGCTCATCGAGGCGCCGTCGTCGAGGAGCGCTTCGTACTGACACTCGATCTCCGACATGACGAGGTCCGCAATCGGCACCCCGAGGCTGTTGTTGACCAGCACGACGCGCATCGCACCAATGTCGGCGAGGAGCCGGTCGTTGAGGAGCCGCAGCGGCACGGCGACGTACGTCAAGACAGGGCCGCAGTGCGCCGTGGCCACCGACGTCGTCGAGTACGTGTGGAAGATATTGCCGAGCAGCGTAAAGTCCTGAATCGACAGCCGCGCTTCGACGGGCTGCACGATCACCGCGCTCTTGTCGGCGTGGAGCGAGATCGCGTTGCGCTGCGTCGCATCAAGGACACCGTCGGGTGCGCCGGTCGGCGCCATGTACTGCATGAGGTGCATCATCTGCAGCGTGAACGGGTTCATGAGCGGAAAGTCAACGTCAATGTGCAAATCGGGCAGCGACGAAAAGTAAAACCCGCGCTGCTCGACCGTCAGATCCATCTTGGTCGTGCTCGTCCCCGAGTCGACGTCTTGCGTCATCGTATACTCGAACAGGACTTCGGCCATGAGCACGAGCGTTCTACAGGCCGATATACATATACATCTTTGTGGATGGACTCATCAAGGCACGCATACCGCGTCGTGGGCACGGCGAGGTCTTCCAAGAGGTAAAAGCAGCTCTGCTTCTCAAAGACGACGTGCACTTCCATGAGCTTCCACTCAAAGAGCGGCGGCGCGACAAAACCCAGCTCGCTCGACGGTGTCTCGGCCCAGAACGGCCACGAGAAAAAGTTGCGCAGCATCGCGAGCGACGACGGCACGGCAAGAACGTGCGACCGACACACGTGGATCGTGTACACGCCGTCGGTCCAATTCGTCTGCGCGTGGATCGACACTTGCGGCTCGGATGCTTCGGCAAACGCTTGCATCGGCCGCACGACCTCTTGCCCCGCGTCGTCGACGATCGAGAGTGCTTCGGTGCCGATGTGGAGGTCCATGACATCGCTCGTGCGCATCGTTACGAGCATCCGAAGCTCTTCGAAGCGCAGCGTCGACGACATTTCCGGACCTTGCAGCGCCTTGGCCAGCGTCAGGGACGCGTCGACGACCTGAACAGGCACGCGCAGCCACTCGACGTCACAGCCGTCGGCGTCGACGTGGAAGCCGCCGCAGATGGCGCAGAGCGGCCACGTGTCTTCGTTGACGACGCTGTTGGCTTCCTTGACGTTTTCCTTGATAAGACCGAGAAGCGTCGCGTACTGCATCTCGGAGAGGCGCAGACTCCACTCGTTCAGAAGCACGCTCACGACCAGAATCGGGTAGTTGATGAGTTGTTCGTGGACGTGCTTGAATTGATCCTAACGCATGCGTGAAGCCTTGGGCTCGAGAGATTCAACAAGACCTTGTAGTCGACCGTGAGCGAGCAAATCGCGTGCTCAAACATACTGCCGCTCGCCGAGACGCCGCTGAGACCAATGAGCTCGATTGCCAGCCACGGTAAGTGCGACGTCGGTGCGTCTTCGGTCGCGTCGTGGAAGGCCGCGTCTTCGGCGCCAAAGAGCGACCCGGCAGCGTACTGCGGCATGCTCGACACCGACTCTTCGATCGCTTCGATCGAGTGGCTTCTGTACCGGCCGTTCCGCACACGCTCGTGCGCCAGGTCCTCCTACAATCATCGTACATGAGTCGCCGCGATGCCTACTCTAACGAGAACGTACGTCGACGCTCCGTGTGGCCTCGATTTCCGACTCGAGAAACGCAAGGTGGGCTTGGAGGGACGCGAGGTTCTCTTCGACGGCCTCAAATTTTGCACTCAGAATCTCGCACGCTTGGTTGGCCTGCGACACGATCACGACCGACTCGGCGTCGTGTCCGCCTTGGTGCATGTAGTGGTGTTTCTGCCGCAGCGCCGTCTTGTGGTCCGCGAGCAGTTGGCCGCGGCTCACGAGCAGCTGTGCGCGCTGGCTCTTGACGAGTCGCCGGAGGTTTCGGAGCTCTCGGCGCCGCAGCTCTTGGAGGCGCGACGCCGACGACGCGCCGCGCGGTGCGATGTCCATGGCGCCAGGTCCGTCTACCTCGTCCGCGAAAAGCCCCGTTTGCACAAAGTTGGACGGCGCGCCGGCGTCGTGCACGGTCGAAAGCGATCCGTTGGTGCTTTTGAGCCAGATCACCTCTTGCGAAAACGAATTCTTTGGCAGCGCAAATTGCAGGTCGTGCGCGACCATCTCGAGACGAAACTCGGCGTTGACTTCGGGCGCGACCGGGACAAAACCGTTGTCGTCGTCGTCGTCGAGGTCGTCGCCGTGCCACATGTACACGGCGCGGCGCTGCTCCAGACTCAATGGCGACCAGAGCAACTTGGGCAAGACGACGTCGCGCAAGTAGTGGCTAAACTGCTTGTACACGCGGTGCAGATACCGAATCGCGACTGCGTCCAAGCGCAGCTGGAGGACTGACCACACTTTGCCTCGCATCTCGTCATCGTGGTACGCGAAGAAACGAAAGTCCACGTGCTGTGGCACGTCTCCGTCGGCGCCAATGACGTCACGGTACCGCATGGTGTCCGACGTTGGTGTCAGCGTGTGGGTTTGGTCGGTCAAAACTAGCTGTTTGAGCGTGCCGCGCACGTCCGTCGTCACGTCGCAGTACGGCTCGTAGCCAAAGCAGCTCCACGCCGCGTGCGACGCGCTTATCGTCCCGAGCAGCGATGACGTCGAGCCGTCACAGCGCACGCATCCGTCGTGCGTGCCGTCGTTCACATGGAACAAGTCGACGCGCAGGCCGTGCTCGAGCCACACGTGCACTTGCCACGTGTTGTGAATCGAGTCCCGCGGCGTCCATACTGCTGGCACGGACGGCGTCGGCAGTGTGACGTGGCCTGCCGCGAGCGACGCGTGGAGCTCGCCCATGGCTAGCCACTCGGTGACGTGGCTCAGAAACGGAAGGTACAGCGCTGCTTCAACGTGATGCGCTTGCACGTGCAATAGGTTGACAGCGAGACCATGCAGCGTCATCTTGTCGGAGAAGGCAAAGCCGGACCGCGGACACGACACCGAGTCGATGGACGAGGGCGATGCTAGCCGGAGCATCGCTTTGGACGACGGCACGTCCAGGACGAGGAGCGACGCCACGTTGCACGAGATGTGCGAGAGACTCGAGCAGATGTGCGATGCCACACAGCACTCGGTGATGGTCAATCGACCCCACGGCGCGCCGGCACTGTCGAGCGTCGTGAGCGCCAGCGACGGAACGCGGCACTCGATCGCCCACTGCGCGTACTGCGTCGGGATCCACGTACAGTGCGGCGACGACTGCGGCGACAACGCCGGGTCGGATCCACCGGTCCACTTGCCAACGAGAACGTGCACGTGCCGAAACTCGTCCTGCGTCACTTCGATCGCAATCGCCGGCAGCACCGCCTTGAGCGTGTAAAAGTACGTTTCCTCGCCGACGCACGAAAAGTGCGCATTGAAGCCTGTGGGCTTCACGGCCGCCACGGGCATGCTCGGCCCCGACACGAACGTGTGCGTACACTGGTGTGCCGACGGCTGCCACGCCGACCGCGTCGGGCTCGTGAGCTCGATGGACGTGCTGGGACAGGCCCACAGGTCGTGCCGAAGAGCATTCGACGACGAGTAGAGATCCATACGGCCCCATGAGACGGTCGACGTCAACGACGCGTCCGTCTCGATCGTGCGCACGTGGAACGCATCGAGGTGGCAGCCAAAGACAAACGGCTGCGGGTCGGCCATCGAGAGCTCGATTGTGAGCGCCCGGACAGCGACGTCAAGTAGCGGGAGCGGCGCGGCGGCGAGCGTTGTTTTCGGCGTCGTTGTGACTTCTTTCGTTGGGTACAGCGAGCTCCAGCGGTCCCACCACTGCCACATCGGCGAGATGAGTTCATTCCACTTCCAGCACGACGCTTCCGAGACGACGAGGTGCATCGAGTGGGCCATGTGCCACGAGAGCGACATTTGCGCGCCCACGAGTCGACTTTCGTACTCGGGGAGGCGGCAAACAACATTGAGCCACGGCGCGTCCGACGACCGATCGACGTGCAAGAGACTCTTGACCGGCGATGCGGGATCGAATTCTTGGAGCGAGATTGCGTGCATCGATACTTGGACTTCGCTTTCGACGCAGCTCTGCCGCCAGAGCACGCGTGTGCCGTCGATGGCCAGGATCCAATGCGTTCGCTCTGTCGAGTAGTCGTACTCATCTACGCATTCCTCATAATAGGGAAACCCATCATCGCACAGCGTACCAAGCAGGTTCTCGGACCGGGGAAAGATCGAGAGGTGGACGGGCGGCGTGATCTCGACAGCGACGGTGAGGCTGGGCGGTGACACGGCGTCCTGAAAATCGTCGTCGTCGTCGTCGTCGTCGTCACTGTCGATGCCATGGCTTGTTTTCGGCGCAACGGGCTCGACGTCTGCCAAAAGCCACTGCTTGGCATACGTCAGCACCGCGACAAAGCCCTGGTTTTGTTGCGCCGACGCCGTGAGCTCCGTGAGCTTGTCGTAGTGGTCGTACGGCGCCTTGACTTCGTTGAGGACCGCGCACAGCACGTCGACGTGGACGCTCTCGAGATGAAACGTGAGGACGTCCGGTTGCACCGAGACACTGCGGCACGTCGAACACGGCGTGACGTTCGAGCTCTGATGCAGAACGATGCCGAGCTCGACGTCGGGGATGGCGGCACCTGCGCTTTGATACGAGAGCGTCGCCTACCCACATGTATGCTGCCACCCATCACAAAGAACCGATCGATCCATCTACCTTGATGTCGCTCGACCAGTTGTGGAAGACGTAGAAGCGCGTGTCGTCGTCCATGGGACTGGTGGGGTTCGTGTACAGCGAATACGGGACGACGTACGTCGAAATGTCTTGGACTTGGAGGCGCTAGATCGAAATGAGATTCGGGTTCAAGTGGATCTGAAGCACCTTGCGCGACTCTTTGGCGCCGCTGGCAGGGTCGATGAAGGTCGGGACCCAGTTGCCGTCCGTGTTTTGCAGCAGGACGCGCTCGATGGCGCAGACAACGTAGCCAGGCGTCTATCCCGACATGAGCACTCGCGGACAAGCGCGTAGCAAACCTTCTCGACCGAGTCTTCCAAGCACTCGTAGCGCACTTCGATGTCTTCGAGCTCGATCTGGACGTTGCTCATGATGCATGCGAGCAGCTTGGAGAGGTACGTCTTGTCCTGCTCTTCGCTCGCTGCGACTTGCACCTCGGTCGACGGCTCATTCGACGTGGGCATGGCGTGTGCGTAGATGCGGATGTTCTGCGCCTTGACGACAACGGGCTGGCTCCACAGCGAACGCCACGGGATCTGCACCTGGAGCGCGCCGACCTTGCCGCGGCCGACGGCCAGGCGCATCTGGAGGTCGGTGAAGGTGAGGTCGCCGTCCCAGATACTGAGCTCCAGCTGCGCCGCGTCGAGGGACAGGAACTTGCCCAGGAGGCGCTGCAGCATGAGGGCGAGCGCGCGCTGGATCATGCTGGACGCTGTTGCAAACTGGAGGACACGTTAGGCTGCTTCGAATTTTAGCCAATCCAAATGCTTTCTTTGTCCATGGAGCCAATCAGAGGCAGTGCACCCATGAATTATTGCCGTCAGCACTCTAATGCAACAAAACGCAAGTTGGTTGCTCATACAATGCAAAAATGCAACTAGAGTCTGCAAGTCTCTAGGCTATTCTCTGGCGCTTGACAGGGCCCTGGCTCAAGAAGGCGTCGACGTCCCACTCATCCTGGCGAATGTTGTAGGCGCCGTTGAGGATGACGAGGACAGTCGTGTCCCGGTGGTACTCGAGGCCAGTGATGAGCTTGGGCGTGATCAAAAGTACTGCGGGAGCTTTCCACCGCACGACGATCGCGTGATGCGCTTGAACACCTTGCGCTCGTTGTGGATGTCCATACCCTACCCCCATATATACATGCATCGATCCCTCATTGCCACGCGTACCTGGTTGATCTCGTCGACGACTCGGAACGGGCACTTGGTCAAGCTCTGGAGCGCCATCAAATACATGATGGTCCCGACCGATTTTTCCTACCAACGCGCACAAGTTACGACGTGTAAGAAGGAGGAGGGTGGCGGTCGTACGCCGCCCGACTGCTCCTCGGCCGTCATGCGCGTGAGCTTGGCGTTCATGCGGAACTGCGCACGGCGCTCAATGCCCCACTTGGCCACGTCCTAGAACACATACGATTTGGAAAGCGTCGTATCGCAGAGCGTACGTCGTCGTCCTTGTTGAGCAAGACTTCGCCGACGCAGCCAATCTCTTGAAAGTACTGCTGGAACGACGTGTTGATGTTGTCAACGACTTTGACAAGCTTCTTGACCCATGGGTCCTAGACCAAGGACAGTGATGAGATCGAGCAGTGTCCAGATCGATACATGTGTACCTTGACTTTGTTGATGCGTTCGGTGAGCGTCGCCGCATTGTGCGTGAGCTGCGCCAACTGCGCTTCTTCGTGCGCAATCTCGGCGACGACGCGCTCGTACACCTCGACGATGCGCATGTCGCCGCGAAAGTACTCTTGCGCAGCCTTGTTGTTGTCGATGCGCGCGCGGAGCTCCATAATGTCGTGTGGCAAGTCGTTGAAGATGGCCTCGAATCGGTCCCATGGCGCCGCCTCCTCGGCCTTGGCCTGAAGGCGGGCCGCGCGGGCACCGATGCTCTTGACCGCCTCTCGGGACTCGAGGTACTGCGCTTCGAGACGCCTAGTGGCATCGGTAGCACCACGCGACGAATCGCAGGAAAGCGTACTTGAGCTTGGCCGTCTCTTCTTTGATGATGCGAGTGACCACCGTGTGGCGCTGCTCAATCGTTTGGCTTTGGAGCGCGAGTTCAGCCTCGGCCGTGGTGGCGTCGATCAACGCATTGGCGGCCTCGAGGCTCGATTGCAGCACCTTGGCGTGCCTACGCTACGGGTGAGCACCATTCTCAAGGATGCAAGAGTACTTTTGCGCAAGAAGCTGGAGCTTGCGCTCGTACGCCTGCACCTTGTCCGAGTAGTCCTACACACATGTGAGTCGCTCGCTGTACATGTCAGAGAGCGTACCTTGGCCAACTCGGCTTCGTACGACCGGACCTTGTTCTTGCGGATTTCGATCTCGTCAATGAGCTTGTTGCGCGCGCGGAGTTGCTCGCGCACTTCGTGCAGTTTCTGCGTCACCGTGTGCTTGCGCGCAGAGTACTCGCGCTCCTGGCCCTTGGCGGCTTCGAGCTACGAAGCGCATGAGGCGTCGGTTGGCAGACCATCGAAAGTCACCTTGTCTTGGGCGGCGCGGATTTGCTGGATGAGCTCGTCCTTCTTGGACTGGAGCTGCTCCTTGAGCTCTTCGTTCGCGTTCGAGACGCCGAGGTAGCGGCACTTTTTGAGGTCGTTCGTGCGCGTCGTGGTCGAGCGCTCGCCGTATTTCGACACTGACAACAACATGCGTGAGATATATGCCGACCGCATCGAGTCCGGAACGTACCTGCGGAAACGTACTTCTTGGTCGGTGTGCAGAACGCCGCCTTGTGGTTCATACGCGTGAGCGGCGTGAAGATGTCGACGCCCTTGTTGATCATGTTCTCCGTCTCTTGGGATGCGATCAAGACGGTGTGGATACCGCCAAAATTGCGGAGGACCTCGTGCACCACCTCTGGCGCCTTGATCACCTAGAGTGCCATACGTATTATGCAAAAATGAACCAGCGGAAACAAAGTACCTCGTCGATGTAGCAGCTCATGCCATACTGCGTCTGCATCTCGTGGAACTGGGCGGGCGTATATGGTCGGTCGAAGCTCTTGCCTTTGCCGTCTTCCACGTTAGTGACCGAGATACCGAGGCGGTTGGCGCCTTCGTTGAGCTCGCGAACCATCGTGTTGTAGTCTTCGTTGCACTCAGTCACAAACGACGTAAGCTGCCAGTTCTGGACCGTGTCCTCGAGACACTTGGCGTGGAAGGGGTCCTTGACTTGGATCTATCATCACGCGCATTGGTCCTCGCGGCACCGAGATGCGACACTCGTATTACCTCGAGGGCCAACGGGCCCCAAACCTTGCGTCGAAATTTCTCCTGGTTCTTCTGCAGCCAGTCGTACGCACGCATGCAGCTCGGGTCCGCCGTGCTCAGGGCGTGCTTGCGCTGCTCTTGCTCGTTGTTGAGCTTGCCGAGCTGGGCATCGAGGCGGCGAATCTCGTGCTCGAGTTGCGCGTACTACATCGAGACAAGCACGTAAGCTCATGCCCACAGCCAGCGGCGACGCACCTCGCGGGCCACAGAGTCTCGCTGCAGCTTGATGTCGGAAAACTAGCATGCGACGATATCAACCTGTTAAGATACCACGCTCGCAGCGCACCTCCTGCTCGAGGTTCAGATACTCTTGGTCCAGAGCCGACTTGTTGCTGCGGAGTTCGCCCTCGTCGGGCAACGCCACGAGTTTTTCTTCGAGCTGCGCAGCACCATCATGTAAACCAACCACCAAGTCTACGGGAAGGGCGTACCGAGCGCAGCTCCACGAGCATGCGGTCGAGTCGGTCTTGCATTTTGGCGTGTCGACCATGCACTTCGCGCAGATCCATCTTGATCTGCCCTTCTTCGCCCTCCATGACGTCCATCTACGTCACGTTGTTGTTCGTCATTGTACGATGCAAGAAGAAGCGGTCGGACCTGGCGCTTGAGGTTGTCGAACGCCTTTTCTTGCGCCTGCTTGCGCTCCGAGGCGGCCTTTTTGCTACGACAGCGCTGTTCATGTCAAGAAGGCGAAGCGACACGTACTCGTTGCGCGCCGCAAGCCCTGCCTGCGTTTGCTCCTTGAGCAGTCGCTCAAGTGGCGTCAACTGCTGCGCTTTGGCTTCCTACGATAGAAAGGTTTAGCATGAGTTGTCACCAGAAGCCACGGGGCGAACCTTAAGAGCTCGCTTGAGCGCCTGGGACCTGTTCAGTTGCTCCTGGACTTGGGCCTTGCACTCTTCGAACTCGAGCCACAAGAGCTTCTTTTCCATGTTGCGCGTCTCGGTAAGGCGCAATTCGTGCTCTCGAATGCGTTCGACTTCGGTCTTGCGCTGGGCGTTCTCAGTCTTCTTCAACTCCAAGCTCGCGCGGGCGGCTTCCAGGTCGCGAGCGCTGGAGCTGCTCTCACGCTGGATCGCGATAACTTTTCTTGCTCTTCGGCAAGTTCGCCGTCGTCGATCGCCGCTTGCGTCGCCTTCAGCAGCTGGACAGGCGTCATGCGCGAGAACTCGCCGACCTACCGCGAGGACTTCAGTGTTCGTTCCTTATATAGCCCGAGGTGTACCTTGTCTTGGGGCAAGAACTGGCACAAGTTGTCGATTTGGATGGAAGACTCTTGCAGTACGGACTTGATCTTGTTCTGCCCCGCGTCCCGGCCGTTGAGCTGCCACGTCGACCGGTTGTCCCGGTAGATCGTGCGGCGGATGGTAATGTTGCCCGTCGAGAAGAAGAGCTCGACCTCCGTGAAGCCAGAGTCCTGCTCGTGCTTGACGAACTGGCCGACCTTCTCGGCTCGTCCGAGGATCTTCGTGGACCCGCCGAGGCCGACGCAGAGCGCGCAGACGATGGACGACTTGCCCGTCCCGTTGGGGCCGAGGACGACGTTGAGGCGCGGTCCCGGGTACAGCTCTGCGTCCGTGTACGTGAGGAAGTTGTGCAGCCGCACGCGGAAGATGGAGCCCTCCATGTACTCATCGCTCGAGCTCATGGCGGCAACTTCGATCGGTTTTGAGACTGCCCAATATGGACCAAGCGTATCCGGACATTCTCCTTGGCGTGGCAAAGCCATTTGGTTTTTGTATCTGAATCTATCGTCCGGATATATTTTTGGTGGGAAACCTGTATATGCGGAAAACTTCGGGTACATGTAAAAATGGCATGTGCCACTTTAAGGATATGCCAGTACACTTCCCTGCTGCTATATCATCGAGCGCCTATGTCGATGCGTTCCGCACCTTGCCACGCTCACTGTCGCATTTATCTGCAAATAATAGTACGCAATCAACCCACGAAACGGGGAGGTGCACGAAGCCCGGTTGTCACCTTTCTAACCCGCGGATTGGTTAGTGTGGCATATGCCGAATTGGACCGGTTCGGAAGCATGTGAAATTCAAACGGTGGAGGACGGGGCGACCAACATGGATCGCAAGACCTTGCTGGAGACGAAGCTGCGCGAGCTAGACGAGCAGGTCGAGGAGCGCTGTCGGAAGATGCAGAAGCTCGTGGATACGCATGTCGCCGCCATGAAGACCGAGTTCGCCCGCGACCTCATGACGCTTCCCGAGAACATCCTCAACATGCCCCTCGACGAGTTCATGCAGAAATACAACGGCAGCCTAGACTCAGCAGGTCCCACGTCGGAGCGCCGATCGAGCCTTCGCATCCGCAACATGTCGATCTCCAAGTACAGCACACCGTCCAAGCCCGTCGAGATTGAGACGCCAAGCCGACGACGAAGCCTCCGCACGCCATCGACCGTCCGCCGGCGTCAAGAAGGCGAGATCACGTACTCGGCACGTGGGTCGCCCATTGACCCAGACGACATGGGAATCAAAGGCAAGCCGAAGCTCTTCGTCATGCTAGATGAGAAGGACATGACGCACATGAACCTGCGCCTCGTCGACGACAAGACCAATACGGAGACCGAGGTCGACTTCTCGAGCGCCGACGCACTCGACAAGCTGCGCAAAGAAGGAAAAGAAGACCTTGCCATTCTGCACGTCAAGCAGTACAAGCAGCGCATGCAAGCGTACTGCGACGAAATCATGGCCAAGCTCGCCGAAGGCGCGTCATAGCCCTTGTCCTCGTTGTAGCAATGCATGGTTCTATGTGTCTTTAGTCGTCGGCTTTCACGCGCTTCCGCGGCGGATCCTCGACGGCAGGTTGAGCGTGGTCAAAGACCTGCCGGACGTTGATGTTGAGGCGGTTCGAGCGTACGTATGCGGCGATGGACCCATACAGCGCACCGCAATCCTGGAGCTCCAGAGGGAACGCGGGGAGATTCGTCGTCGGCAGTGTCTTAGCAATACCTAGGTCGCCGCTTCCGCATCGTATAATGGGCACCAAGTGAAGTCGCACCGTGGAAGCATAGGCGGGAAGCGCCGCCCATGACGACAACGTCGCCACTGCGAAGTAAGATCTCGATCGGCGCCTCGTCTTTTGTCAAACCGCCTTATCAACGATATCAACATGTACCGCGTCGCGTCGTCTGCTTACCTTTGAGAAAGATGGCGCTCGACCCGATCGAGAAGGACACGACCGGGTACGCAAACGTGACTTCAACGTTGTCTTGGTGACCGCCCATCGTCGACGACGCCTTGTAGTAGTTGACGAGTGCCGCCTCCGATGTAATATCGAGGCCCACCGCCTTTGCGCACGCGACACCAATGCTCTGCAGCAGTACTGGGACCTCGGACCCAGGCGTCCCAGGGTACGCGCGGTTGGTCCAGTCGTAATGATACCCGAGGGCGGCCCAGTGGAGCTTGTCCATCGGGTCGGGCTGCCCGGGTAGCCGCGACGTCGACTTGGCCCAGATCCCTTCCACCTACATGTATATACCTCAGATTGATTGCCCATGTAGAAGAGGACGTACGTTTTGTCCGAGCGGATGCAAGTTGGTCGTGTGCGGCGCCTCGGCGTACTCGGTCAAGCACTTCTCAGCGAGCAAGCGTTGCGTCGCTGCATCCAGTGCGCCTGGGAGGATGAAGAAGCCTGCGTGTACATAGCTATCGTCGTGTGCGACAGCGCCTGGCTTCCGAAGCGCATAAATCGGGCAAGTAGCGCCAGCGGAGATCGCGCAGCTGCCCACCTCGTCGACCCATGTCGCCTGGGCAGGCGTGAGCGCTTGGACGTCAACGAGGTCGGCGGCCTCTGGGATGCGATCCCCGTCGTCGCCGAAGAGGTCCTCGGCCGTAGCGAGCTTCGTGCGCTTCCACTTCTTCTCGACGGCCTTGTACGCGTTCATCGAGTGTCGCGTGGATGGGCCCGCGCAAAATGTATGTGCTACGAATTGCCAGATCGAGTAATTGGCCGACCGCTGCTAAAACGTACTTTGTCCCAAACGCACCCAATACGCGGCAAAACGTTTCAACTGATGCGCACGCGTTGGTTTGCTGCAGCGTTATCATGGAGGGTCCGGCTCGTCTCTACAGTCGCCGATGTTCGACCAAGTGTACGTACCTGTAGATCATGGGTCTCTGCTCATTCTCTTGCGACGACCGTCGCTCTCAAATCAGATTGTGCTGTATGATCACACGACGCTGCTTGAGTGCAGAGTGGGCAGTGCTGGTTCGCACGACGTGCGTCAGTGACGTGCGTACGTTGCCACGGATGACGCATGCAATGGGTCTCTATGCATCAAGTCATTGACACCGCCAGTTCCGCGCAGGAACCTTCTGGCGTGTTCGGGACAAAGTCCGTTTTAAGCGCTCGAGGTGCGAATTACACCTGGGTTTTTGGGACAAAGACTGGTTGCTTTGTGTCGCAGATTTACGCTTGCAGTTCCGAGGCATATCCGGACTATCACGGTGTTTATCCGGAGGGCGGATCGCCATTCTCACTCAGTACAGTGCCAGTCGCGAATAAGAAAGATACACACGACGTCGACCGCGGTCCAGACCCCGACGACCACGACGACCATCATGACGGCGTCCCAGCACATGCTTCCCCAGGGGCCACAGCGCATGGAGACGTACGGCACGATCAATGCCGGCTCAAGGAAACCTCTGCCATTGCGCCCGCTGCAGAAGCCGCCCAAGACACCAAGCCCGCCACCGCCTGCGAGCATCTACCGGTCGCCGATCCCTCGCCGACCGCTCGTGCGCAAGAAGAGCAGCGTCGAGTTTTCCGTGTGCGTCGAGATCAACGACGCCGAGTCGTCGCGCCGAGGCGAGTGCCGGCGTCTCTCCCAGGTCGAAAAGGAAGAGCTGTACAAGGTGCGACCGGACCTCGCGATTGAACCGCCGCGCTCGATCCAGGAGCTCGACAAGGACCGACTCGAGAACCAGCGTCGGTTTGTCATATCGATGTTTGTGTCGTTTGCGTGCATGCTGCTCCTCATGATGTTTTACGCGGTCATTGCGATGAAGAAGCCGCCGGCACCGTGAGCTGTCCCTCCTCTATCTATGAACTCACTACATACAATACACAACATTGCCGATTTGTAATCGCGTATCGTGGCGACCTCTGGCGCGAGGGCCCGAGTAGCCGCCAAAGATGCGCTGAATCTCGCTGAAAGGCTACGAGCTAATTACAAACAGGCGCAGGCAACTTCAAGCCCGACACCATCACCAACCATCTCGTCCGGACGCGCGACGCCGATGGGCAGAAGCATCTGCGCCGGCTTCCACCCTGCCGAGCACCGGCACATGACTGGCTGCGATGTTGGCGGAATCTCGCACATCTCCCTGGCGGCTGCGAATCTGCATCATAGCCGTGCCTTCGTCGCCTCCTCTGCGAGCCCAAGACGCCGTCGGAGCCAAAGTCAGTAGTGCCTGTGGTAGGATCATCATCCTGGACGTCTCTACTAGGAAAACCTCCCACATCGAATACCGTCGCCGGCTTGGTTTCGGCATGTAGCCAGATGAGTCATTTTTGTATTGCATCTTTGTATCGCATTTCTTGAACCAGGAGACCATACAACGCGCGAATCCTTGTTAAAGGCAGAATATCCTTGTTTAGTATAACCAAGTACGTTAAACGCTTCGGTAGTCGATGTTTAGTAGGTCAAAGTCCCCACCCGCGAACACATAGTACATTAGAAGCAACCATTGCGCAGAAGTTAGCGCAGGTGCTTCAGCCCAGCTTACACGCATCTTGATAGGTATAATCTGACGTTCTCGTCACGAGCTGTAGGCTTGGATGAACAACAAGGCAATTTGCTCACACCGCCAGCGCAAGGTCGAACCCGGCTCGTCACTGGTCCATGGCACTAGAGCTACGATGACGCACACCGCCAGCGCTATCATCATAGAGATACTTGGTATCAACACGCACCTTGACACACCAACGCAAGCGCGGGAAAGAGTGTTGCTTCCGCTGCGCGCCTTTGTCAATGAAATAGTGTATGCCAATCGACGGAAATAGACTGCACTGGACCGCCGTTGCACGCCGGAAGCCATGGTCGCAGGGCTGCTTCGGGTCGAGGTCGTCGACGTCTCCTACTACCTCGCCAAGCCGCTGCCAGCGAGAGCGGCGCATGCGCTTCCCGAAGGTCCTTGCTACGAGCGCGCGCGGGCCGTGCCCGTCGTCCGCGTCTTTGGCGCGACGCCGGAAGGCCCCAAGTGCTGCCTGCACGTTCATGGAGTGTGTGCTAACACCATTCGCATGCGCTCATGCAGCCGCATGTAGGTGTTTCCGTACTTTTACATGCGCTGCGAGAGCGACCCGGCGTTCGACGATATCGAGAGCCTCATGGCGCTGCTGCCGACGATCGGCCGGGACATCGAAGCCGGTCTCCGGACGCTCGCGACAGCGCAAGAAGGCGACAAGACGAAGGCGAAAGGTCCCATGCCACCGTCCATCGCCAAGGTGCACCATCTCATCTCGCACGTCGACTGACACTTGCACAGCTTGTGATCGTCAAGGGCATCCCGTTCTACGGGTACCATGCGGCCGAGGAGTTCTTCATCAAGGTCTTCTACTACGACCCGGCCAAGACGAGTCGCATCGTCCAAGTCGTCGAGAGCGGACTTGTCGCGAGCCGCGTCTTCCAGCCGTACGAAGCCCACATCCCGTATTTGCTTCAGGTACATTCTCGCCATCGCCGCGTCAAAACGATCCATGTTAGATGTTTGCCGACTACCATATCGAAGGCATGAACTACCTCCGCGTGCGCAACGCGACTGTACGCATTCTTTTCTCATCATGGGCGTGGACTCAATGCCACGTGGGGTAGTTTCGGACGCGGGAAGGGTCGACGTTGGAGTGGCCGATCCGCCAAAGCAGCTGCGCGCTTGAAGCTGACGTGTCGTGCAAGAACATACTGAACCCCCACTACATCAACGGCGCGGCCGACGCGTGCTACGTCCCGTCGCTCTCGACGCTCTGGGAGGTCTCCTTTCGCCCGCCCGCTTGTCCGTTGACAGACGACTTGTGTAGGAAGAGAAGCAGCGCCGGCGGGACCAAGGCCTCGCGGCGACCCCCGAGACAGCGCCGAGTGTTCCACGCCACGAGGTGCAACAAGGAGAAGCGTCGCCCGAGGAGACGGAGGTGCGGGGACCACTGTCGCAGTCGCATTTTACCCGGCGCATGTGGGCATCTCTGAACGAGATCCTCGCGCAAACAACGTCGGCGCTCGATACCTCGGTACACGTCCCTCTATGCATTGCACGTGGTTTCAATACCCGTGCAGATGCGGAGTGAGAGCGATGGCGACTACTCGGGCGGCCTCGACGACTCGACGTTTGCGTACAGCCAAATGGAGCACAGAGACGACGAGAACGCGGCGGAGGACGCGCCGGACGAGTTGTTGTTGCTGCTCTCGCGTCTCCAAGAAGCGCGCGAAACCGAGTGCGACGATGTTCACGGCGAAAGCGCTGACGATGGCGACGCGACGGACGATGAGATGTCGGAAGAAGCGCTTGACGGGCGGGCCATTTTGGACTCGCAGAGAGCGTACGAGCGCGCGTGCTCCCAAGAGGTGCCTCTCGACGCATTGGAGGAGGACGCGACAGAGTCGTCAGCAGCGTGGTGGGAGCGCGACCAGTCCATCTGCGAATCCCAATGCTCGATCCAAGCGCTCGGTGCGCCGCGGGTGACGCAATCGCCGGTACGGATCCCAAGCCGATCCCAGCCAAGCTCAGGCCGGTTTAGGAACGGTCGCAAGTGGATGATGTCGGCATGGACATGGAAACGACGCAGCACATACCGAGCCAGCAGCTGATTCGTCGGACGTGGCAGTACGCGGTGCCGCCGCCGTCGCTGCACGACCTCCTGCCGCTGCCGCCCTCGGTAGCGTGGTGATCCCAGTGATCGGTCTCATGGTAGGTATTGTATAGACGACGCCGGCCGTGCACTACAGCGTAGCGTCCGATGTACCGGAGAAGCCGGTGGTCTTTGCTGGTCAACGCTACGCCTTTCCCAAACCCGGCATCGACCATCTGCCGCCCTTCCCGAGCGCCAGCCCGAGTCTCCAGTCGCTTCAGAAGGACACGTCGTTTTCTCATGTACGCCATTACTCTACCGAGCATATCAACTTAATGCTGTACGCAGCGCATGCGGCGACGACGGACGCCCCTTCGCCTCCCGCCGACGTTGGCCGAGCTTCAAGCGACTGCGCAAAGCGCATCCCCACAAGTACGTACTCGTAGCAATAAAGAACGTCGACATGCATGGCTGTAGTCGTCGACGCAAGCCTTGTCGGGGACAACGCAGCCCGCGGTGCCCCGGCCGTCCCACTTGCACATTTCCAACATCACCATCCTGTCCTTGGAGGTGCACACCAATACGCGCGGGGACTTGCTGCCGGACCCGGCCTTTGATGCTGTCGAAGCCATTGCGGCGGTCGTTGACGTGACGTTCCAGGAGGTGCAGACGCGTCGCTACCACCTTCTGATCGTCGACGCGGCGCCGTCCAAAACGACGCACATGACACTGCACGGACACGTGTACGAGGTCGAGTACCTCCCGTCCGAAGCCGCGCTCATTGAACGACTCGTGGCGTGCGTCCAGCATTGGGACCCCGACTTTCTCGTGGGGTTTGAAATCCAGCAGGCTTCGTATGGGTACCTCATTGACCGCGCGGCCGCCCTCGACCCGCCAGTACGACGCGCTCGCGTTCTCTCTGTCACCAATTCAAGTAGATCAATTTGATTCAAGTGCTCTCACGGCTCCCACGGACGCGAATGGACGCGCGCAACCAAGCCGCGGCAGGTACGATTGTGGCATCGTCGTCTTGTCAGCTCGTATGAGATTGCAGATGGCAACGTTGGCGCCATGTACGGCATGAAGAAAGCGTCGGGCATTTGGATGTACGGCCGGCACATTCTCAACCTCTGGCGCTGTGCGCGGTCCGAGGTAGACACTCGTGGAGGTCGACTCGCCACGGATTCACTGGACGTAGCTCAAGCTCGCGCGCTACACGTTTGAAGCCGTTGTGGCGAGCGTGCTGAAGCGGCCTTTCCCAAAACACTCGCACGCGACGCTAACGCAGTGGTATACATCGGGCGGGTCGCTTCGCCTTCGAGCGCTCGAGGCGCTTGCCGCCCACACGGAAGTGACGCTCAAGCTCATGGATCGTCTTCAGCTCATCACACGCACGAGGTAGACGTTGTCTGATGGTGATTCGTCTTCGACGGTGGGATCGAGTAGTGAGATGGCGCGGCTCTTTGGCATTGATTTTTTCTCGGTGCTCTCCCGAGGCTCGCAATACCGCGTCGAGGCGGTCAACATTCGCGTCACGAAGCGACTCAAGTACATCATGGTGTCGGCCAACCGCGCGCAAGGTCGACTCTATCGTTTAAAACGTGATTTCCATCGTGATGTAGTCGCTGCACAGCCTCCGATGGAAGTGATTCCGCTCGTCATGGAGCCGCTTTCATCGTTTTACGCCGAGCCCATCGTCGTGTTGGACTTTCAGGTACAGCGTGGGATCGAAGACGAATTGTTGCTATGTAGTATGGCTAGTCGCTCTACCCGTCGATGGTGATCGCCTACAACATTTGCTACTCGACGTGCTTGGGGCGCCTCGTCAACGGCCTCGATCCGTCGCTCGAGACGGTGCTGGGCGTCGTTGCGGACCATCACGTCGACGTCGACGCGCTCCGGGCCGCGGGAAACAGCACGATCATTACGCCCAACGGCGCGCTCTTTTGTCCCAAAGCGATGCGCACCGGGGTGCTGCCGCTCGTGCTCAACGAGATTCTCTCGACGCGCATCATGATCAAGCAAGCCATGAAACAAGTAAAGATAGTGTACCACATCGTCCGAGGTCCAAGCCTCGAGTTAGACCAGCGACAAGCGACTGCTCAAGGTGCTCGACGCACGCCAACTCGCGCTCAAGATGATTGCGAATGTCACGTACGGCTACACGGCCGCGAGTTTCTCGGGGCGCATGCCGTGTGCGCAGATCGCCGACGCCATCGTGCATGTACGCGTCTCTGTGGTTTGTCTTTGATTCAAAGGTAGAGGTTCCTAGTCGGGCCGCGTGACGCTCGAAGCCGCGGTCCGTCTCGTCGAGTCGCACCCAAAATGGCACGCCAAGGTCGTCTATGGCGACACAGACAGTCTCTTTGTGCAGCTGCGCGGCCGGTCGCTCGCCGACGCCTGGGCGATCGGCCAAGAAATCGCCAACGACGTGACAGCGATCAACCCGAAACCCGTGTGTCTCAAGCTCGAAAAGGTCTACATGGGCTCGTTCCTTGTCTCCAAGAAGCGCTACGTCGGGTACAAGTTTGAAGGCCCGACCCACGTTAAAGGCGTCCTCGACGCCAAAGGCATTGAGACCATCCGGCGCGATTCGTGCGGCGTTGTGCAAAAGCCCATGCGTCGTTGGCTCGAGCTCATGTTCAAAACGCGGGATGTCTCGGCGGGAAAAAAGTACCTCCAGACCTATTGGCGCCACATGCACAGCCAGCGCATTCCGCTGCGCGAGTACATTTTTGCAAAGGAAGTCCGCCTCGGCACGTACGCCGGGTACACTCGGTCGCGTTCGATTGCGCGATGGCTTGACGTCGTCGTACGATAGGCAGGGACCGCCAGCGGTGCTGGTCGCGACGAAAGCGATGGCCAAGGACCCGCGCGCCGAGCCGCGGTACGCCGAGCGCGTGGCCTACGTCGTCGTGCGTGGGCCACCCGGCGCACGGCTCATGGACCTCGTCGTGCCGCCCGAGGCGCTCGTGCTGCACCAAAAGTACACGCTCAACATCGAGTACTACATTACCAAGCAGGTACTATACAATCGAATCCAGAAAGAGGAGCAGCATTGCAGTTGTCGGTAGATCTTGCCGAGCTTTGAGCGCCTCGCACTGCTCATGGGCGTCAACGTTCGCCAGTGGTACATGGAGCTTCCGCGCGCCGTTGAGAAGGCGACGACCCACCGCGGCGCATCGTCCGTCATGCGCATCGATGCGTACTATACGAGCCAGCACTGCGTGCTCTGCGGCGTACTGAACCTCCATCCGCGCGGCCTCGCCGCGGGCGACTGGCTCTGCGGCGACTGCAAGGCGACATCGGGCCCGAGCTACTTTTTGCTTCAGAACGAGGCGAGCAGTCTCGAGCACCAGCTCAACGCCGTGCGCCACGTGTGTCTCCAGTGCTTGGGGAGTACGACGTTTGGGGCAACGTGGCATGACCGCACTCGGATGGTATGTCACAATGACGACTGCGATGTGTGGAGTGTGTGGCTGCGCGCCGCGACTCTGTATGAAAAGTGCGGGGCGTACCATACCTTGGTCGAAGAGCAAAGATAAAGAAATATGTTGTAGATTACGTACACAAACAACGAGGCTAGTATTTATTGTCGGCTACATGAGGTGGATTCGAGGCAGCCCTGTCACTCGGTGAGACCGAAGGAACAGCAGCCAAGACCAGTCGTCTTGACCCTGTCAGCACTGCCAGAGGCGACGCGGCGCGCCTAAGCCTTGTAGACGGGCGCCTTGGGGTAGACCTGACCCTTGTTGTAGTGGCCGTTGTAGTGCGGCTCGGGCTCGCTCCAGGGTTCGCGCGTCGCGACCTTGTTCTCCTTGCACGTCGCAGACAGCGAGGCGAGCGCGGTCTCGAGCATGTTGTAAAGCTCGACGTTGGAAGTGCACGGCGCCGGGGACACGTCGTTGTTCTCGTCCTTGAACGACAGTTCGGCGTAGCAGCGTTCATCGGCCAAGTGGCGGCCATAGACGAGGGTGAGGGCGTCGTTTTCGAGGTTCCAGTCCGGGTAGATGAGCGTGAGAAAGTCGACGATCACGTTTTCGGCGAGGCAAATGTAGTTGCGACGGGCGAGCGCATCAACGTAAGCAGTCACGTCCAAGTTCTGCGCAATGTCGTCGGTCGAGAGGTAGCCATCGTCAATGCAGTCGTTGATTTCGGCCGACTTGGTCTTGGTCGACGGGTTCGGCACGTTCCAATCATTGTCCTCCTTGAAGGCCGGGTAGCACTGGTTCGCGTCACCGTCATGGTTGGCCACGCACGCGTAGAAGCCGCAGTAGTACATGATACCGAAGCCTTCAAGGATCGGCTGCTCGTGGACACCGGCGCTGCGAACCGCAATCTCGGCAATCGTGAGCGGGCGGCGAAGCGCTGTCGTGACCTTCTCGACGTAATGCACCGAGTCGTAGAGGCTGCGGAGCGACTGGTCCGACGTGTAGTCTGCGTTTTGGCAATAGCGGTAGACTTGGTCTTCAAGTTTGGTGTTGGCTTTCGACTGCGTGCACGTCGCGTACATGCTGGCGGAGATATCCAAGGGCTGCGATTCCGCTCCCGGCACCCGCTTGTCGGTCAATGAGTAGTGGTTGGTGCTCGGCACATGGAGGTAGACGTGGCTGTACTTGGCGTTGGAGGATTCGACGAGCTCGTCCGTGTTGGCGCAGAGGAACTTGTTGCCAACCGTGTAGGCGCCAAGGCCCGACGCCTCGCCGCTCGTGTACTGGTACGTCTTGACGCCGCTGTCGGTGTCGTAAAAGGGCGCGTTCGGGTTGTACGCGAGGCCGTCGGTCGTCTTGAACGACTTGTAGAGGTTCGGGAACTTGGTCACAGCGTCGTTGCCCGTGCAATCGCGGACGTTCTTGATGAACGCGTGCAGCTTCTTGAGGTACAAGATCGGGCCCTCGATCGGGTTCCCGCACGCGCGCGCCGCGTAGTGCTCGATGAAGTTGACGCGGATGTAGTTCTCCGTGAGGCACATGACCGTCGCCGTCGTGATCGACACAAACGACTTTTGGTAGCACTTCTCCTGGAGGTACGCCGGCGACGACGCATCGACGTCTTCGACATAGTCGGCGCTCTCGCCGTACCCGGGCGCTCGTGACTGCACCGTAGCCGCCGGTCTTGGGCTTGCGCGTCGTGGGCTTGGGCGTCGGTTCGGACGGGTAGTCGGGGCTGTAGTAATCGTCGTTGTGCGCCTTGGGCTCGGGCGTCCGGCGTCGGCTTGGGCGGCTTGCCACCGCAGATGCCGTTGACGTTGGCCGACATTTGCACGTAAAAGACGAGGCACTGGTCGAGGAAGTAGTTGGTGAGGCTCTTCCGGCCGCACGTCGTCCACGGGGCGCCCGTCAAGAAGCAGTGGTAGTCGCCAAGCTTTGGGATGCTGAGCTGATCCTTCTTGTGATCCGCCGAGAAGTACGTGTACGGGTACGGTGCCGTCGTGTCAACCTTGTAGTGGCTCTTGTACGGCGCGTACGACGGCGCCGCGTACGTCGGCTGCGGCTTGTCGTAGCCGTACCCGTGGTTGCCGTAGCCATCGTTGTCGTAACTCGGGTTGCCGTAGCCCGGGTTGCCGTAGCCCGGGTTGCCATAGGCCTGGGGCTGCTGCTTGTATCCCTGCTGGGGCTTGTAGCTGGCGGCCGAGACGCCGGCGAGGACACCGAGGAGGAACTTCACTTGCATGGTAGTCGCTGTGTTGGAGGCACTCGAGAGACCAGAGGGAAAATCCGTAATGAGACTTTGGAGCGCGGGCTTGGCGCTGCGGGGGTGTTTCGTTGTCGAAAGATTGGCGGCCAATCAAACGTCGCCGAAAAATTGGCAGCCAATCCGCGCCGAGTGCGAGCCGTTTCGCGCACCCTTTGGGAATGGATCGCCCCGCAGCCAATGGGCGTGCGGCGTGACGCTTCGGCGCCAATCACAACGCTCGGCGCTCGAAGGTTTGGCAAGAAAGGCAACAACCGACCCTCGGTGCAACGGCCCGCTAGCTGCACCAAGCACCCCTAAGCTATGTGTGCTTAGTTGGGAGTACTGCACACGCGCTAGAAGCAAGGAAACCACTGGCCAGACGAGTCGACAGAAGACCGGGTACTCTACCCTGCTGGTGCGGTAGTACGTGCAGTAGCAGGACCTTCGGAGAGTATTATTGAAGCGTTCACTATCTCTTCTTTACAGTCGCTGGATTGACGCTTTGCGGGACGAGCGCTAAGCTTGCTCGAAGGCGAGTACGCGTTGCGAAGGGATGCCATCCGGACAATCCAGTGATGTGTCCGGATAACACAACACGATGGCGAAGAGCACGAAGCGCCCGCGCGAGTCGGCGCCCAAGAGCCGTGGCGGCAGCGACTTTGTGGTGGTGAACCCGTCCTTGCTGCGTGCGACTGAGGCGTACGGATACCGCGCGTGATACCCATCGCCTTACATATATCTGTTCTAGGCCTGCGCCCAAGAAGGCCAAGAAAGATGTCAAGAAGGCCGACGCGAAGAAGCAAAAGACCACCGAGAGCAAGCCTGCCAAGGACGCGCCAAAGCCCAAGGCCGGGGGCGTGTACCACTGCGTCGTGTGCGATTTGGACGTGACGATGGGTGCCAAGGCCATGCACGAGCAAGGAAAGAAGCACCAGCGCGCGCTAACGTCGAGCGGCCTTGTCACGGCAGAGACGCCTACTGCTGTCGCAAAGGCGACCGTTGCGTCGTCTGCCAAGGCTGATGCGGCAAAGGCTGCTCCGGTGCCGACGTCGGTGCAGTATGTGCACGTCTCCCGCCCCGAGGACTTTGTCGGGGCCGTTTACGCTCTCTTCGACATGCATCGCATGCGCCGTGCGCTTGTCGTTGTGCCGAACAAGGGCCACGCGCTCTTGCAGCCTCAGATGGTCGCTGGAGCGCTCAAGCACCTTGGTTTCACGGCCCTCGCGGTCCACGCCAAGACCCCGGCCACGCAGCGCCAGCAGACACTCGAGAAGTACCGGTCGTCGTCGTCGATGGTCCTCGTGGCCACCGAGCACTTGGCGAAAGGCCTGGCGTCGCCAAGCTCCGTGTACGTCAACTGTACACCGAGCACATCGAATGGCGTTGTCTACGTGGTGCTGGAGAAGGACGCGGCGCCGGCCAGCGACTGGTCGCCTGTCCCGCTTTGGAACAAGCTCGCGCTGCAAAAAGCATCTTCGCGCGCCGCGATGGCCAAGACGATCCATGAGCTCACGACGCAAGACGTCGATAACGAAGCGCAATGGATCCAAAAGCTCGCGTCTGCGTCCGGGCTCGACGCCGACGACGCGCCCAAGGCCAAGCCGTCGGCCAACCACCAAAAGCTGGCGTCTCTTGCCGAAAAACTCTTCCTCCACATGGGCTTCCCGCTCACGCACTCGGGCCCTGTCGACCTGCGGGCATGAAGGCAAAGATGACTGCTGTCGGACTCCACGTGCAATCGGCAGCCACGGGCATGTCGCTGCACGCGACGCGGCTCTCGGCGCAGACCCAATGGCTCGATGCTGCGTCGGGCGCCGCGTTTGGCGGCGAGTGGGACGGGTCGGTGCGACACGGAGCGTCGAAAGACAGCACGTCGCTTCAAGTACGCGCCGAGCTCTTCGACAAGAAGAAGAAGAGCACGTGGGAGCCCAACCCCAAGCCGTCCGACGCTGCCGAGTGGGGCGGCCCCTATGGCAAGCCCTGCGGCCACAACGAGGTATTATGCGTGTGTTTCGATATATCCAGGACGTTGCATGTAGCAAGGTGCCTTCTAGGTCGTCCTGCACCGACTGCGTCCGTTCTTCCCGCAAGAGGTGCTGAACGCGCGCATTTGCAGCCGTGACAAGCCTGCGCCTGGCAACGACGGCTACGATGGCTGCCTCGAGCATCTCAAGTGGCGCTGCGCGTCAAGCGGCAAGGCCATGACGGTCTGGGACGCAGAGCAGTGGGTCTTTGTTGCCAAAGACGGTCAGGTACGCCGCATCAACAAGACGGCGGCGCTGCAGCTACCTCTATCGCGCCTCAAGTGGATGATGGCCAACTTCCGCGAGCACACGCTGCGCTGCGAGGGCCAGATTCCGCCGGCGCACCTGCTTGAAACGATTTCGTACTTGGGCTTTTGCGGCGGCGTTCAGCAGGACGTCGATGCGCCGCAAGTGTGGGGCCTTCCGCGTCGCGCGCGGCAGATGGTTGTCGGCTACCTCGTGTCGGGCTCGCCAGATCAGTGGATGCGCCTCCTGAGCTCCAAGTAGTCGCATCTATTCCGGTCCATGTACTAACACAATGGTCATGTTCCCAGTTGATGCTCATGTACCTTGTTTGTATGACCGATCGATCGCGAGTTGGCAGATCGTGGTTATTTGCCACCGGATGTGTAAAACACATATTTCCCACGGTGAGAAATACTGGGGATCCATTTTCACAAGGTCTGGCGGCGATCATGGCGGGAGCGCTGGCCGAGGACGGGCTGCTGCATGGGCTCCGTGAAGCCATCTCGCGGGGATACGCGCTCGTCGACCGACTCGCTCTCGTGCATGTGCATCGACCGCGCGTCTTCCACCCGTCGGTCGCCTTCACGCAGAGCGAGGCCTTCGTGCTCGTCATGGAGCTCCACCCGACGCTGCCGACGAGCATCGAGTGGCCCCTCGTCTCGAGCATGACGGAAGAGATTCATGGAGGAAGTGCGAAGCTGCCCAATGCACTCAGCGATGTCCTTCCATGCGACGTGGTCGTGAACAGCGATCTTCTCGCCGTGCTTCCAGAGACCAAAGCGCGCGATGTCTTGGCGGCGTTCGTGCGGGCCATCACGAAGGACGAAGCCATGAACATCGAGATTCTGGTCGGCCATCAAGGAGGGTACCTTGGGCAGAAGTTTGATGAGCGCTCGTACCGGGTAACCAACGTCGTGCAGTCAACCAGGCAGCCCGACGCCCTCCGATCGCTTGACGCAGCCTTGGAGTCGACCATGGCATGTATCGCGGCCGAGGCGCCGAGCAGCAACAAGGTCACGCGCGTCCAAGTGATGGCCGGCTACATGCTCTTCAACATTCCGTGGACCTTGCAGCCGACGGTCAAGGTCACCTCCCTATCCCAGAGTAGCATCATTGAACGATGGATGGTCTAGGTGTACTCGACGTGGGAAGGCATTGAGAACGTCTCGGCACTTGGCTGCAAACCGCCTCCGCTCAGCGCATCCGTCATTTGCATTGGCAACTTGGAGACGCTCACCGATGCGACGCTCAAAGATTGCTTCAATGACCCGTTCCCCGTGCACTTTAAGCGCCACCTCTTGTTCCTCGAATGGATCGAGCGGGTAGGATTTCTATGATATGATAGTAGTATGCGACTTTGCTGTCTATGTAGAGCATTGAAGCGAACGGTGCGGCCTTGACGTTGCCATGGCCGACAACCGGGACCGCCATGGACATCAAGCAGCTCATTTTGGAGCCCGACAGCATTTTGCTCTCGACGCTCGGTATGGTATCTCGTTGCTACGGTAGCTGCTTTCTTACATGAGCTGTAGATGCGGTCGATGATCCGTCCCACGCATCGACACTGCTGCGCCCCGACATGGATTTGCTCGAGAAAGCGTGGCACGGCCTTGCGTACACTGCGGCATCGACGGCATCGGTCGTCGAGGTCGTTCATGAGCTTCAGTCGTGCTTCGAACAAGGCTCTGTCTTGCCTTTGATCCACAGCCACAATTCTAGCGAGCTCGCCGTGTTTTTGCGGCAGCTCGTGCAGCAGGCACAGCAACAGCGTTACGTTCAAGACGCATCCGAGAGTTTTCCCGTTGCGCCGCTGACGCTCCTCCAAGACGATGCTTCTTCCTTGCGGTACATGCGTCAGGTTGGCATCTACAAACTGCAACGCGATCTTACACACTGGCTGGGTCTGGTACGCTCGTAGCCATGTATATATCCCTGTTGAAGCATGTCTCTATTGCTATATAGCAAGGCATCGTACTCGCCGATCTCGCATCGTTTGTCACTTCATGTGCACACTTCAAGAAGGTCCAATGGCTTGTCGACGTCTGCGCGGTCGGCAAGCTCTTGGGCTTGAACGTTGCCATGATCCGACAGTTGGCGCAAGACGCGCTTGCCCACGCCCAGGCCGGAACTGATCGGGTTCCGACGTTCTACGTGGTCTACGACGCCTTTCTGCCCGACCGTTTGCGCTCGTTGCTCTCGGGTACGCTCTGCATGTGATGTGGCAACCGTTGCAATGTCAAATGCGATGTGCATAGAGCCCTTTCTTTGGAGCCTCGAGATGCAACTCGAAGACGGGTTCTCTCGGACTCTGCGCATGGACGACTTGCCGCGCCGTGGGGCAGAGGATGGTGCGCCGTTCCGCATCTCTCCGACGGCCGCAGCCCGTCTCGCAGACGCGATGCTTCCTCGTGGCACGGAAGCCAGAGACATTCTTGCCCGCGGCGTTGCTGCGTTCGAGTCGACGTTGGCGCCAACCGCTCAGTTTTACGACTGTCAGCGCCGCTCCGTGCAGTACCCACTCTAAGTCTACAAGTCTCCAATCCGCGCTAGAGAATCTGAGTGTGACGTTCGAGTGAAGTCATTACGATATTGGTTGCAGCACAGTGCCTCGTGCAAGAGATTCTTCATGGTCCACATACGTACTTGAGTACGATATTGCACAGCTCTGCGCCAACGAGCATGGCATTGGAGGGTTGACATTTGCGCGGGAACTTGATGCCAACTTCAATATCGATTTCTAGAGGTGATTACCTCTGGAATCCAATATCCTCCGAACCACCACCAATCGAAACCCGTTTTCCGATTCCTGGGGACGCGATGGCCGACAGCTTGGACATGGACGCGGAAGCGCTGGCGCGCGACGCCAAGAAGCGCGAGAACGACCCGAACACATACAAGCGCAGTGGCGGCCGCGACGACCCGATCAACAGCCTCGAAGACATCTACCGCCAGTACGACGAGCTCATCCCGGCGGACGAGTGGCCCAAGTTCGAGGCCATGACCAAGTTTGTCGTCGAGGCCAACCCGCAGACGCCCCGCGCGCTCGAGAAGACGTTCATCTTGCTGCGCCGGCAGTACAAGACGCTTCCGAAGAAGTCGCAGATCAAGTTCGTCTACAACGCACTCGTCAAGCGCGGCGAGGCGCCGCCGCACCTCGAGATTGACAACCTCCTCGTCAAGAAGGCCGGGAAGAGCCAGAGTGGCGTCCTTGTTGTGACGGTGCTCACGAGCCCGTACCCGCACGGCCAAAAGTTTAGCTGCCAATGGAACTGCTACTACTGCCCGAACGAACCGGACCAGCCGCGGTCGTATCTCCACGACGAGCCGAGCGTGCTGCGCGCGAACCGCAACTCGTTCGATCCGGTGCTGCAGTTTTGCGACCGCTGCGTGACGCTGGCGCTGAACGGCCACCCGGTCGACAAGATTGAGCTGCTCGTGCTCGGGGGTACATGGGCGTCGTACCCTGTCTCGTACCAGGAAGAGTACGTCCTCGCTGTTCTCGATGTACACTGCTCTTAGGCACGACTTAGGCTCATCCGCGATCTCTTCTATGCAGCCAACACGTTCCACGACCGTGTCAAGCGCGATCGCAAGTCGCTGGACGAAGAAAAGAAAGAGAACGAGACAACGTCGGTCAAGATCATTGGCATCACGCTCGAGACGCGACCGGACTGCATCACGCCGGACGAGCTCCGGCGCTTCCGGCGCTTTGGCTGCACGCGCGTCCAGCTCGGCATCCAGCACACGGACGAGGGTATTTTGAAAAAGATCAACCGCGGGTGTACGACGACCGATGCGAAGCGCGCGATGAAGCTCCTGCGCGACTGCGGCTACAAGACCGACATCCATCTCATGCCCAACCTCCCGGGCAGCTCGGTCGAGCTGGACCGCGCGATGTTCGAGTACGTCTTGCACTCGCCCGACTTGCAGGCCGACCAGTGGAAGATTTACCCGTGCGAAGTGACGCCGTGGACTGTCATCAAGCGCTGGTACGACGCTGGCGAATACGTGCCGTACTCGGACCACGAGCTCATGGCGCTCCTCATGGACATCAAGGCGCAGGTGCATCCGTGGATCCGGCTCAACCGCGTCATCCGCGACATTCCGTCGCAGTACATTCTCGGTGGCGTCGACGAGCCCAACTTGCGCCAAGTGATTCTGAAGCGCATGGAGCAGGCCGGCCGCACGTGCCGCTGCATCCGGTGCCGCGAAATCAAGAGCGACGCGCGCGCGGCGACCAAGGCGATCCTCATCACGCGCACGTACGAAGCCAACGACGGCACCGAGTACTTTCTCAGCTTTGAGACCCCGGACGAGTCGACCATTTGCGGGTTTTGCCGTCTTCGCCTCTCGCCGACGGCCGGCGCGGGGGTCTTTCCGGAGCTCGAAGGCTGCGCGCTCGTGCGCGAGCTCCACGTCTACGGGCAGCTCGTGGCCGTTAACAGCGGCGACAAGTCCAAGCCGCAGCACATCGGCTTTGGCACGCAGCTCATGCTCAAGGCCGAAGAGATTGCGCGCGCACAAGGCTACACCAAGATGGCTGTCATTGCCGGCGTCGGCGTCCGCAACTTTTACCGCAAGCTCGGGTTTGAGGTCGAGGGCGAGGGCGAGCTCATGACCAAGCAGATTCCGCCGGCGCCGGGCCTCCGCGTCTTTGGGAAAACGCTCGACACGCGCGTGGCGCTGGCGGCGGCAACGGTCGCGCTGGCTGTCGGTGTCGCGTTCGTGCTCAAGAAGCGCTCGTAACCTATTAGACCTAAATTCTGTTTAACGCAGCACGGTGCAATATTACTCGCGTTTTGCTTTTGGCAACCCAGGTGAAAAAACACGTTAAATATTAAACCTACGCGGTAAAAAGGGGCGGAGTCGCTCAAAGTGTGTTTCGCATGATCGGGTTCAAGGGCTGGCGCGCGGTGCGCCTTGCGCGTACGGCGGGCTTGACGACGCTGTCGCCGCGGAAGCTCGCAGCCATGGAGGCCGAGGTCATGGAGCGCCTCCGCAGTGTCAAGGACGACCTGCTCAACGCAGACTTGCCGACGCTCGGCCGCATCAAGGTACGCAAGGCGAAGGAGCATCAAGAACGTTCGTGATGCATGGGTATTAGAACTTGGTCATCCAGCCCGACCATTGCGTCTCGCTGGACATTGAGACGCCGTCGCGCGTGCTGCGCCAGAACGACCAGTGGATTGCCGAGGCTACGGAGGCGATCCAGAGCCTTCCGTGGGTCTCGCGCGCCAACGTCTCGCTGGCATCGGCGTCGACGCGGAATCCGCAAGCGCCGCGTCACTCGGCGCTTGCCAACGTCAGCAACATCGTCGCAGTCTCGAGCTGCAAGGGCGGCGTCGGCAAGTCGACTGTCGCCGTCAACCTCGCCTTTGCGTACCTTGCCATTCCCGTGTTGTTTGCATGCTGAGCTGCTTGTCCGTAGGCTTCAGAAGCGCGGTGCGCGCGTGGGGCTCCTGGACGCAGACGTGTATGGCCCGAGCTTGCCGACCATGATCTCACCGGACGACCGCGGCATTCGCAAGTCCAAGACGAACCCGTCCTTCGTCGAGCCCGTACGTTACCACGGCGTCGAGTGCATGTCGTTTGGGTTCGTCAACAGCAAGGCCGCGCCGGGCGCAGGCGGTACCTCGACCGAGTCGATATGATGTTTCTTTCAAGTGGGTACGTAGGCAAAGGCGCCGCTGTCATGCGCGGTGCGATGGTGTCCAAGGTGATTGACCAGCTCGTCCTTGGCACCGAGTGGGGCGCGCTCGACTACTTGGTCATCGATATGCCGCCGGGCACGGGCGACATCCACATGTCCCTCGCGCAGCAGACGGCCATCACGACCGCCGTCATTGTCACGACGCCGCAAAAACTCAGGTTTGAGTTTCGATGTCACGATGGCATCCTGCATTCTGTCTAGCTTTGTCGATGTGGAAAAGGGCATTTCGATGTTTGAGGACCTCAAGGTGCGACGAGATTGCCCGTCGCTCGACTGATGATGTATGGTGCGTAGATCCCGACGAGCGCGGTGGTCGAGAACATGTCGTACTTCGACTGCGCTCACGGCCACCGCCACTACCCGTTCGGTAGCGACACTGCACGGCCGTCTCTGTCTTCAGCGGCGCGTAGGACACGGGCACCTCAAGCAGTTGCAGCAGTCGTTTGACATTCAGCACACGTTTCAGTTCCCGATGGCCGAGTCCACGAGCGATAGTGCCGACGCTGGACGGTCCACCGGATGTCGACACCGTGCGGAGTGTTCTCACCGTCGACTAGGCCATTGGTGCTCACCGATGCGCTGCCCGAGGTCTCGGTGACATTCGAATCGCTGGCAATCACGGCACGTCGAGGGCCAAGACACTGCGACTGACGCGTCTCTCTAGGTCGCCGAAGAGTGCGTGAAGCTCAAGCACCTCTCCAAGCTCGCACCCGAGCTCCTGTACGACTCCAAGCGCGGTATTGTGCTCCGCTTCTACACGAGCGAGAGCGCGCACGAGGTCATCTTGCCGCCCGTCGAGCTGCGTGCGCAGTACGTTGATGTCAATCGAAAAGCAAAGGATGTACGGTCGCTCTAGGTGTCGGTGCGCTGCGTGCATCGAAGAGTTCACGGGCAAGCCCGTACGTCCGAGAGTCTGCAATGAATTGTCTGATCGTCGCGCTAGCTCCTCGACCCGGAAACGATCCCGGATGACATCCGACCCACCGCCGTCCAGCGCAAGGGCAACTACGCGTTTGCTGTCGTGTGGAGCGACGGCCACTCGTCGTCGCTGTACACGTTCGAGCACCTGCGTAAGCTCGCGCAAGTGTAGAGGAAATGCGCTGATCAGAGCCATCGACCGAAGTTTAGTCCTCCTTGTATATACCTTGTGTGTGCAGCTGGATACTGTGGACGAGTGTCTGTTCGACCAGGTGCCTCGCGCCAGTGCTTTGCTTCTGCGCTGTCCACTTGTCCTCCACCGGGTTAGCCGCCTCGGTGCACTGATCCATTGACGTCACATGTGTAGTCGGGGTGCGCGGGCAGGCGTCCTCTGGCGCTCGTCGCTAGCACGTGGGTCTTGGGCTGGCATGGTCAGAGTTGCCTTGGGCCATGCGCTGGCAGCCCCACAGATGGCCTTGAGGGCCATGCCACCAATCACAGGCTGCTCCGGTGGACCACATATTATAATCGGTATTTTATTTTGTGCATCAATCATGTATACAATTACACAGTGCGTTGCGAGAGTATTAAAATGAATTGTACAAATGCAGGGTTAAAATAATGTGGCGAACGTTCTAGCACGCGGCCACGTTGCCGAGGCCATTCTATTGTATTTAAATACCAATCTATAATGTAGACTGAATCTGTATATTGGATGCGTCTATATTAAAATAATATGCCGCCCGGTGGATTAAAAATGCGCTCTCGCGCAGCCAAGGTGGAAGCGCTCGTCTTGGCCATCGGCGCGGGGAAGCGCAAGGAAGAAGAAGCGCTAGGAAGAGGAAGGAGGACGATGCTACGACGACGCTCCATCATGAACCGCCAGGGGAAGCGCGCCCTTGACGCGACCATGCTGGCGAGGAAGCGCAAGCGATCCATCGAGACCCGCGATGACGACGACGACCCGCGGGCCCGGTTCCAGCGCATGGACCTCGAGAGCGCAGCGCTCATGCGCCAGGTTCCTCGCATCGAGCTCGGTCGCTTCGTCATCGACACATGGTACCCGAGCCCATACCCCGCGAGCGCGTACCCGGACGGGACGCTCTACCTCTGCGAACACTGCCTCGGGTACACGAGCTCGAAGCGGTTTCTGCAGCACCACAAGCGGTCCGACTGCGCGCTTACGACGCCGCCCGGGCCTCGCGTCTACTACGAAAGAGGCGACCGTCTTGCTCTCTACGCCGTCGACGGCAAGCGCGAGCCGACGTACGCGCAGAACCTCTGCCTCCTCGCCAAGCTCTTCATGGACCAAAAGACGCTGTATTACGACGTGACGCGCTTCCGCTTCTACGTGCTTTGCCGCGTCGACGACGACGGAAGCCACATCGTCGGGTACTTCTCCAAGGAGAAGGCGTCGCCCGAGGGCTACAACCTCTCGTGCATCGTCGTGCTGCCGCCGTACCAGCGGCACGGGTACGGCACGCTCCTGATTTCCATCTCGTACGCCATCTCGGCGCACGACGGCCAGGTCGGGACGCCCGAGCGACCCCTCTCGGCGCACGGCCACGCCGCCTACGTGGAATACTGGAAGCATCGCGTCCTGCGAGAACTCGCTGCGACGTCCAAGGCGGTATCCATTGCCGACCTTGCCGACCGGACGTCCATACTACCACAAGACATTGCGGTGGCGTTGCTAGCGTGCGGGCTACTCAAGACAACGTCGACTGAGGTATGTAGCACGCGAATCAGCACCCACCACCACCATCGTCGATAGGTTCCGGCGACTCGAACCATCCGAGCCTCCAAAGCCCGCGTACGCGCTGCGCTCAAGAGAGTCCGTCCCCTCCGGCTGTGCCAACCGCGCGCGTTTGCATGGCGGGTGCTGCGACCTCCGACGACGTCCTGAGCGTCTATGCCAGGAAGCGCAGCCTCGTTGCATCGTGTTTAATGCTGCGTTATCGGTGCTGTGGAAACGACAACGACCAGGTGCCACCGTCGTCGTCGCCGCGTGTACCGTAGTATTTGTTGGCGTGGCCTTGGCGCGCAATCTCCAAATTTTCATATGGGTCAGGACCAGACGCCGCCTGTCCCGTTGCCGTCTTGTTGAAGCGCGCGGTCTTCCTCGTCGTCTTCCTCGCTCGTCGTGGTTCCATGGCTCATCGCCTGTCGGCACGATCGGCGCCGTCTTCAATACAAGAGGCGTACCCACTTTATTCGGAGGACGGAGAGAAAGGCCAGCCTCCGTGGTCGATCGTCGACTCCAGTACCGGTACATATTGAGAGATCCATGGATTAACCGCAGTAGTAATACATGCAGACGAGGGTTAAATTAAACAAGGTCAGTGGATGATGGCTAGTACGCGTCGTCGTCGTCGCCGAGGAGCGCCGGCGCCATGTCGTCGAGGAAGAAGTCGAGGCACTCGTCAAAGTTCATCATGTTCGCGATGGACGCAAAGACGTGCAGCTCGATCGCGTCGTCGGTCGCCGGCGTCTTTGTCGGGTCGAACGGAATTGGGTGAACGTCCGGCAGCTTGGCGTCCTCGCACTGCTTGTAGTGCAGCTGCTTGAACGTCTTGATGGTGCCCATGGCCTTGGTCGAGGCGTCGTACGCGGCCGAGACGTCGTCGACGTTGATGTCCATGGTCCGGAGCTTCCGCAGCATCTTCTCCTTGCACTTTTGCATGTGCGTTTGCGTCTGCTTGGCGTTGCGCGTCTGCACAAACTCGGCCACGGCCTTCCACGGCCCTTCCGGGAAGAGACGAATGCCGAGGAGGAAGCGCTCGTGCTCTTCGTTGGTCCACGGGCCCTGGCCAGGCACGGCGTTGGTCGTCGTCTCGGGCCGCCGCCGCTTCTTGGACGGATCGTCGCGCGGTGTCGTTGCCGGTGTGAGCATCCTCGGGGCAATTGCAAAATGATCGTTCGCAAACGGCGAGCATACGATTTGCGAGCGTCCGCGAACCAGCTTAGGGCTGTCGTAATCACAGCTCAAGTGTGGTCGACATCCAGCGCCGAGTACCGTGCGACTGGAGCTCCAAGAGGTGGACGGCGCGCGTATTACCAAAAGAAAGGAAGCTTCAACGTCGCCACGTCACACACGGTGTTTCTACGGCCGCCGATTGTACACCCGGCGCAGCTGCTGCGAGTCGTGGCGCCCGTCGTTGGCGTACAATACGATGTGAAAAGACGGTATGACGACGACACTGGTTGCTATCAGTCGTGCGGGCAGGCGCCGCGTCTACAGAGATGATTGCCCACATGGCTGCACGTGGCTCCAGATGTTGCCGACCTTGGGCCAAAGGTGCGGTCGAGAAACGGGCTTCAACAAGTAGCAACCCAGATTTCGTCTGGCGCCTGCGACGCTGGGCAGAAAAAACGGATGCGCAGCCGGCGTCCACAAAGAGTTGGTGTCTCTAGCAAAATCGCCCTACTCTCGCCAGCCCAGATAGCGTCTCTTCCACTATTCTATCAAGCCAGTCCTGCATGATCGCTGTCCTTATCTGGTGTGCGTCATCATCTCATCCAGATCCAGATTCTTAGAGCCACAAACTATTATTCGTAGCGCCGTAGCTACCGCCCCGACGCTTCTAGTTGACGCTCGAGACGTCTCGTGGCTGCTCCAGCCAGACGTGGTCGGCGACACCGTCGGCGACGCGCCATGTAAAGCGCGCGTGGGAAGCGTTGGCAACGTCGAGGTGCCCGTACCCATATCTAACCATAAGATATGGTCGTCATCCTCTCTCATATATGGACGCGTACTTGGCCGCGCGATAGGCCGACCACGCCGGTGCGGGCTCGAGGAACGTCTCGGCGAGGCCTTCGCGGTTGCCGCCGTCGCCAATGGTGATGTACACCGGTCCATGTTGGTGTGGCGAGTCCTTGTATACGGGACGCGACCGCTCGTACGCGTGGACGTGGCCCGCAAAGACAGCGTTGACGCGGGCCTCGTAGAGCAGCGTCTCCATATCTTTTCTCATGACGTGCTGCGGCTCATGGTGGTTCTGGTGCGCCGTGTTGCTGTTGTACCACGGCGCGTGCATAAGCACAACGATCCATGGCGTGCGCGCCCGGTCGACGCGCGCCAAGTCGCGCTGCAGCCACGCGTACTGCGAAGAGCCGCGAAACGTCGGCACGTACGGCGTCAGCACGATCGTGTGCAGCATCCCGAGATCGAACGAGTAAAAGAGGTTGCCGCGCGGCGCGCCGCTCTCGGCCGCCGGCATGCGGAAGCGCGCTTGGTACGCGACGAACGGCTGCAAGTTGCACGAAAGCTCGATTTCGTGGTTGCCGGGTCCGACCATCCTAGTACATGTACGTCGCATCAGATGCCCGCATCGAGAGGAGTACCATGGCGTCGTGGCCGTCGACGGTCCAACCAGCTGCCCCCAAGAATCCCATCGCTCTTGGACCGTGTCTGCGTACGACAAGTCACCTACGCAAAGAGCAAAAGACGCCGCAACGCAACGTAGCATTCTACCTGCCACGAAGACCGCGTCGAGGTTCGGCTGCGCCTGGACGTGCGCCAGCGTGCGCTGCGAGTTCTCGGTTTGCCCGAGGTCGCCGAGGATCGCGATCGAAAGCGGCGCCGCCATGTCGCCACGCTGCGGCGGCGTCTTGAAAGCCGTCGGCGCGGACCAGCCCGACTCGTCGCTGCCCACGATATCTATGGCAACCGTAATGAGATGATGCGCATGGTCCGTGGCGCGTGTACAGAAGTAGGTGGATCGCGGGGCGAGAGTCGGCACGACCACATGGTGGTTGTAGCCGGACGTGTAGTTGCAAAAGGTGTATCGTGCGCTGGGCGTCGTCGCCGTGGCGCGGCCGTCGAGCGCGGCCGGGTCGCGACCGTACTTGACCACCGATGCGCTGGCCGTTGGCGTGACCCACGAGAAGGCCATGCCTCCGAAGTCGTCGCCGGCGATCGCCAAGTGCACTTGCGACGGCGCCGCAGTGCTTGCCGCAGTGCTCGCTGCCCAGCCGACCAGCAGCAGTCGCACCGCTCCCCATGGCTGGCTTCCCATCCTCTTTCTTCTTCCTTCTTTGCTTGCTCAAAGATCGTTGCGGTAGGATACCGCCTTTTTCCCGGAGAAACCCCGGAGTCTACGCGCACGCAACTGTACGTGTGCGTGTCTCGAGCGTCGTCGCCGCACCACCCACTTGACGCTGGCTTGTTGACCGCGTTTTCTGCGCCTTAACGCTATCTACCACGTGTATACAGCCGCCGCCTCCATGCCCTCCATGGTCGCGTTCTCTTCTTTGTACAGGGCGAACAAGATGCTGGTCCTGTCAGCCGAGAGCTGAACAGCAATATATCCGCCAATGGAATCGTGTCCCTGGCTTCTCGAGGAAAACGATTGGCTATAATGCGAAATGAGCCAATATCCGATCGTCTCCAATATATTCGATCTCGGAGAGGGGGTTGGCGCTGTATATATATAGATGGAGGCGCGAAACGTATCGGATGCAATGGTCCTTTTTCATTGGCGTACGCCGCAAGGGAAGTGGGACCATTGCGTGTGGACCTCGGGGTAACCCTACCGCCACTCAGTCGGGGGGCAGCCAAAAAACGCTACTCCGCCATTTCCCTCTGCAGCATGAAGACCAAGACGACGGACCTCGCCAAGGCGATCCGCAAGATCCTCGCGTCCTCGGACCTCGAGACGCTCTCGCGCAAGATGGTGCGCAAGCAGCTCGAGACGCAGTTTGGCGAGTCCATGGAAGAGCAAAAGACCTTTATCAACGCGCAGATCACCAAGATCATCGAGGAGCAAAACGACGACGACGACGACGACGATGAGAACGACTCGGAGGACGACGCACCGCCGGCCAAGCGCGCCAAGGTCACCAAGACCAAGGCGGCGCCCAAGAAGCGCGCGCCCAAGAAGGAAGGCGGCGGCGGCGGTGGCTTTGCGTCCGAGATGGTCTTGAGCCCCGAGCTCGCGCAGGTGCTCGGCGTCGACAAGTCGTCGCGCCCGCAGCTCGTCAAGAAGATGTGGGACTACATCCGCGACCACGGCCTCCAGGACCCGTCGGACAAGCGCACGATCTTGCTCGACGACACGTTGAAGGGCGTTTTCAAGCGCGACTCGTTCACGATGTTTTCCATGAACAAGTTCCTCAAGCGCCATGTCAAGAAGGAGTCGGAAGTCGTCAATGGCTGGGACGACATCATCCGCGACGGCGAGTCGAGCGAAGAAGACGAGGCCAAGACGGCCGAGAAGGAACGCAAGAAGGCGGTCAAGGCCGCGCGCAAGTCGGCCGCCGCTGGCAAGGAGAAGGGCGAGAAGCCCAAGCGCGCGGCGCCGGCGCCCAACACGGGCATCAACGCGCCGCTCGAGCTCTCGAAGGAACTCGGCGCGATCCTCGGCGAGTCGGTGCTGAGCCGCCCGCAGGTCGTCAAGCGTCTCTGGGCGTACATCAAGGAGAACGAGCTCCAGAACCCCGAAAACAAGCAAGAAATCATCTGCAACGAGCTGCTCACGTCGCTCTTTGGCGAGCCGTCGGTCACCATGTTCTCGATGAACAAGCTCTTGAAGCCGCACTTCCTCGGCAAGGCCAAGGTCGTGCCCGAAGCCGCCAAGCCTGAGCCGGCCGCCGCGGCCGCGAGCGACGACGACGCCGGTAGCGACGACGCCAGCGACGACGCCAGCGACGACGAGTAAACACCACCCCGGTCTCTCGCAACGTCGATGGCTGCATAGATTTGTATATTTGTAAGTTAGGTTCGACACACAACCCTCTTCTTCCCCACCTTCTTCATCTTTGTCGTCTTCTCTTAAATGTCGAGGAGCCGGCGCGCCTCTTCCTCCTTTGCAATCTTCTCCTCTTCGAACGTCTGCTTTGCGAGCTTGTAGCGCGCGTCGAGCTTGTCCTGCGGCTGCGAGTCGGCGTACGCCGAGCCGAGGAACGTCGGGTTCTCGGCCGCCGCTTTCGCGTACTTGAGGATTGCTTCGCGCGGGTCCTCGCTGCGGATCGACGCCGACTTGACGTGGTCGCGCATAAAGTACTGCGTAAACGTGTTGCCGCCCGTGCGCCCGGCCACGCCGACGCCCGTGAGCGGCCGCTCCGGGATCTGCGACGCGATCGGGTCCATGCGCACCTTGGCGTACTTGCGCTTCGTGACCTTGGTCGTTGTCTCGCGGTACATGGGCAGCGCGTGCGGGTTCACGACGCGCCCTTCGCTGAGCGAGTCGAGGCGCACGAAGCCGGCGGTGGCGACCGGGAGCTTCTTGGTCGCGCTCAAGAGGACGCCCTTGGAGCTCAAGGCCGGGTCGTAGAGCACGCGGACGTTGCTCGAGCTCCCGCCCACAAACACCTACACGATGTTGAGATTGAGATTGAGGTTCCAGGTGGCGTACTTGGTTGATGCCGGCGTGCCACGCGACGCTGACGGCGCTCTCGTCCTCGGCCATGGGAATCGACCGCAGCGGCGCCGTTGTCGCCGTGTAGACGTCGAGGAAGTGGACTTGGCCGCGGTCGCCCGACCCCGCACGCACGCTGGACCCGGCGACGAGCGCCGACCCGACGCCGTTGAAGGCGAGATTCGCCATCGAAAAAACGTTCTCGATACCTTGATACTAATCCAGAACTGAGTCGCCACTCAACGAGGTAGAGATACCGTCTTGACGGGGGTACTCGGCTTGCGCATGTCCCAGAGCTTGACGCAGTCGTCGCTGGCGGACCGCGTCGCGAGCATCTTGTTGTCGGGCGAGAACCGGATGCTCGAGATGCCCAGGTCCGGGCTCCCGGGCTTGTGCGCGTCCAGCTTCCACGCCGCGCCGGCGTGGACCGGCGCAAATCGTACGCGTAGACCAGCGCGTCGGTCGTCGCGCCCGCAATCAAGCCGCCGTCCACGCTGTAGGCGCAGGCCGTCACCTCGGTGCGCTTCCCCTGGCGCGACTTGAGCTTGAGCACCGCATCGTTCAGAAGCTTGTCGAACGACGTCTTGCCGTTCAGCTTCCAGACGCGCACGGCGCCGTCCAAGCCAGACGTGATCATCGTGTCCTTCAGCAGCGGGTGCCACATGCCGCCCGAGCACGACGCCGTGTGGCCCTTTGTATGGACCATGTCCAGCAGGTACGGGTCGCCCTTTGTGAACTGAAGCTCGAAGACGCCTTCGCGGGAAAAGACCTTGGGCTGCGCCGAGCCCGTGACCGCGAGGACCTACAAAAAACGCATTAGAGGCTTCGAGGACGGCAAGTAGCGAGGAGTACGCGATCGCCGGTCGGACTGTAGCTCAGCGCCATGAGCGGATGGCCATCTTCGACCTCCGAGTCGCGGAAGGGCCGGACGTGGCGCGCCATGCCTGCGAAATCCCAGAGCTTCATGTGGTAGTCCATCGAGCCTGTCGCGACGCGGCCGCCGGACGCGTCGACGGCGATGCACGAGACGGTCTTGGCGTGCGCCGAGAGCACGACTTCGTTTGTCACCGGGATGCTGTAGCGCTGCGCGACGTCGTCCTGGCCCTCGTCGTCGTCCGAGTCGGACTCGGGGCCCGAGTCGTAGAGCGACGACTTCTTCTTGTCGCCATCGTCATCTTGGTCATCGTCTTCGTCGTCTTCTTCCTTTTCATCTACCGCTTCGGTCGGCGCGGGCGCATCGACGGCGACGCTCGTGAATTGCGGCGCCGACGCCATCATGTCCATCGTCATCTTGCGGATCTCTTCTTCGCGCTGCTTGCGCTCGAGCTCCTTCTGGCTGAGCTGTTTCGTCGTGCCTTGCTTGGCAAAACCCGTCGGCAGCGACGCGATCTCGTCCGCCGCCACAGGCAGCGGCGCTGGGGCTTCGTCCTTCGCATGCAGACCGCGAAGAATGTACACGCGCGAGCTTTTACCAAAGCGGACTTCGCTGCCGTTGGTCAAGGCCCGTCGCTCGTCCCCACGGAGAGGCTCGCCGTCCACCGTTGTGCCTTGGGCCGAGCCGAGGTCCATGATCTCGATTGAGCCCGTCTTTGTGTGCACGATGGCAGCGTGCTGCCGCGAGATCGTCTCGTGCGCGAGCTCGACATCGCAGACGTCGCCATTGCGGCCAAAGACGGTGCAGGCTTGCTGGCCGATGGCGACCTTGTCCAGCACGGTGCCATCCTTGACGACTTCAACGTGGCCCTTGACGTTGGCATGCGTCGGGGCGCCAGCCCTACACGCAGCTTAAGCTCTGTCCACGGAGCGTCGCGTTCGTACCACCGGGGCATCGGAAATCGCTGGCTCATGCTACTACTGCGCTCAACCTCCTCGACCTGCTGCAATGCTGGTTCCACCACCAGAGCCTACGAGACTCGATACTATGTCTTACAGGTTTATCGAGCAAAATTCAAAAGATATATTAATACGGCAATACTCAAAAGAAACTCAAAAACCGATACACGTTGAGTTAGATACGCTTGCGCCACTCCGGCGTCGCACGGGGCTGGCTGGGTACGTGGCCGAAGCTCCGGCCTTTGACGTGCGTGGCTCCGTCTGCCCCAGGAATGTAGCCGCGATGGGCGGCGCGCGCGGCCCGCGCCGCGCTCTGCTGCTCTACCTCGTCGGGCGTCACGGCCCGCGCCGCCGACGCCGCAGTCGGCTTGAGCAGGTCCGAGCTCGCGCTGGCGAGTAGCTGTCGAGACGACTTGGGCCGAAGTGGTAGCTCTGCTGCCTGGCGCGTTGCGGCAGCGCTGGCAAGCACCTTCTCGAGGCGCGCTTTCGCGGCGTGGACGGCCCGCTCGGCCGACGTCATGAGTTGCTCCTACCAGCCTCATCCTCAGCGAGTTGCATATTCGTTGCACGGACCTTGGAGGGTGCGCGGGCCATGGGCTTCATGAGCTCCGAGAGACTCGCTTGCCGCATCTGCTCCTCTTCCTTCTCGAGCTTGTAGAGTGCGATCTTTTGCTTGATCTCGATGCGTTTCTAGCGATTCGATGAGCAAAAGTGGTCTACGTCTCTGGAAGGTACGAGCGTCGCCACGGACGCCTGCGCAGTGAGCGTCTCTGGTTCAACGCGCTGCGACTGCTGCGCTTTCGCCGCCTTCCACTCGAGAATCTGCGTCTTCTTCCGCTGGCGCTCGGTCACGTTCCGCGACGACCGAGGGCGCTCGTTCGTACTAGTATGGCTCGCTGCGGTTGTTTCGCGCCGCTCCAGACTCTTCTTGCGCTCTCGCCAATTCACAATCGTCTTCTTCTTGGCCTGCAGCAGCGAGAGGTGCTGCGCGTACCACTCGAGGTGCGTCTGCACCGCGCTCGTCGTCTTGAACGGCAGCTTGGCGTGGCACTTGGTCCTAAAGAGGCCGAGCTTGGCAGCAACGGACGCGCGTTGGTCGAGGAGTGCAATCTCGTTGGCGACCGCGTCGTCGTCGTCGTCGTTGTGACCGTCGTCGTCGTCGTCGTGGTTGTTGTGGCCGTCATCGTCGCTGCGAACCGTGCTGGCTGTAAAGTAGGACACGAGGTCGTCCGGGTCGGTGAGGCCCGACGCGTGGAGCACTGCGACAAAGTGCGCGTGGTCGTCGTACGCCCAGCCGCCGCACGCATCGCCCGTCTCGTGCAAGAGGCTATCAAGCATGCGGACGCGCTCAATGTCCTGACGCGTCTCGACGTCATTGGCGGCGGCTACTCGCGGCGCCTTGCCCGTTGTCGGGCGGTCGATCGGGCGCTCGTTGGACCACGCATCCATCTTGGTCTCAAAGCGGTGCAGCTACAGTGCCATGCGCATCATCATCCACTGCGTATACCACGTGTATCGAGATGAGTACGTCGCGCTCGAGCTGGCCTTCGTGCACGACGAGGTCGTCAAACTGCGCGTGCTGGTTGGACCGAAACACAGCGATCGCGCTCTCCATGGCCTCGATGGCCTCTCTGCACGCGTCGACGTCGGAGAGCGGCGCGCCCCGCCGTCGCAGCGCGTCAATGGTCTGCGCTGTGCTTTGCAACTTGCGTCGGAGCCCGTCGAGCTTTTGAGCATACAGGCGGCCTAGAAAGGCGGTATAGGGAACTATTCTGCACTGCGCGATGCACCTTGGAGCTGGAGCGCGTCGTCGTTGGACTGCAGCGTTCTCAATATCTCGATGCTTATCGGCTTGATGGCGAGCGATGGCGTTGTGAGATACGTGGCGCGATCGCTCTCAGCCACGCGCCGCTTGCGCAGGTAGTACTCTTGCTTCTGGAACCACGCTTCTCTCGACCTCTCTGCGGGCGCCTTGTTTCTGCGTCCATCTAGCGCCATGACGGGGCGCGACGGGCTCGCGACAATGCGCCGCTGCACCGACTGCGCCTCCATGGCTCGCAGCGCGACCTCGAGCGAGTCGACAAGGTCGCTGGCGTCGCTTGAGGCGGCGCTTCGCGGGTTGCTGCTGCCGCTGCAGCAAGATGGATTCGATGGACGAACCGCGGGCCGGAGCGCGTGCGGTCTGCACACCACGGTTCGGCGGTCGCGTCGGTGGGCTGCTCCGTCGCGCGCTGGCCGGGCCCTCGCGGTCCTTCGCCGCCTTGGTCAAGAGCACTTGGCGCCCATACGTCCGCGACAAGACCGTGTTGCGAGCGCGCACGGCCGAGAGGTCGAGCTCGAATTCGTGTGCCTGCACTGCCGCCATGCGTGCGCCCTTTCGCCAAGATCGCGACCGCGGCTTGCGATTGGTCAATACCGTTACCCAAGGAGCGTGTTGAAGCTTATTTCAAGCTTATTTGGACCTACTCTTCTGTGCGCAAGACAGCGTCTTGGGCCATCTTGGGCCAGTTGACGCGGCGCAAGACGAAATAGTAGACGGTGCAGGCCGCAATCGACCCAAAGGTGAAGCCGGCCCAGAGCCCTTCGATGCTCCACTCCAAGTAGAAGCCGAGAACGCACGCGGTGGGAATGCCGACCATGTAGTACGCGCAGCCGTTCGTGATGGTCGCAATGTGCTGCTGCCCCATCGACTGGAGCACGCCCTGCGAGACGGCGTTCATGGCGTCGCTCATGTGCAGCGGAATCACAAACACAAGGGCCGTCGTCGCACGCCTACGACGAGTCCATTTCGTCATCCAAGCACACGGTAGAGATCATTTTTGCGTACGCAATGACTTCGGGGTCGTTGATAAAGACTTGCGGCAGGATGCTGCGCGAGAAGAAGATGAGCGCGCCCGTCGCGAGCGTGCAGCAGAGGCAGAGCGAGTACGCCATCTTCATGATGAGCTCGGCGTGGTGCGGCTTGTTACCGCCGAGCATGTTACCGACGCGGATGTTGGCCGACGTCGCAATGCCAAAGTGATCATGTAGATGAGGGCGATCGTGTTGGTCATGATCTATCAAGATATCAGTTCACTTGAAACATAGAGCGAAAGTACCGAGTTGACACCGATCGTGACGACGGCGTTGGGCATGAGACCGGAGAGCAACGTGAGAATCTCAAACGCGCCGTACTCAAAGACGAGCATAAAGAGACCCGGGAGACCAAACTTGAAGAACTGCCAGAGGTGGGCGCGGGCGTCGGCGTAGCTCCAGCGCAGCTCCCACTCGCGGTAGAGCGGGTTGATGAGAAAATACGGGACCATCATGAGGAGAAGCGCGACGTACGCAATGCTCCGCGCGATCGACGCGCCATAAAAGCCGAGGCTCGTGTGGTGCACCAAGTAGTAGCCAAGACCGACGTGGATGACGTTGCTGAGGAACGTCATGACCAGCATCGGCATCACAATGTCGTGGGCCTGGATCATCTTCTTGAGGATCTCGTAGACGAAGAGGAAGGGCAGGCCAGGAATTGTCCAGCGCGTGAAGACGCCGGCCATGTGCGAGATGGACGCGTCTTGCCCAAGCAGCACGAGGATGTCGCCGCAGAACCAGTTGAGGAAAAACACCGGTACGAACACAATGCTGAGGCCAAGGAGCGCGCTCTGGAGGTAGATGCCAAACTTGTACGTGTGGCCCGCGCCCGCCGCTTGGTTGCAAAGCGTGTCCATGGCCGTCGACATGCCCAGACCCGCCGAGAGCGACGTGATCGTAAGGTACTAGTCGTCGTCGCCGCATGAGCACATCCGATGCATAAAGCGATAGGCGTACCATGCCCGAGATGGCGGCCGCGTCCACGTACTCCTTGGTGAGCTCCGACTGCATTTGGCCAACAAGCACAATGTTGGTCGAGCTCGGAATGTACTCCATGAGCAGTGTAAAGATCTACGTGCCATGGGCTAAGCACGGAGAAGGCCACCGGCAGGAACGTACCACGGGCCCCGCGAGCGTGACGAGGTGCCACCACTCTTCGCGCGCATCGGGCAGCGTCTCCTCCTGGGCGTGGAGGCAGAGCGTGTGGTCCGAGTGGTCCTTGACAAGCGGAAGCTTCTCCTCCTTGCGCACAACTGCTTGATGCCCGGCCATCGGATTGCAAAATGAGGTTGCTCGTGATAGAGCCGGAAAAGGCGGCCAATCAAACGCGACGAAACGCCGTCGCGACCGCGGATTGGTCCTTCGAAGTTTCCTCAGAAAGGCCAAGTCGACCGACAAGAATCTTGGCACCCAGCGTTCGCACCCACGTGCGCTCGCCGTCGCGCGTATTACTATAAGATCTTAACTACGCTCGAGCAGACTAAATGGCGAGCTCGTCCCATGCGTCAACAGGATTTGGTCGATGCAGCTTGCCATGGTGCATGTGCGCTGTGGGGATGACGGACCGTTCCTCTTCTGTTGGCATCTTTGGTCGCCCTCGGCCAAAGACTGGCCACGAATGGACCACGCTCGTCTGCCCTTGGTGAGGCACGGTGATATCTGATATGCAAGTTTGACGCCAGCTTTCTCGCGAGGGATCACTTGTCACTGATCGGGGGTGTATGCTGGCGACGGCGCGGTGCGTGCATACGCATCCTCCACAGATCTGGTTGACTGCTCGCGTCAAGCGTGGTGCGAGCAGCGCCTCGTAACAAACGCCTCGAGCAAAAGACTTTGATGCCGCCTCTGCCACAGTGCCCGTGGTGATAGCAGGATGAGTTGGAGCTTGAACTAGGGCTCGACAGATACCACCGTCATGGCCTATCTATCATACGTGCATCGTGCAGACCACTCATTACATCGTATGATGGCAGACCAAGAGCTCGGCGTAAGCAGCCGGACGAGCTACTCCTCCGGCATCGGAATCAACGAGTTGATCTCAGCCGCATGCACCAACGTGCTGCTCCGTCCACAATTTTCACCGTTTGCGATCCCATTGAAACGGTAAACCAATCAAAAGCAACCAAAAATTCGAATGGTCCAATCAGATGGCGACTCGTGGCACGCATTACACAATGGGGAGGTGGGGGACCTGGGCTCGCGTAAATGCCTCAAACGCCATGCGCTTCCAGCTGATGTGGCTCAAGAGGACCCAGTAGACGCCGCCCGCAAAGACGAGGCCGAGCGCGTACCCGATCCAGAGCCCTTCGAGGTCGAGATGTAGGAAGAAGGCGCAGTACGCCGCGAGGAGGAGGCCCACGACGTAGTAGGCGACAACGTTGACGCACGTCGCAAAGCCCGGGCGGTCGATGCCGCGCAAGATACCTTGCGAGACGGCGTTGAGCGCATCAAAGAAATGCAGCGGCACCACAAAGAGCACGGCCAGAGTCGCCCGCCTACGCGCCATCAATGCCATCGATCGTAGCGACAACCATCGGAGCGTACGTGCGAATGCTGGGGTCGTACGCGAGGAAGACCGTCGAGAGCAGCGAACGCCCAAAGAAGATGCTGCTGCAAGTGACCGTTGCGCCCACGATGCACACCGCGTAGCCGAGCTGCATGGTCGCGGCGGCGTGGCGCGGGCGGTTGGCCGCCAGAAAAAACCGGAGGCGCGCCGCGATCGCGAGCGAGAGGCCGTAAAAGAGCACGTACAAGAGCGAGAGCAAGGTCACGAAAATCTACGCTGCCACGTCATTCTTCATGGATCAACAAAAAGCACCGACCGAATTGACGCCGACGGCCGTGATCGGGTCGGGGAGCATGCCCGAGACGAGCACGAGCAGCGCCAGCGCGCCCCACTCGAGCTGCATGGTCGCCGTGCCCGGAAGGCCGTAGCGCGCAAACGTGCAGATGCTTGCGCGCGTCGGAAGCGCCCATGACGACACAAGGCCGCGCCGCTGCATGTGCCAGAGCAGCAGGCCTGGCAGCGCGAGGTACGCGACAGCCCGTGCGATGCCGACGCCCACGACGCCAAGGCTCGTAAACTGCGAGAGCGAATACCCCAGCGCAATGTGCAGTACGTTGCTCGTGATGGCGACAAGGATCGGAGGCCCAACGATGCCTTGGAGGTGCAGTTGCTTCTTGAGCACTTCGTAGAGGAAGAGGAACGGCAGGCCCAGCGTCGACCACTGGATGATCTCGCCCGCGAGGAGCGCGAGCGACGGGTCTTGGCCCAAGAAGCGCAGAATGGACGCTGCGTGGACGTTGAGGAGACCCATGGGCACGCACATCTAGGCAATTTGGCCCATATTGAGCACGCAGAACCTCCACGAGGTCGTCGTACGACGGCAAAAGCCATGCACGCGCTCGGAAGGAGCTCGTCGCGCTTGAAGGGGCCTTTCGATCCGAGCGTATCGACGGCCGTCGCGAAGCCCAGCACGATTGCCATCGACGTGACGTTGAGGTACTATGTACGGGACGGAGATGATGCCCACCTTGAGGGTGTGGTACCGTGCTCGACATGGCGGCCGCGGCCACGTACTTGGCCGACACGCTGCTTCCTGGCATTTGTCCGGCCAAGACGACGTTGGTGACGCCGGGCAAGTACTCGAGCAGCAGCGTCAAGACCTAAGGCGTGAAAGTGGAGCGGGATTTGCGCGCGTTGGATGCCGCACCATGGGACCGGCAAGCCGCAGGAGGGACGCGAGCTCGGCTGCAACTTGGACCTTGGGCTCTTCCTTCGCCTGCAGCGCCATGCGCCGCAGCGGGTCATGCACCAGGAGCGTTCTCTCGGACATCATCTTGCTCGACGGGAGGCGATCGGCAAACTGCAAAGACGCACGCAGGTGATCAACCAACATTCCACTTTTCACAAAATGCATGCGTCGCTCGGATGCGACCGAAATTAAGGTGCCACAGCTATTAGGTACCAACTGCCGAAGAGACGACACGGAATGGTCCGCTTGAACATCATGGCTCGACGCCTGCTCTGAGCGGCAGTATACAAGTCTCTTAGCACTCAATGCCGGGACTCTTCGGCGAAGATGTGCGATCTAACGGCTTCGACCTCTGTGTTCCCAATTGCCCAACCGAGGGTCCTGCGGGCGCCAGCGTCGCCCGCGTATGAATTGACTCGGCCTTGTGTGTATTTTATTTCGCAACAGTAAGTGCCTCCAAGATCTCAGTCGGTCTCGGCGCGCGTGACGGCTTCGGCGGCGACGTCGGACCAATTGACGCGCGAAAGCAGCGTGAGGTAGATGCAACACGCCGTGAGCGGTCCCGTCGTGAAGCCGGCCCAGAGCCCTTCGACGCTCCACTTCAAATAAAACGCGCAAAAGGCGGCGACAGGGATGCCGACCAAGTAGAAGGACCCGGCGTTCACGTACGTAGCGACTTGCTGGTGGCCCATCGCTCGGAGGGCGCCCTGCGAGTTGCCGTTGAGTGCGTCAATGACGTGGCACGGCAAGAGGAACAGGAGGGCCCACGACGCGCGCCTAGACGATTCTGAGGCAATGCAGCCATGTACCATCGACCTACGACGTGACTTCGGGGTCATGGAGGAAGAGCTCGGGGATGAGAAAGCGGCCAAAGTAGATGCTCGCAAACGTCATGGTGACAGCGACGCACGTGAGGCCGTAGCCCATGGCCATGATGAGCTTGGCGTGGCGCGGCTTGTTGGCGCCGAGCATGTTGCCCATGCGGATGTTGACGGCGACCGAGATGCCCATGAAGATCATGTACACGATCGAGACGACGTTCATCAAAATCTACCCGTGCGTGGTAAGTATCAATCTTTCAAGGTCGCAAACGGTACCGAGTTGACGCCGATCGTGACCATGGGATTCGGCATGAGCCCCGTAAAGAGCGTGAGGAGCTCGAACGCAGTCCACTCCATCATCATCATGAGCATGCCAGGGATACCAAAGAGGAAGATCTCGGGCAGGTGCGCGACGGCTTCGGCGTAGTTGCAGCGGAGATGCCACTCGCGGTACACGGGGTTGTAGCAGAAGTAGGGCACCATGAGCAGCGGCAGCGCCATGTAGCTCACGCTGCGCGCGAGGCCGGCGCCGTAGAACCCGAGGGCCGTGTAGTTGGTGAGGTAGTAGCCCAAGACAACGTGGAGGAGGTTGCTGAGGACCGTCATCGCCGCCATCGGCAGCACAATGTTGTACGCTTGCAACAGCTTCTTGACGAGCTCGTAGAAAAAGAGAAAGGGCAGACCCAGCGTCGTGTAGCGCGTAAAGATGCCGGCGAGCGCCGAGATTTCCGGGTCCTGGCCCAGCGCCAAGAGCACGTCCTCCGCGAACCAGTCGAGGAGGACGACCGGTATTAGTATCTACGCACGCACGCATTTCAAAGCACAGAACATACGACACGAGAAGACGTACGAGACCGACACTGAGAAGCGCGCTTTGGAGGTAGACGCCAAACTTTTTGGTGTTGCCCGCGCCGTACGCCTGCGTGCAGAGCGTGTCCATGGCCGTGGCCATGCCGAGGCCGACCGAGATCGACGTAATGTTCAAGTACTAGCAGACAATATTGTGTCCACTGCAAAATAGTACTATGCACACGTACCATGCCCGAGATGGAGGCCGCGTCGACGTACGCCTTGGTATGCGGCGAGTCCATTTGCCCGACGAGCACGACGTTGGTGAGGCACGGAAGGTACTCCATAAGGAGTGTAAAGATCTATTACATACTTGCATGAGGAGGCGACGGAGGTAGGAGGCGTGTCGTACGACAGGCCCCGAGAGAGTCACGAGGCTGCGCCACTCGACCCACGCGTCCGGCGTGTCGTCGATGGCGCCCAGCTCGCAGGAGAGGAGTGCTGTCGCTTCGGTCATGGCGCTGTGCTTGGCTGCTTCGGTGGTCATTACGATCTCGAGGTGGTCGGAGAAGACGAAATTGCGATGTAGACAGGCGCCTGCTTTGAAAGGGGTGGCCGGCAGTTTTAGCAGATGGCAGCGGTCCACAGCCAATCAAATCGCATCTCGTCGGGCACCCAAACTCCCAGTAGCACGGATGGGCGCCCGTTCTGGCACTCATGGCAGTGCACACGCACGTTGCCAACAGGGTTGAGAAGCTCGACCGTAGCGGCCTCTTCTAGCCTCCAGAGCGCTTTCGGGAGCCATCCTCGGAGTTTGGTCAACTTGTCGAAAACGTTTCAAGGGTGGGCCTGTCGACAAATGGTCACGCTGGGCCGACTGAGATATCTCACTCATTGCACTAGTCATTTGCTGCACAGGGAAAGCAAGGAGACCGCCGCCTTGTAGGTTACAACTCTATGTCTACGACGCCTTCCCGGGCGGTTTGTCGATGAAGCAGCGCTTGATGAAGAGCGCGGTTTTGACGGGCCAGTCGATGAACGGGTCGGGCAGCGCGTAGCCTGCGAGGCCGACGACTGCTTCGCAAAACTCCGAGTAGAGCATGTTATTTGACGTCTCTTCTTCGTCCAACGCGCCGTCTTGCACGTTGAGAAAGAGAGCATTCGCCAGCTCGATCGAGAAGCGCTGCGTCAAGAGTCCGTAATCCTATGTTCGGGTGCGGCCACTGAAAAAGGCGACGAGCCTACGCGAAGGAGGAGCGACCACTCGCGCTTCGTCAGGTGCTGCGGCACCACGCCTTTGTCCTTGCCTTTCGGCTTGACAGCGTACGACTTGAAGATGCTTAGGAGGACCTCCTTGTGGTCCGCCAGCGTCATCTACGACCCCAATAAGATCTGCTTCGGATCCGTGCACAGGGCGACGACGTACGCGGACGTGCGGGGTCGACGCAATGTCCCGAAGCGGCGACGGCACCTCGACAGCGTGGCACAAATGCAGTGCAATGAACCGCTCGACGCGCCGCGAGAGACGATAGAGCTCGCCAAACTGCTCGTTGCAGATGCGGAGGACGATTTCGGCCAAGTCGACCACCGGGATGTGTTGCCTAGTCATTTTACTAGATTGCAACACTCGCCGCAACATCGTACGTCGTGTCGTCCTTGGGGATGGAGACGACTTTGGTTGCAATGCGCATGCGCTTGAGAACGCGCCAGAGCTCGTCGAGCGAGAGTGCGTGGGACATGTCGCTGCTGGGTTTCGTGTACATGGCGCGAAAGGCTCTCTCGTGCTCTTGAAAGAGCTCACGCACAGAGACCATCTCGGGCGACGGCTCCGCCTCGTCTTGCAGCAGCGCCGCAATCCCAGGTGTCTCCCAGCCAATTACCGTGTGCAAGCTCGGCCGGGCGTCTACGGTCGAGTGCATATGCCGGCAACGTCCATGGCATGCCTGCATACCGAGAACGACCTGCACGGTCGTCCGGCGCAAGGCCAGCTTGGCGACCTCCTTGTGCGTGACGAGGTTGCACGCGTGCCTCCAATTCAAGGCCCGCGCGTGGGGCACAGCGTTGTGCATGGCTCGGACCTAGTCCATAGATTGGCGATAAGAAAGAAATAGAAGAGATCGCGTGGAAGACCGCTCGGCCCTTGCTTTGTATGGCCACGAGCGTCGCGTGCAGCGTGGTAAGAGTGCGATTGAGGTCGCGCACGGGCTCCTTGGGCACGACGCGGAGCTTGGCCGAGACGAAATCGCCAACTTTCTTGCTCGCAACGGACGACCCCGTGATGTAGATGCTCGTGGGTTCGGGTTCGCAGTGGTCGGCTTGGGGCAGACGCTTCGGCAGGCGTATCGTTGGCATGTGGTTCAGCGTCGAGATCGAGATCTTCTTCGAGGCGCGTTTCTACATGTACTACTGCTTGTAAAGTGTTCGCACAAAGGTTGTGTACCTCGGAGGACGGTAGCACGACCTCGCTCGTGTCCTGGTGCAGCTCGGACGCACTCTGCACGACACCACCGGCCACGAGGGCGGCACAGATGTCGCGCCATATCCGGTAGCTGTCGACGATGCAGTCGGCGGCCAGCGCAGGCAGTGCCTTGGGCCCTTGTGTCCGCTCGTCGGTGACGCGTCGCTTCAACGGTGGCAGCTCGGGCTCGGTCTCGAGCTGGGCGAGGCGAGCGACCTCGGCGTCGCGAATCGCAAGCGAAATGCAAGGGCTCCGGAAGTATGGGTTCATCTCGCACGGGTCAAAGACGAGGGCGCTGAGCTCGATAAAGAGGCGGCCAAGCACGAGGTACCGCCAATGCAATCCAAAGTCCGTCTTGACGTCGTCAGGTACAATGGTTTGGAGCTGCGTGAACTGCGACTCGGCGTGCGCCGCCGCCACGCCGGCCAAGACGGGCCTCGATTGGGCCTGTGACGTCCGCATTTTGGCGACTGCCGCTAGCATAGAGCATATACACACACACACAAAGGCAGAGAGGACAGACCTTGCGACGGCGGCGCCACGGACGCCTCGTGGTCTTCAAAATGCCGCGCATAAAATAGCGTCGACATCGCCGCATAGTGCTCGAGTTGTCGCTGCCAGTCGCGAACCATCCCGTACATCGCGTCCACCTAACAATTGATAATTTGATACTTTTCAGTTGGTTGTACCGTCGACGGCGTCAACGGCTGCATCGAGCAAAACACGAGGTTGTTGACGCGGTCGGTGCACGCGTGGTGGATGCCGGCAACGAGTGCAAGCATGTCATCGCCCGTCATGTCGCGGACCGTCGGAAACTCGGTCACCTGCGCCTTGGCGAGGGCAAAGGCCGCGAGCTCCTCGAGGCAAGACTCGTCCGGAGTCACCTGTTGCCAACGTCACTTGATACAAAGTTGATACGGAACGGGACGCACCGAAAACAATTGGGGTTGGTGGAACCCCGTGTTGTACTGCAGCCGTAAAAGCGACTCCAAGACGTAGTGGGCAATTTCCGACACGACTTCCATGCGCAGCTGTCCGTCAAAACACACGCCTTCTTCGCGCGACGGCGTCGTCTTGAGAAAGACCTTGGCTATTTGCGTCAATCTTTCAATTTTCCAATCTTTCAACGTCCATAAAGACAACGCTTACCATGCTCGATGTTCGTTGTGAGCGCTTGAGTCGACTCGACGAGGAGCCGGTTCTCTTCGCGCAAGCGGTCGTACTCGTCTTGGAGTGCGACGTTGGTCTCGGAGAGCTCGGTCACGTTTTTTTGAGCAATGGCGACCTTGTCGCTACAGCAGCAACGTACTAAATACACACTTGTAAATCGCATTGCACACCAATCTTCCTGGAGCTTTTGCGCAATGCGAAGACTCGAGCTCACGAGGACGAAGCGCCGCCAGTCCTCGAACGTCGATGCCATCAGCGTGCGCGGTGAGCCCGAAGACCACATGGAAAACCAGCGTAAGTTCTTGGCCAGCACCTAGAGCTCGTCGTTGAGAGAACCTTGGAAGAGACATCAAATAGACCTTCTTCCGCACAACGCACGCCTCGTACCACGCGTACAAGCACGATTTGACGACCTCGTCGCTCCAATCTTGCAGCGCCGACTCGAGCGTTTGCTGCGCGAGCACGAGCTCCTTTTCAAGAAACGAGTTGCGCGTCATGCAGCGCAGCCTACATCGCTCGCCCTGAAGAGGAATTGCAGGTCAAGAGATCGCACCGCCGGCTGATGCGGCTCTTCACGTCGCACTGCGCTTGTTTCACAGCTGTAAAGTACGTCGTCTCGTGAAAGAGCTTGCGCCCCATCGAGAGGCGAACGTAGATGGTGCGCTGCACTTCGCTGCTCAAAAGCGTGACGAGGCCTTCGTACGGACCAAAGTAGCGCGCCAGCCGGTCTATACATCGCATGCTTGAAGCCACAATGCGCGCATCTCGATTGGTACCCAGAAGCATGCAGCAAAAGGCGGTCATGACGTCGTTGGGTCGGCTCATGTGATGCGTGAGCCGCTGGATTTCGGTAAACCCGACTTGAGCGTGCACGACTAGACAGATCGCGGGGTGTTGAGTAGGCATTGCGCCGATAAAATCGTACCGATCGAGCGGTAGTTGATGTCTTCCGACTCGAAGCGCTCGAGCCAGTCTTCGAGGAAGAGGCGCAACACGCCTTCGTGGCTTGTCTCGCCACACGTCTCGGTGGGTTGAGCGCACGCTTCAATGGTCTCGACGACAGCATCGACCCGCACGACGAGCGACGGCACCCATGTCTCTTGCGCCGGCCACGGCGTTTGGCGGCTTCGCGTGCGCGGTGTGCTTGGCGGGCTCGCCAGCGTCGTGGGCTTCCGCGGCAGGAACTGGTACTTGGCCGTCTCGTCGCGACTCAAGCCCAATGGCTGCGGCGACGCTGCGCCTTGGCTTGCCGGCCGCTGCGGTAGCGGACGCTTTAGGTGCTGCATGCTCAGTGTATATGGCTGGCGCGCGTCGGCGGCGCGTGGCGTCACGGTCAAGCGCGGTCGCTGCGACGACGAGCAGCGCGGCGACTCGGCCTTGCGTGGTGTCGAGATGGACGGAAAGAGCACCGTCGGCGACGAAGCGTCCCACTGCGGCACGAGGCCGAGGCCGTCTGCGCGCCGGCCATCGCGCTTCTTCATGGGCCGGCGCGCTCCCGGTGGCCTGGCGCTGGTCATACCGGCCGGTATCTTATTCTCGCGAAACGTTTCAAGGTGCATTACTGGTAGGTCAAACCTGCAAAAATGAATATTGAAAAATGTATACAAGGTCAGCTGGTTGCTGGCGCCACGGGGCTCGCGACGCTCGCATGCGCAGGTCGAATGAGCGATCCATCCCATCCGACGCCGGCAGATAGTATCCGATGACTGGGGTCGAGTACCGAGGATAGCTTGGCAGGCAGTGCCATACCAGCGTCTTTTCCAGCAATTATCTGATCCTTTATGAAAACCTTCAACAGTGGATAGTTGCCGATATCCATTCCCAAAGATTCCCGCGAGCCGCTTCTTCCAACGAGGCCATGTCGTCGATCGAGAAGCTCTCGATCTGTGGCATCCGCAGCTTCTACCCGGGGCGCGCCGAGTCGATCGAGTTCAACCAGCCGCTCACCGTGATCCTCGGCGCCAATGGTAGGCGCCTTCTTATGGCCAGCGCTTGAGGGCAACGCCGTAGGGTGCGGCAAGACGACGATCATCGAGTGCCTCAAGATCAGCTGCACAGGGTCGCTTCCGCCAAGTGCGCGCAGTGGCCAAAGCTTCATCCACGACCCCAAGATCCGCGGGGACGTCGAGGTCAAGGCGAACATTCGCCTGCGCTTCAAGAGCCGCGCGGGCCAGACCATGGTCGTGCAACGCACGTTCCGCCTGCAACAGATGAAGGCGACGTGCCGATACCAGGCTCTCGACGGCGTCGTGCGCATGCTCGACAACCAGGGGAAGAAGCTCAGCATCAACCAAAAGTGCGGCGAGCTCGACAAGCACATCCCGGACTTGCTCGGCGTCTCGGCGGCCGTGCTCGAAAGCGTCATCTTTTGCCACCAGGAAGAGTCCAACTGGCCGCTCCAGGAAGGTATCGTGCTCAAGAAGCGCTTTGACGACATCTTCGAGTCGGCGCGCTACACCAAGGCGCTCGACGCGATCAAGAAGCTCAAGAAAGACCGGCTGGGCGTCGCCAAGGACATGAAGCGCGACCTCGACGTGCTCGCCGAGCAAGTGAGCCGCGTGCGCGAGATGGAAGAGCAGCTCGAGGAGCAGCAGGCGAAGCTCGAGTCGCTGCAAGCGGACTATGCGCAGCTCTCGAGCGACATCGACCTGCGCGAGTCGCGCGTCCACGAAACCGAGGCCGCGCTCGGCCACGTGCGCAGCATCATGGACCAGCTCCGTGCGCAGGAAGCGGTCGTCAAGCAAAAGACCGACGAGATCACGCGCGTGTACCAGCAGATGGGGCGCGAGATGGCCGAGTCGACCGAGAGCCTCGAAGAGATCCTCGCCAACTACGACAGCATCCTTGCAATCAAGCGCAAGGAAGTGGCCGAGCTCTCGACGCAAGAGTCGCAGCTCCAAGACGAGCTCGCGAGCGTCGACCAGGCCGAGCGCAAGCTCGCGCACGAGAAGGGCGTCTTGGAAGCCACGATGGCGCAGCAAAAAGAGGCGGTGCGCGCCCGGACCGACTTTACCACCAAGCTCGGCTCGACCTACGGCATCGCAGCTGCCGTCGTGACGCCGGACGACGCGCGCATCTTCGCATCGCGGCTGCAGGACGTCCTCGCGCAGCTGGGCGCGACGTTAAAGCGGCTCGAAGCCGACGCGCGGCGTGGCGACGACGAGTGGAACGCCAAGCAGACAACCGTCTCGGCCAAGGTGCACCACTGCCACGAGACGCTTGGCGCCAAGACGCGCGAGCTATCGACGCTGAAGCGCAAGGAAGACGCACTCGTCGCGGAGCTCAACACGTCGAGTGGTGGCCTCGACGCGTCCCAGCGCGAGTGGGGCGTCGTGGAAGCGCGGCTCGCTGACGCCGAGGCCAAGCTCACGGCCTTGCGCGAATCGGCGACGACCGCGACGCTCAAACAAGACATTTTGGCGCTGGAAAAGGATGCCAATAGCATCACGTTTGATTTGCGATCGCTCGACGACAAGCTCCAGATCCTACGCACCTTTGAGCGGGACCAGATTGCGCTCGAGCACAAGCGCAGCGAGCACGCGGCGAAGCGCAAGGCGCTCGAGACCGCCCTCGCGTCCAGCCCCAGCGTCCTCGACGCGCCGCTGTCTTTGCGACGCTCAGCGACGACCGCACCCGCGTCGAGACGCTCGTGTTTGACCTCAAGCGGGCCACCGAGGCGAGCAGTGCCAGCGTCGCCCAGCTCGAGCGAGACATGGCCGAGGCCCAAGTCAAGAAGCGCACGGACGAGCGGGCGATTGCGACGACGCGGAAGCGCTACGAGACGCTCTTAAACGGCCCGATGCTCGAGTGGAAGACGCTCCTATCGACCTTTGGTCTCGAGCCCGAGACGGCGCTCACGCAGCTCGAGACGCAGTACCTCGATGCCAAGGACAAGACGCAGAGCCGGAAGAATACGATCGTGTTTCTGCGCACGTACATGAAGAAGGGCGAGAAGGACCACTGCTGCCCACTCTGCCAGCGTGGCCTCTCGCCGGACGAGGAGGCTCTCTTTTCGCAGCTCATTGCGAGCAAAATGGACGACAGTAGGAACCAAGAGAAGATCGCCAAGGCCGAGCGCAACGAGACGGCCGCACTCGACGCGTGGAAGCGCTGCGAGAAGCTCCTCCCGCTCTACACTGAGTATGCGGCGCTCGAGGCCGCGCTCCCGACCCAGACGGCCGAGCTCGAGTCGCTCTACACGACGATCCGCATGCTCGATGTGCAGCTCCAGGAAGCCAAAGCGACGCACTCGTCCAACGTGACCCGCTCCGACGACGCGGCGACGGCTCTCAAGCACCTCACGTCGCTGCAGACGCAGTGGGAAGAGCTCTCGTTTATGGGCCGTCGCCTCGACGGCGACGAAGACCACCTACTCTCGGAGAAGACGATCCGACTCGGTGCCAACCCACCGACGCTCGCCGAGGCGCAGACGGCCCGCGATAGCAAACAAGCGTCGCTCCAGGAAAGCCAGTCGCGGCTCAAGCGGCTGCAGCGCGAGTTGCAATTGCACCAAGAGGCGCAGCAAGGTCTCCAGAACGAAGTGCACAAGTGCCGCGAAGAGAAAGCGGCGATCCAGCAGCGCCGTGTGGACGTCGAGAAGGCCCGCGAGGCGCGCGAGGTCCTGCGCACGCAAATCAAATCGTTGCAAGATGACATCGCCACGCTACAGCGCGACCTCCCGGGCTACCAGCGCGAGCTGCAGCAGTGCAAGAACGAGCAGCTTTTGGCGCGGGACACGCACGCGCGGGCGATCGCGACTGCGCGCGACGCCTCCTCGCGCTGTGAGAACGACAAGCGGCAGTACGACGACAAGAACAAGCACGCCGACTCGTTTGCGCGCCAAAATCTCGACGGCCGCGCGCTCGAGTTGACCGCCCAAATGCAGTCGCTGCAAACGATGAAGGCCGAGAAGGCACGCCGCATCGAGCAGATCCAGCCGGAAAAGTCGTCGGCGCTCCGAGCGCTGGACGAGAACGTGAGTCTGAAGCGGCAGATTGACGACAATTTGAGCTACCGGCGGCTCCAAGGCGAGCTGGAGCAGGCCAAAGCAGCCGTGCAGGCGACGCAGCGCCAGCTCGGACAGCTGCATAGCGTGGCCGAGGCCGAGCGGTTGGTCGCGGAAGCCAAGCAGAAGTGCGACGCGACGCGCGAGGAGCGCGCTATCTATCGCGGCAAGCAAGAGGGGTTGCAGGAAGCCGTGCGCAACACCCAGGTCAAGCTCCATGGCCGGGATTTCAAGAACGTGGATGAGAAGCAGCGCTGCAAGCTCATCGACTACGAGACAACGATGATGGCGGTCTCGGACCTGGACAAGTACCACAAGGCGCTGGACCTCTCGCTCATGGAGTTCCACTCGAAGAAGATCGAAGAGATCAACGCGATCATTCGCACGCTGTGGCAGATCACGTACCGCGGCAATGACATTGACACGATCGAGATTGTGAGCGGCCAAGAGTCGGGGGCTGCCGCGCGCGCCGGCCGTTCGTACAACTACCGCGTTGTGATGCGGAAGGACAACACGCTGCTCGACATGCGCGGTCGGTGCAGCGCCGGGCAAAAGGTACGGTCCCTTCCGGGTTCGATCCACCGACCACTGGCATGTGTAGGTGTTGGCGGCGCTCGTCATCCGGCTCGCGCTCGCCGAGACCTTTTGCTTGAACTGCGGGATTCTGGCGCTGGACGAGCCGACGACAAACCTCGATTCGGCCAACAAGCTCGGGTTGGCGCAGGCCATTGCCGAGTACGTTTGCATATTTGTGTGTCGTACTATGTGTGTTGCGTAGCATTCTCAAGGCGCGGGAGAACCAGCACAACTTTCAGCTGATTTGCATCACGCACGACGAGGAGTTTGTCCAGATGCTCAACCGGTCGCAGCTCATGGGCGGGACGCGCCCCGAGTACTTTTGGACCGTGAGCCGCGAAGAAGTGTACGCCTACGATCTTACTCTTAGCGACACAACTTATATACATTGGAATAGCGCGCCACGCTACTACTGCAGCAAGATTGAGAAGCGCAACTGGAACTCGGACGTGATTTACCGACCGACCGACGACATTTAACGCATTTTATGGCATGCATATTGATACATTGATAATATATTAGATAGATGTTGGGATGCAGAGTGTACAGGATTACCACACAAACGGCGCTTGCAGGAACGGGGATCGAAGCGACGGGTGCACGGAACGAGGGCGGTGGACGGGTCGTCGCGGCAGGACGACGACTAGGGTGCCGTTGGGATGGAGCTGGTACGATAGGTTGCGAACGTCAATGAGCTGGAGGGGAAACTGCTCGCGGAGGAGGAAGCGGCCGTAGGCGGGCGACGTCATCGACGGCAGCTTGTAGCCAGTCACTTGCAAGACGCCGTCGGGGGTGATCGACACGCTCAGGTTGGCAGGATCGACACCCGACAGGTTGGCCACGAGAGCGAGACCGTCCGAGTGTCGCCGGATCTCGTACGCCGGTCGCCAAATCGGCAGCTTGGCCACATCTGCGGGTGACAGCGGCTCGTTTGCCATCTCTTCGTCTTCCTCTTCTTCCTCTTCTTCCTCTTCTTCGGCACCGTTCTGGTCGTCCTCTTCATTGTCATCGTCTTGGTCACTGCGTCTTGGTCACTGCCTTCGTCGTCAGCCTCGTTGTCCATGGGCTCATCGACTTGGTCGTCGTCGTCTTCGCATTGGTTGTCGAGATTGTCGTTTGCAACCTTGCTCGGCGACGACGGAGGCGTCTCGGGGGCAAAAGGCGCAAGGAGACGTGACGCAAAGACCGAGAGGCGGTCGAACTTGGCCTTGAGCGCATCGGCGTCACGGAGGAGGTCTTGGATGCGAAGGACTGTCTGCTTGCGCTGGAGGCGAATGGCTTGGTCGCCATCGCTCAGCACCAGGTCGAGGTCGCACAAGAGGCGCGTCAAAAGCTCGCCTTGCTCCAAGACGCGGAAGCGGTAGGCTTGGAGCTGCAGCATCGTCTTCTTGTAGATCATCGCATGGTCCTTCTCGGGCAGCGCTGCGCAGAGCCACTTGGCGCCGGTGATGGCGGCGGCTACGATCTGGTGCTGGTGCGGTAGGCGCGAGTGAAGTCGGTCTTGGATCGGGCTAATGCGATCGGCGATCGCTTCTAGCTGCTTGGATGCTGGTGTCATGTTGAAGTGCAATGGAAATGTAACCTCGGATGCGCTGGCGCGCTGGTCATTTGTCCTGGCTTTTCCAGACGGTTCTAGAAATTCGCGCAATTCGATTGGCCTCTCGAAATTGCCGCGGCTTCTGATTGGGCCGTACCTCTCGCCGGTGGTATCCGGACATCCGGACGACTGACGAAGCTTTGCGGCGATGCTCGACTGGGCGGCGCTGTGGCCATGCGCGCGCCTGCAGCAAAAGTACGCGCTCGTGGCGTACCTCCTGCACATCCTCCACCACGCGCTCTGCGCCAAGAAGCCGCGCCTGTACAAGCAAGACAACCCGGTCACGGCGCGGCTGCTCGCCAAATGCAGCCTCCTGCGTACGCCGCCGCCTCGTGCCATCGCTTGCTGACGCCGCCACCTTGTGTAGTGGAGACATACCATCCGAGCTGGTTTCTCTTCAACGGGTTGGCAGCCTACGTCGCGTCGAGAGATGGCTCAGAACCGGCGTAGGCACATGCAGACGATTCTGGTCGCGATGGGCTGCGACGCGCCGCAGGTGAAGTACAAGCGCGAGATCTTGAGCTTGTCGGACGGCGGTATCGTGTCGCTGGACTGGGCGCAACATCCCAATGGAGATACGTACGGCCATGACCATCCGACGGTGGTGCGTTCTCTTTCTCGATGATGACGATGATGATGCGTACTACATGGCCGTGCCTATTCTCCGCTAGCTGCTCCTGCACGGCTTGACGGGTGGTAGCTCCGAGGTAGACACCATGCTCAAGCGTGATATTCATCTTCTTGGTAGATTTACATTCGCATGACGGCGGTGAAGCTCATGCAAGCCGGGTGGCGCGTGGTTGTCATGAATGCCCGTGGCTGCGCCAAGACACCGGTCGTGACCGCCAAGGTGGGTTGACGTTGATGACAACTGCGCGTCAGGGACGATTTTCGACTAGCTCTTTTGCGCCGCGTACACGCAAGACGTGCGCGAGACCGTCCGGTATCTGCGCGAAGAGCATCTGCCGACGGCGCCCCTGGTTGCCGGTGGCTTCTCGCTCGGCTCCAACATCCTCCTCAAATACGTTGGCGAGGAAGGCGAGAGCTGCCTCCTCACTGGCGCCATCTCGGTCGGAAACCCCTACGACCTCCTCGCCTCGAACCGGAACCTCATGCACTCGTGGCTGCACAACCTCTTGTACCGCAGCGCACTTACAACCAACCTTGTGACGCTCTTCTTTGAAAAGGTAATACTTGACTCTCTCGCCTTTGGGCGCTAAGAAAACGTGCGATTAGTCCAATGCCCACACCCACTTTGTGCAACACCCCGCTATCGACCTCAACCACCTCCGCAGTGCGCAGAGCGTCTGGGACTTTGACGACCGCCTCACGCGCCACGTGTTTGGGTGCGTTTAGACGACCACCGCAGACGGGTACGAAGGATCGGGCTGTAGGTACGCCACCGTGAGCGACTACTACCGCGACGCATCGTGCAGCCAGTGTACGTCTGACTTGGAGAGCGGCGCTAAGGGGGCGTGGGACTAGACCTCAAGCACATTCGCATCCCGACGCTGTGTTTGACGGCGGAAGACGACCCGATCTCGATCCACACCGGCATCCCGTACGACGACTGCGAGGCGAACCGCCACATCGTGCTGGCCGTGACCGAGCGTGGCGGCCACCTCGGTTTCTTCACGGGCGGCAGCGTTGTCGCCTTTCCGGATATGTGGGCGTCCAACGTCTTTGTCCAGTTCTGCAACGCAGTGGAAGACCTCGCGTCCAACGCGATTCCTCTCGAGCGGCCTGGTGTCTCGGTGCTCGGCCGGCTCTTCCAGCCCGGCATCAAGCCGTCGTCTCCCGGCCCCACGTACGATCCATCGCCATGCGAAGCGCCCTGTAGCACCACCGCGCAATGGGTGTGCGTCACCCTTGCGCTTGGTCTCGGCGCCAAGGCAGTGTACGACCGCCGGTCGACCTTGCTCGGCACGCGCATCGGGTGGTATTAATGGTCTTAGTACTGAAATTGCTTGTCTTGGCCCTTCTGGCTTCCCTACGCACGGCGCTGCAGATCACTGCATTGGAAGGCCAACCAGGTCGTACCAGCGCCTTGTTGGAGGTTGTTCGCCGCATCTCCTTGACGGCGGCGGCCAGCGCCTCGGGGTTGACGCCCTTCTCGATGAGCGACACGATGATGCCAAGCGACTCGCGGTCGAGGCCTGTGTTGAGCAGCCGCGAGAGCTCATAGACCGCTACGCATCAAGCCTGTGAGGCCACGTCATGGTCCATGCAGCGTCGTACTCTCAAAGGCCTCCTTGGCCTGCCCGACCTCGCTGGCGCTGCTGCTCATCCCTGCTGTGCAAATCGAGTTCTTCCGCATACGTTATCCGGATGATTCATGGATCGTGTTTGAAACACACGAAAAAAACATGGATAGGCACGTTAAACGAGCGTTTTATACTGCGTGGCGGAATAAAACCCAGCGTCCTATCGACCTCGTGAAGAGGTGAAGAGGTTCATTTAACGCTATTATACGTATACCGTGCTAGTGCGACGTCGAGCGCCAAGAGTTTGGGAAGTTCAAGTCGGGGTCGCCGAACTCGGGACTTCGGGAGCCGTCGTGCCCCTTGCCGAATTGCACTGAAAACCGCACTTGATCGAGTAACCGGCTGGTGTAACCGTACTTAGCCGGTATTTTATTCGCGGTTCCATCGATTTATCCGGCAGCGCTTGGTTGCCCCTCGATAAGTAAGGAAAACGAAGGAAGGAAGAAGGATGCTGCGCCCTGCCATGAGCCGTCTCTCGGGCATGCGCGCCCTCCAGGGTGGCCGCGCCATGTTCTCCACGGCCGGCCTCACGCCCGAAGTCGCGTCGCCGGCGTCGTCGCACGTCAACATTGTCGTCGAAGAGACGTCGCACGACGATCTTGGCCGCAAGCTCAAGCCCAAAGAGGTCGTGGACCAGCTCGACAAGCACATCATTGGCCAGAACGACGCCAAGAAGGCCGTAGCCGTTGCGCTCCGCAACCGCTGGCGCCGCCAGCAGCTGCCTGACCACTTGCGCCCCGAAGTGTCGCCGAAGAACATCTTGATGATTGGTCCGACAGGGTGCGGCAAGACAGAGATCGCGCGCCGCCTTGCCAAGCTGGCGCAGGCGCCGTTCGTCAAGGTCGAGGCCACCAAGTTCACGGAGGTTGGCTTCCATGGCCGCGACGTTGACCAGATCATCAAGGACCTTCTTGAGAACTCGATCCAGCTCGTCAAGAAGACGCGCATGGAGAAGGTGCGCAAGGACATCCAGCACGTCGTGGAGCAGCGCATTGTGGACGCGCTGGCCGGTCAGCACTCTGGCGCACAGTCGCGCCAGTCGTTCCTCAACCTCTTGCGCGCTGGCGAGATGGAAGACCGCGAGATCACGATCGACGTCCGGAGCCCTGCCGCGACGACGACCACGATCTCGATGGACTCGTCCGGGAAGCTCAACAACATGAACGAGCTCATGAAGGCTGTCTCGGGCAAGAAGCTCGAGAAGAAGAAGACGACGGTGTCGGAGGCGCGCCCGATCATGGAAGAGATGGAGCTCGAGAACGCCATCGACATGGGCGACGTGGTCAAGGAGGCCATCTCGGAAGCCGAGGAGAATGGTATCGTGTTTATTGATGAAATTGACAAGATCTGCTCCAACGGCAGCTACCGCGGCGCCGATGCGAGCGACGAAGGCGTCCAGCGCGATCTGCTGCCGCTCATCGAGGGCTCGACGATCTCGACCAAGCACGGCAACGTCAACACGGACCACATTCTCTTCATCGGGTCGGGTGCCTTCCACGCCGTTAAGCCCAGCAACCTCCTCGCCGAGCTCCAGGGCCGGCTGCCGATTCGCGTCGAGCTCAAGGGGCTCACGGAGCAAGACCTCTGGCGCATCTTGACCGAGCCGGTCGCGAACCTCGTGCTGCAGCAGAAGGCGCTCATGGCGACGGAGAAGGTCAACCTCGAGTTTGACGACGACGCGATCCGCGAGATTGCGGCCGTCGCGTACGCGATCAACCAGACGATCGAGAACATTGGCGCGCGCCGGCTGCACACGGTGCTCGAGAAGGTCGTCGAGGACCTTTCGTTCGAGGCCGCCGAGTACCCGGAGAACCACACGGTGCACGTGACCAAGGAAATGGTCCAGACGCGCGTCGGCTCGATGCTCAAGAAGACGGATCTCTCCAAGTTCATTTTGTAAATGGGCAATTAATCCAAATTAACCGTGGCTTGTAAACGTCATCGATCGCTTGGCCGAGCATACCCCCGGCTGCATGCGCTGTCTTGCACTCGGCCTTCTTCCTCGGTTGTCCTCGTGCCGAATAGGTTAAAGAGTAAAACGCACACGTTTTACTCTTTAACCTTCTTTAACCTGCAAGGGTATGTGTTATTTACCGGTACCCTTGCAGAAACACAAGCGACCGACAATGATCTTGGACGAGGGTTTCGTCCTTCAGGTAGCGATGTTCCTGCCGTCGCCCATGGCCGTCCGCGTCTTCCTCCAAGCGCTATCGATAACCTCTCTCTCGGCGCCGTTAGAGGCGCTCCAGAGGCTCCTCGAGACGCCGTGTCTACTGGACGACGACTGGCCGCAGCCGGACGTGCCCTTGCTGCTGCACCACCATGCGCAGCTCGTACTCACCGCGATGCCCGTGCTTCCGCCCATAAAGCTATACGCGCACTGCATCGTCAAGCTCGAGCGTAGTCTGCGCCATCTCGCCGGGTACGACGCGGACGGCTGCGCGTTCCGCACCTTTGTCACGAAATGGGCGCACAAGATTGCCGCCATTGACCTCACCGACACTGCGCGCTGGGACCACACCGTGCTTTGCGATCTGCTGCGGCAGTGCACGCAACTAGACCACATCTCTGTCGAGTGCCGGCAGCACGAGCGGGCAGTGCTGGCAGCCATCACAACACCGTCGCACCGCGTCCGCAGCATCGAGTTGGTCGTGCCCGGCGACGTCGCCAACTATGCGCCTCAAGACGCAGCGACCCAACTCCTGCCGTGGCTGCGCTCGGGCCACGCCACCCATGTCGGCCTCAAACGCTTCCGGTCGCTGGACGAGGCCAGCGCCAGGAGCCTCGCCACCGCGCTGCTCTCGACGCCATCGGTCGTCAGCCTCCGAGTGTACGAGTCGGGTCCAGTCACAGCGGCGCTGATAGAGTCCGGTCTCTCGCTGGCGCACCTCACGCGGCTCGACGCGTCGGCGTACGACGTGTACCGGCTCGTGCCGCACTTGACCCTCGAGAAGGTGACGCACTTGCACGTACGCTGCGAGTGGACCCGCAACATCGACTGGCTCGTCGCTTTGCTACCCGGGCTCACAGCGCTGGAAGACCTCGCGGTCTATAGTGGCACCGTCACCGACTGCGAGGGCTTCTTAGCGTCGCACGCAACAGCGCTGACGACGGTGCGCTTCTACGCAATGGAGTGGACGCGCAGTGGCCTCCTCGCCGCCCTCGACTGGATCTCGACGTCAACGCATCTCCAGTCCGTGTCGCTGGACGCTCTCAGCCTCGCCAAGTGCGCCGTGGAGCTCAGCAGTGCGCTGCGTCTGTGGATTCTCGTAGGCTGTCGTCGCGTGAGCTTCTCGGACGGCGACCTCGATGATGGTTGCCTTGTGCACATTGCACGCGCACTGCGCCATGTCCGCCATCCCACGGCGCTTCTGGTCGCGTTGGAAGGCACGCAAGTGGGTATCGAAGGCTTCCGGTGCCTTCTCGACGCCCTTGCAACAAGCACATACGTATCCGTGCTCCTCGAAGTCAGTGACGAGGCGCTGGCGCCACAGCGTGCCGAGATGGACGCTCTCTTGGCCAAATACAAGGTGACATTTCGCGAGAGACACGAGGACTATCATTATCTCCACAGTCCGCTGCATGTGGCACAAGGTTCTTCTTGAATAGTATACATCCAATGTCGTGAAGCTCAACGGGTGCGTTTGTGGGCTTGAACCTGGAGGAGCAGCCGCAGCACATCCGCGACCCGCACCACCCCTACCCTCGATCTTAGCCACTTCATGCCAGATGCGTGTACCGATGATTTCGTGGCTGGTTGCTTGAACATAGAGGCGCGACGCGTTGTGCGAGTAGAGCTCCGAGACAGCTTTGGCCACAGAGCATGTCGATGGCACCGTCGGCAGTGGTTTGTTCTACCCCGTTGGTATAGTTAAGACTAGGAAATGCTTTTACACTACGAGTACCTTGAGCACATGGCCAATGGGGCGCAGCAAGTAGCCAAAGTTGGGCAGCGGTGTCGAGAGCGAAATGCTGGTTGGCATGACAACCCCGGCATCCGTGCGGGGCGGCCAGTTTTCGACGAGCTCGAGGATATCGGTCCAGCTACCGACCAAGTGGAATCGTAATCTCCAGTCGCATGGCAAAGTACCCAAACGTCGAGTACGCGTCGTCCTTGCCGTCGTCGTTGAGCAGGAGGAGCCCCGAGAGGTTGCGTGCCCGGAGCAGCTGGAACGCCTCGAGCATGCTGCTCGACGACCGACGCAGCGCCAACGGCTGAAACACAAGATCTCGGATCGGCCGATGGGCGGAGTCGCCTAGTCCATTGACAGCACAGCTTGAAACAGCCTGAGCAACAAAGTCATAAAAAAGTACCTAGGACCGAGACGTCTTCCAGTATGAATCGCAGCACGTCCCGAGGCGAGAGCACGCCAAGCACGTCGACGGCATGCGTCGGACTCAGAACCATGGGTACGTACGTATCCCCTATGCAAGATACAACATCGCAGACTGAGCAGAGAGCACGCAGCGTACGCGTCGCGAGTCGGTAAATCAAGTTGAAGGCAAAATCGTCGCTGCATATGGCGCGAGGTCCCGGCGCCGACTCGGTCGCTTCATTGTGCATGCGCAAAACGTCGCGAAGCGCAAGCATCGCAAAGCGCCGGCCCGCGTCCACCGCGTAGCTCTCATACTTGAGGACTTGCATGTCTGCCAGCTTCTTCTGGTTGAAGACGTAGGAGCCAAGGCGCTGCATGTCCATCTCGAGCGGCGGCATGAGCGTGAGCATGCACCTACTTGATACGTTGATACATGTGGCATCCGACAATATGTTCACTTGACGAAAATGGCGCAGTCGACAACGCCGAGAATCACCTTGCCGCCCATCTTGGTCGTCTTGCCGCGCTCGTAGACAAGGGCAAAGTCCGTCTTGCGTAGTTGCAGCTGCTTGAGTGCAAGGAACGCGTGCAAGTCGTCGGGTAGCTCCAGCGCGGTTTGCGTCGTACATGGCAGCCGGCCAATGTCGCGAATCTGTCGCCGCCAATAGTACAATCAAGATGGAAGATGGTGTCCCAACCTTGGTGCGCCAGAGCGGTGCGTGCGGCGGGGGCACAGGCGCGTCAAGAACGTCGCTGTCGTCGAACGACGGGTCGTAGCCGCTGGGCTTGGCGGTCTTGAGCTGCGCGTCGCGAAGGCCAGCGAAGAGCGTCTCGATTTCTTCAAAGCAGAGGCAAATCGCGGGGTGCGTCAGTGCAAACTCGGTGGCTTCTTTGATCGTCACGTGCTTGGAGTCGTCGTTGTTGTCGCGCAAAAGACTCTACGCGCGTCGGTCGCCAGTGAAGTCTGTGATATCGCATCGTACTTCGATGGCGCTGATTACTTCGGTCGACGGCGGCTCGGTCACGCGCAGCACCTTGGAGATCGCCGCCACGAAATCGCGGTACATGCCCACTTTAACGTGGCTCGCAATGTCTACACTTGCCGTGGTCGAATACATTTAGCGCGCTTGACGTACACACGTCGCTGGGGTCGGCGAGGTACATGCGGCAGAGAAATGTAAGCTTCTCCTTGATGTCGACAGGCAGCGCAAGGCAGATGCCGATGAAGACTTCGGCCGCGACAACGACAGGCGCGTTGGCGGCGTGCCGGTGCTCAAAGAGCTACTTCACTCGACGCAACGCGCAATATCTCGGTATCGCTACCTGAAAGTGCGGCTCGGCGTCTTGCACGACGATGCCAAAGACCTCATCGAATTGACTGGGCGTCAAGAAGCGCGCCAAGCGGACCTCGTCCCGGTAGATGCCCCAGCTCTCGTCGAGCGTCTTGATGCTCTGGAGCACGTACTCAGAGACGAGGACGCGATGGCTGTCGTCGCCAAGGCTGTGCGACGACGACGCGACGCCCATTTCCTTCGAATTCGATGGCTTTTTCCCAGGTGCATCGAAGGTTTCCACTCTTTTTGACGATGGAGCGCCCGACGATCATGCTGGCGACGCACTTTACGCCCACGTGCTGCAACGACGACCAGACAGTCTGGGTTGCTCTGGTCGGCATCTACATCGTGCTGCTGCTCAAGCTGTACGGAAACGTGGTCGAGGCGTCTCGCGCTCACTAGTGCGTAGGTGGTACGCACCGGTCGTCTATCCGTTCAAGCTCCTGTGCGGATTCTTCGTCGTCCTTCTCTTCTTACACTCACATTCGTTGTCTCTAGCGCCTACTTTACGCACGAGCTCCTTCGATGCATCGCGGTCGTTCTCTCCTGCGGCAAGGTGGGCCGTGCGCCATCTCAATCTAAATCGGAACGTATTGTTTTGTAGCTGGACGGCATGGCTATTCATCCCGAAGAAGGCTCCGAGACGCACTTTGAAGAGGGATCGCCGGGCTTTGTGCTTTGGCTGGTTCAGAGATTGGCTGTGACGGTTGACCGATTCAATTACTGATGATAGGGTTATCTCGGGACAATGGCGTGGGGACTGGTTCAAATGTGTGCCAGGTATAAATGGGCGCGCCATTGGTGCGTTGCACGTCAATGGCGTACTAGTCTCTACTACCTCCCGACGGTTGTCTGCACGAGCGTGACCCTTGGGCTTCTCGTGTGCTTCTTCCTCTGCGCCGACACGCGCTACCTCCGGCTGGTCATAGCGCTCTCGTTTACCGCTCTTGTGGCGCTGCTCGCGTACGCACTCAGCACCCACTCGACTAATGTGTGACTGCTTGGTACTATGACAAACGACTCAACCTCAGCTAGGTGCTGCGCTTCGTCGTGCTGCTTTCCGGCGTCAACCACGCACTTTTCTTCTTCTTGGACGCCGCCGCCGACCTCCGCGTCCACCCCAGGTACGGCAACATCAATTGTGTTCACTTATTACACGATTGGCTCTAGCGACAGCTACCAGATGCTGACCGTCTACGGCGGCGTCGCCCTCGTCGTCGCTGGGCTCTTGCAAGCGGCCCTCTTCGCCTGCGCCGTCGCATGGAACCTCGCTGCCCTCGGCGGCGCGATGCCGATTTCTCTCGACACGATGGCCTTGCCCACGCAAGTCGTCTGCGTCTGTTTTCTCGTTGCGCTCACCGTCGCCGTGGGCCACTCGCTCTACCGGCAGCAATGTACGAACCGCCCGTAAAGTTTCAAGTTGATAGATTGTGTATTAGGCGCACTGCGACGACCCGAGTTGCACGCGTTGGAGGACGACGACGACAAGTTCGTTTAGGAAGAGCTAGTGCCCAGACGGTCCCCGTATTGCAGTTGGTAATATGCTTGGAACTCGCCGTCTTTGACGGGCCGCCACCACCTTTCGTTGGCCACGTACCATTCGACGCTGGCGACAATCGCCTCTTGCGGCGAGTGCCGCGGCCGCCACCCGAGCGCCGCCATCTTGTCAATGTTCAAACTGTACCGCCGGTCGTGGCCCGGTCGGTCGGTCACGTGGCGAATGAGACTCTCGGGCTTGCGTAGCGTCTGCAAAATCAAGCGCAGCATCGAGAGGTTGTCGAGCGTCTCGCCTGCGCCCGCATTGTAGATCTCGCCAGGCGCGCCGTTGTGGAGGACGAGGTCGATGGCTTCGCAGTGATCCTGCACGTGCTGGTACTCGCGTCGCTGGAGCCCGTCGCCGTACACGGGCAGCGGCAGGTCCTCGAGCGCGTTCGTGGTAAAGAGAGGCAGGACCTTCTCGAGGTGCTGGTACGGACCAATGTTGTTGGAGCCGCGCGTGATCGTGACGGGCAGGCCAAACGTCGTAAAGTACGACAGCACCAGCAAGTCGGCGCTGGCCTTGCTCGCCGCGTACGGGCTGCGCGGGTCGAGCTTGTCCGTCTCGAGCGACGAGTGGCCGTCGGGCACATGGCCGTAGACCTCGTCCGTGCTAATGTGGTGGAAGCGCGCAATGTGATGGCGCTTCGCGGCCTCGAGGAGCACATAGGTGCCGAGGACATTTGTCTGCACGAACGCATCCGCATTGAGGATCGACCGGTCGACGTGTGTCTCGGCGGCGAAGTTGACGATGACATCGATGGCATGGGTCGCCATCGTGGCTTCGACGATCGCGGCGTCGCCAATGTCGCCCGGCACGAAAGCGAAGCGCGGATCGGAGCTGGCGGCCGCGAGGTTGGCCAGGTTCCCGGCGTATGTGAGCTTGTCGAGCACGACAATGCGGTAGCTGGGGTACTTGGCGAGCATCAAGTGGACAAAGTTGGCGCCGATGAAGCCCGCGCCGCCCGTGATAAGGAGGTGCATAGCGGATGTATGGCGTGTACGGACAGAAGTCGCGCTCTGATCGCAACCGCTGATAGCATACTGAAACGGGCCAATCAGGAACGGCCAATCGAATCGACCAATGGCATCGCCGCGTCGAGAAGCCACAACCGTGAAGCCACCACAAGCTGCTATATCCCAAATCCCAAGATCGTGGGCGCCTTCGTGTATCGTTGCTAGTTCTTGTGAATATTTACTTGCTACCATACTAATGTACAATAATGTACAATAATATACGTGTCTAGATGGACACATGAACACAAAATGACGTGGCCAAAGTAGACGTGTGTGTAGCAGAAGCTGTCTGTCCACAGCCCCTACGGTACCGGTAGCAACAGGCGTCAGGAGGGAGCCAAGTAGGACCATGAATGGCAAGATGCACCACCTCCCTCAATCTAAAACCAACTACATAGTCAAGTCGATCGATGCACCGAGTCCATTCGATTTTACGTGTGGAAACATATCCAATGTGTCGTTCGGCAGTTGAGAGAGGCACAGCCCAACGTATGATGCTCAAGGTCATCAGCACAATCCCACTGGAGCACAGGGTTGCTGGGGATGCCTGGGCGGTGGTGAAACCGAACACGCGCGAATTAATCGGATGCCTGTCAACGTAACCGGCAAAAGATACTTTTACGAATGGTATATCGGAATACAAAACTATACAAATGCCGAGTCTAAAATAAATAAAAAGATTGCGATCCAGTCTGCACCATTTGAGAATTTGACAGCCGCAGCACAAGCAAGACGACAACGATGGACGCGTGGACGACGATGCTGGACCTGCGCTCGTACCTCTACTTCGCCTGGAAGAGCATGGCGATGCTCCACCTCATGTACTGCATCTGCATGGGCCTTGCCTGTCTCGCTAGCGCCATGAGCGACAAGGACGACCTCCGACGATACCTACCTTGTCTCATGGTGCTGCCGCCACCGACGCCCGTCAAGACCATCACGGTCTCCAAGCAGTGGGAGACGCGCTACAAGCTGGCCGACGGCCGCGAAGTTGTCACGCGCCAGTCCTTGACGTACGACGAGCTGGCATCGCCGTCGACCGACACGGCGACGCGATCGGCCTAGTACACGCCTCTTCCATGCTACGATGCTCACCCCTTATCCTAAAGCCCCGTACAGACACTAGCCATAGCAGGCTCGAGCACGATAGATCCTACATCCTAACCCAATACCCTGACACTATTCTCGCGCGTCGGAAATAGTCTGTAGGCAAAAGATCGCGCGATGCCACCGGCGCCGGCGCTCCAGGTCGGGACGAAGATCCCCAAGCTCACGGGCTCGACGCAGATGGGCGCGATCAAGCTTCACGACTTCATCGACGGCGCTTGGGCGCTCCTCCTCACGTTTCCCCAGGACTTTCACCCGGTCTGGATCACGGTACGTACGACGAGCGATATGGCTGCTGTATTGACCCAGCAACGTAGGAGCTGGGCATGCTCGCCAAGCTCAAGCCCCAGTTCGACGTCCGCAACTGCCGCGTCCTCGGTCTCAGCATTGGCTCGCGTCTGCTTCCTTCCTCCTGCGCATCGATGTTCTCATGTACCTTCTCGTAGTCAAGAACCAAGCGCGGTTCCTCGACGACGTCAACGAGACGCAGGACACGCAAGTCAATTTTCCCATCTTTGCGGACGAGAATGGCCTCCTCTCGCGCATGCTTGGGCTCGTAAACCCGGCAGCCGCGCCGTCCAGCGCAGACAACGCGGTGCTTCCATATAGCGCGGCTTTTCTCATGGACGTCGACATGGTCATCCGCTTCGCCTTCTACTACCCCATGTCGATTGGCCGCAACCTCTACGAGGTAAGACCATTCTCCTCTGCCTCCATTTCATCGCCGACGACTAGTTCATCCGCGTCCTCGACGGGCTCCAGCTCGCGGCCTACAACCAGGTCGTGCTTCCGACCAACTGGAAGATCAACGACGATGTCTTTGTGGAGCCCGACATAAGCTCCGAGGCCGCCAAGGCGCTCTTCCCCAACGGCTTCCACGAGATCAAGCCCTACTTCCGCGTGACCCCTGCGCCCGTCCTCTCGGAAGACCAGTAAGATACTCACTACTTCTATTACCTACTTCGGTGCGGTGCTCGACGACTCGCGGGGACTAGCGGCGGGTGGCGGACCGTCCGTCTCGGGTGGTGACGGGGCCATGTGCGGGATCGGATGCAGATACGGCGGCGGGTGGTGGTGTCCGTACGGCATGTGCATGTTTTGTCGCTGCTGCATGTGGCTCGTGTACCGCGCAGCGTTCGCTGCCAAGTGCATGGCTTCCTGCCGCGCCGCTTGGGCTTCCTGAAGCGCCCGAGCTGCGGCAGCAGCCGCGGCAGCCGCCCGTGTCGCCTCTTCTTCCGCGCGCCGGGCAAACGCTTCCTTCTCCAACGCGGCGCGGTGCAAGCTCTGGGCCTCCTCTTCGTATCGCATCTGCTGCTCCATCGTCCAGACGGACTCCGCGTCCGACGGCGGTGCCTTGTCCATGGCGTAATGCACCGGCGTTTGCTGCATCTGACGTTGCTGCAACTGCTGCTGGAACGACTGCCCCGAGTACGTCATGTCGCTGTGTGCTGCCTCGTTCAGCACTGACGCGTACGGATTTCGGCTCGACGGTCCGTGCTGGTGCAAATGGCTCGGGAGTGACGGTGCCGAGCCATAGTAGCCCTGCTGTTGTTGTTGCTGTGGCTGTGGCTGTGACTGTTGTTGCTGCTGTTGCTGCTGCTGATGCGGATGTTGTTGCTGCTGCTGCGATGGGTGGGCCATCTGTCGCAGCGGGTGACTCAGGTGCAGCTTCATGGCGGCCGACGGTCCTTGCTGGAGCTGCTGCTGTTGTAATTGCACCGCGTGTGGTTGCTGCGACGCGTTGGCCGGTGGCGTGTGCGCCGATCGGTGGTGCCGGTTGAGTAGGCTCGAGACGCTCGACCGAGACATGTTGTGCACAGGCGTCAAGGTCGGCGGCGTCTGCGCGCCGTACGGACTCCCGTTGCTCTCGTTCAAGATCGACGAAAACGACATGAGACTCCGCGACGTCGGCTGCGGGATCGCAATCGGTGGCGCCTCGGCCAGCGGCGGCAGGCTCGACGACCGCTCAGTAGACGTGTCCAGGTGCGGCCGGGGTACGATGGGTGGCTGCTGCGGCGCCTCCATCTTCATGTCGCTGTAGCGCGGGTCGTAGTAGTTGTCGGTTGCTGGTCGCAGGTGCATGCGCTCTTGGAGAGGCCGCGGTGCGTACGGCGCGTTGCTCTGCAGCTCTTGCTGGTGGATTTGCATCTGGAGCATCTGGACTTGCTGCTGCAGCGAATACTGGAGCAGCTTCATCTGCGACGCTTGCGAGTTGATTGTCGAGTACGCCATCGACGTCGGATTCGACGAATTCGACGGCGCTTCCGGCGGCAGCTGCTGCATCGTGATCCGAGAGAGCTCGCACTGCAGCTGCAAGAGCTTGTGCCGCGCGTTTGTCGATGGGTACACAGTGTTGTACTCGTTGCTGTTGTTGACCGGCGCCGACGTCTGTTGCGGTTGCAGCGGCGGCATCGACATCGGGAACGCGTATGTCGGCGGTGGCGACCCGAGCGCCGTTGGGGATGCCTGGCCCGGCGTCGGCCCCGACTGCGGCGTGTTGGGACCGCTACCCGTCGACGTGATCCGCTCCGTGCGCTTCTTCAGAATGTCCTAATCGAGTCCAAGTTGACGATAGACGTGTCGTCGCCTTGTGTACCTGGAGGCCGAGGCGGTTCTTGTAGTTCTGATAGTAGTTTTTGATCTGCGCCGCGGTCTTGGTCGGAATGCTATTGGTCAGCGCACTCCAGTCCTTCCCATAGACCTGCTCGCCGCTCGTGAGACGATTTCGCAACTCTTGAAGAGCGTACCGAGAAGAATTTGAGAAAGTCGGATTTCTCTTGCTCCGTCCACTTTTGCACGACGCGCTTGCCTGGCGGAAGGCTGCTGAGCACCGACGGCGGCTGGCCCATCGGCGTCGGTAGCAGCGACGGATGGTGCATGCCACCGCTGGGCGACGGCGTGTGCAGCACCGGCACGTGCAGCGGCACGCTCAGCTGCAACATTTGGTTGGTGTGCTTGCTGAGGAGCTGCGGCGGCGCCACCATGGGCGGTGGTGGCAGCAGCGGCAGCTGGGCTGGCGGCGGCGGCTTCGAGGCCGACGACTTCTTCTCTCGCATCGGCGACGACGCCTCGGGCACCGTCGGCGGCGGTGGTGCGTCGTCCTGGACGTTGGTCGGCGACACCTTGGCGCGTTTCGGTGCGTCTTCCCGCTTGAGTTTGGCGCTGCGCTTGGAATCCTTCTTCATCGGGTTGGCCGCGCGCGTGCCCGACTTGCGCCGGGAGGCCGGCGACGGCATGGCGTCAGCGACGGCCACGTCTTTTTTGAGCTTGAGCTTGGAAACAACCTTGATCGGCTCGTTGTCAAGCGCGACTGGCGGCGGGTCGGGCTGGTACTGGCTCGACGCGCGAAAGTCCAGAAAGCGCTGGCGCACACTCACGCTCGAGGTCTCGTACCCGGTGCTATACGCATTGTCCGAGAGGAGCGTCGTGAGGTCCAGCACCATGGGCGGCACGCCGAGCGTCGATCCATCCTTCGACTCCTTGTCGTCGTCGTTGGTCGTCGACGCCGTGTCGTCATTGGCCGCCGCGTCCTTGACGCCCTTGACCGCGTGCAAGATGCAGTTGGCGGCCTGGTGCGACCGAAAGTTGGACGGCTGCAAGAGCATGGCCTTGATCGAGTCGGGAAACTGGACGCCAAGTGCCATCGCGACACAGACCGAGAGGTGCCAGCAGTTCCACGTGTTTTTGATGCCGGCGCCGCGCCGCCGCAGCTGCTGCTCGCGGATGATCGCCTTGTAGTCGACGACCTTCTTGGTGTTGTAGTAGAACGCAATGACGTCGCCCGTCGTCTTGTTCTTGAGGTACGTGCCGATCTGGTAAAACTGCTTTGGGAACTGGAGAAACTTGTCGACGTAAATGCACTTTTCAACGTCGCTCCACGGATTCGTCAGCTTCTCGACGGCGACCGCGAGCTGGCCGTCCATGGGCGTCGACGGCGTCTCGAGGCCCGTCAACGTCGGCCGCGGCAACTTGACAAACCGCTGCACGCACAGCCTGTCTTCGTCGAGAAGCATGTCCGGGATCACATACAGGCTCGCACTCGATCCAGAGGCCACCATCGCACCCTTGAGCCTACGCATACTGTCAGTTCGATGCGTTGTGCATCGATGTGTACCGCTTGCGCCGATTGTCTTGCTCCCACTGCGCCGCCGAGTCCTTCTCGAGGCCTGTCTGCAGCGTTGGGAGCAGCGGCGGGTTGCTCGAGTTGTTGGTGAGGCGGGATGATGTCCGGACACTGCTACTGTTGGTCGCCGCCTCGTCCGCCGCCGCCGTGGTGTCGGTGGCCGTCGTCGCTTGCGTCTTCTTTTGCTGCTTGAGCAAGAGCTTGGACCGGATCTTCTCCTGCTTCTTCTTGTCCTTCTCGATGCGCTTGACGCGGTGCCGCCACGCCTTCTTCAGCTGCACAAACTCCACCGCGAGCTGCCGCATCTTGGTGTAGTGCGCCGCCTTGCGCGCCATGATGCGCGACAGCACCCGAGGCCGCAGTGACGCACTGTGTGTCAGAATCTCCGACACGCCAGGTGCGTCACCCGGTGTCGCGTACCGCACGGCCGCAGTGCCGAGCGTATCGAGGTTCGCGGCAGCCTCCGTCGCCTTGGCGCAGTTGGTCGTCATCATCGCACTCACGGTGGCCATGAGTTCCGGGTCCATAATCACCGGTCGCGTCTTGGGCTTGGGGGTCACCACAACGACAGCCGGCTCTTCCACCTCGTCAAAGAAGGTCAGAGGCTGCATTTTGAGCGCTTCGAACTCGTCGCGTGTCGCTGCGATCTGGCTCTTGACGCGGCCAATGTCGGCGTCCAATGCGTCAATCGAGACCAAAAGATCTTCCTTCCGCGGCGGCGCAGCGACGACTGGCGCGACACCCGCAACGTCGTCGACCACGGGTGCTTCCGGCGGTGCAGCCGCAGACACGACAACAACGGGTGGTGGTAGTATAGGTGCTGGGGCGGGGCCGGCACTGACGCTGCCACTGGTACTGCCACTGGTGCTGTCACTGGTACTGCCACTGGTACTACCACCGGTGCGGTCACGGAAGCTGCCACTGGTGCTGTCACTGGAACAGGTGTGGTCACGAAGAGTGGCGCCGACTTGGGCAGTGGGAGGAGACCTGGCGACGAGAGAAGACCGGTCGATGGGTGTGGAAGAAGCCCCGCTGTGGGTGGTGATGCAAACACTGCGGCCGACGACGTTGGCATCGGGAGGAGCCCGACCGGTCGCGCGGGCGATGACACCGACGACACGGTAGTCGAGTGCGCGGGCGGCGTCGCAGACGCTGGCGTCGACAAGAGCCCAGTGGTTGGTGTTGGCAGCAGCCCCGTCACGGGCGTCGGGAGAAGGCCTGGCAAGGGTGTTGGTCGGGGTGGCGTCGCAGCAGGCGCACGCTCGGTAGCCTTGACCAACGCCGGCAAAGGCGACATCGAACGCCGCTCCAGCGTTGTCGCCGACTCGGACGCCTGCGACATGAGGCCTTGGCCCCAACCGATGCGCGGGCGTTTGGCCGCCAACGTCGCCGCACTGGGCGATGACGCCGCCGCGAGCCCTTGGCCCCACCCTAGGCGCACGCGCTTCATGCCTTGGCTGTCGCGGTCGTCACTCGGTGTCGAGCTGCCCTCGACGTTGGTCAAGTCGGACGGCGGCGGTCGCGGCGGCTCCAAATTCGCTGCGTCGTCGACGTCGGGCTTCGGCAGCGTCAGCGACTCGGATCGCTTCAGATCCAGTGACGGACGGCGCGTGGCCGAGGCAACAATCATCGACTCGCTTCGCTTCAGCAGCTTCTCACTGGTGGCTTCGGCGATGCTGCCTCGACGCTTGACGTCGACGCTGTCCCTTCGCCGCACCGGCGACTCGTCTGCCTCGCGCCGACGGGTGCTCGCCGCGTCGGGCTTGACGACGGGCGAGCTCGCATTGCTCCAACTCGGCCGTCGTACCGGCGTCTTCCGCGGTGAGTCTTCCGTGACCAAGCCTTCTTCGTCCCTCGAGTCCGTGTCGTTCGATTCGACCTCTTTCCTTGCTGCCTGCTTGACATCGATGTTGTCGGCGTACGACCGGTCGAGCTTCTCGGGCGACGAGTTCGACTGCAACTCGTCCGGATGGTCGCGCGGAAACGAGTCGCGCCGGCGGTCGCGGGATCGATCCCGGAAGCGGTCGCGCGATCGGTCTCGCGACGCACCTCGCCGATCCATTCGATCTTTGGAGCGGGACCGGTCGCGGGATCGGCCCATCGGCCGCTGCTTGTACGCCATGTAGTTGCCGCCGCTGGTGCTGCGGTTGCGGTTGTAGTTGTTGCCACGGCCTTGCATGCCGCCGCCGTACATCGACTGGTTGTGCGGCGGCGACCGACCGCGCGGGCCGGTCCGACCTCCGTTGCCTTGGTTCATATTATTGCGCCCGCGGCCGCGCACGCCAAAGCCGCCGCTGCGAAAGCCAAAGTTCACGTTGAACTGGCCCGAGCGGTCTGGCGCGCGTCCGGGGCTGTCGTGGGATCCATGGTTGCTGGATGAACCTCCGTTCATTCTCTACACAAGCGCGCATGAGCCTTCCAGGCGGCGCGGTTCGTCGCACCTGCTGCTGCTGCTGCGGGCGTCTCGGTCCTCTCGCTTGGGATCTAGTCGTCCATGAGCTGCCATGCGTCTGCGCCATGGTCGAGGTACCTGCGTCGCGCGGTCTCGTGTCCACGCTCGCTCTTGCCGTCCGCTGTCGGCCGCTCACTCGGTCTCTTTTCGCCCAATAGTTGAACTTATTGGAACTTTAATCGCGGCCGGAATATTAGCCAATCAGCGGCCGTGCCGTGAGAAGGCCACCATTCTCAGTCGCACGGTGGTCCCTCGGCAAAGTGACATTGCTCTCCAAAAACAACACAAAAGAAGCTGGCCATCCCTCTATTGAAAGGCATTGTGTCTGTATCGCGAGGATTGCCCGTGTGTAATTTATTACCAGCTCGACGAACGCACATACGTTTTCCAAGTGTTTTAAAATTTCGCACCAAGCGCAGTGGACACGCCGAAGAACATCCTTGCGATGACGCAGACGCGCAAGGAACAAGCGAGCTGCGCAATCGTCGCTGCCCTCCTCGGCGCGATGCATGGAGCCGTGGAGGACGCCAGTCGCGATGCAGAAGCGCCATAGTAGGCTAGCCATGGCCGTGCAGGGTACAGGCTAGCCACGCCTGGCACGCTCCGCGATCGCGATGCGTGGTGGCAAGCTCTGGTGGCAGCTAGCGTAAGCACGACCGAGCGAGGTGTCGTATTGTGGACTGTACATTATGTAATGCGCCAGCAGCGTGTGTTTATGATGCGACCTTGGTCTAGTGCGGGCGGGCTTGGCGTGGCAGGCGTGCGCGTCGAGACGTGGGTGGGCTCTCGGCGTCGCGGGCGCGCTCGCAGCTGCACCCGATCGGGAAGTCGGCCACGCCATCGTCGACGACGAGCTTGGGCATGGTCTCCATGAGCTTCTTCTTGAGCTCTGGCGGGCAGTCGCAGGACGCAATGTTGAGAAAGGCCAGGTGCGGGCACTGCTTGGCGAAGAGCACCGACCAGAGGCGGGTCTGGCGCTCGGTCGACCGCGCGGACGGGGCGCTCGGGTCCGCGCTGAGTGCGAGCATGTTGCGGTTGCCCCGCAGCTCGAGCACGCGGAGAGACGTGAGACCAAACGACTTTGTGAGCTGCCAAAAGTGCGTAGTGAGGAGCTCGCAGTGCGCGAGGGTGACGTACCAGAGCCTCGGCGCGGCCTTTAACACGGCAGCAACACTCGCGTCGTCAACCGCACAGCCCGAGAGATCGAGCACTTGTAGACTCATGGCGCAGTTGCTGGCCACGCCCGTGAGCCCCGCCGACGTGATTTGTGTACAGCTCAAGCCGAGCTCCAGCAGCGATGACATGCCATGAAGCTCCAAGAGGCCAATGTCGGTCACGTCTCGGCACATGTTGAGCTTGAGCGACTCGAGACGCAGGGCGCGGAGGTGCTGCAGCCCGGCGTCGCCAATGCGCGGGCAAAACGAGAGGTCCAGGAACTGCAGGTGCGAGAGCTGTGCGAGGTGCATACAGCCATCGTCCGAGATGCTCTTGCACCCGTGGAGGTTCAGGTGCGTCAGACGGGGCAGGTGCTGGGCCACGAGCGCCAGTGTCGCGTCCGTACAGAGCGTCCACTTGAGTGAGAGGCGCACAATGGACGGATACCGTGGTAGCACGCAGCGTGCGAGGAGCTCGTGGGTCTCGCGTGTCGAGTGCAGGTCCATGATACGGGCATGGTGCCGGGCGAGCTCGCGGAAGGCGTGGCAGACCATGCTTAGCGTCCGCACGACGGCGAACGAATCGAGGTAGCCACCATAGAGCACCCTGCACCAGGCCACATCCATGTCCAAGGGCTTGTATGGTCGCCGGTCGAGCGGACCGAGGTCTTCCGGCGACGCCTGTCGCTTCGTCATGGGTTTGCTTGCCGTTTCGAGCTGGGATTCGAACCGACACCAATTATTTGCTTGTTTAGGACATATGCCAGTTTATGGCCTTGGTAACCGCTCAAGACAGGCAGTGCCGAATCCAAGTGGCTCGTAATCCTATTTAGGACAGGCCAAGATTCGATTGGGCACAAGGAATGCTACATCGCGGCGCGACGCCGTTCCAGCGGGTTCGCGTCCGTGGCCTCGACGTCGTCGTCAAGCGCGACGACCTCTTCTACCTCTCGGGCAACAAGGTGCTGTGTGATCTACTCGATCTGCTCGTCACGACCCGACTAGTTTCGCAAGCTGTACTGGCTCGTCGAGAAGGACGCAGCGTACTTCAATCGTACTGCGCAGCCTGTCGATAGATGCCAGGGCTCATGGCGTGGGCGTAGACATTAAGCTACGGTGGGCTGCAAAGCAATGCGATGCTCGCGATCGCCCAGCTCGCGCATCTGAAGCGCGTGCCGTTCACGTACTTTACAAAGACCATCGAGCTCCAGCCCGAGACGGCGCCGGTCGCGACGAACTTCAAGCTCGCTTCGAACCTTGGTATGCGGCACGTCGAGCTCTCGTCATCCGAGTATGAGGCGCTGGCAGAATCCAAAGATTTTGGGCCATTGGTGACAACCCCCAAGTGGATTGGCATACCGCAAGGTACCACCGTTCTTGCGCGCAGTCAAGAAGTTGACATGAACATGGGTGGTAGGTGGTGCTTCGGCCGATGCAGAAGTTGGTGTCCAAGTCCTGGCCAGCGAAATCAATGCGTTTGCTTCCGATAAACCAAGGTGCGACCCGGTGGGCGAGCGTGCGAGGCTCAGATGTCGACTTGTAGCCTCTCAGTGTACTCTTGCCAAGTGGCACAGGCACCACGGCATATTACCTCGCCAAGCATCTACGTCCTGACATTGACGTCTACGCAGTGCCCTGTGTGGGCAGTGCAGCGTATCTCCAGCAGCAGTGGCAGCAACTGGAACCGAACGGTTTGTAAACCGGCGATTGAACCGAGACTCAACGCTCTGGCAGGCCTGGTGACGAGGGCGCGTATGTTGTCGCCAAAGAAGCGAGTCGCTTTCGGGTCGCTCTGGAAGCCTCTCCTCGCCATGCACCAAGAGCTTTGGCTTGCGACGCAGATCGAATTCGACCTTGTTTACGCTTGCCTCGCGTGGCACACCCTCTTCCACGCTCTCGAGACTCGGTCGATCGATCTCAACGGGAGGCAGCTCGTCTACATCCACTGCGGTGGTACCTCGGGCAACCCGAGCCAGCGCCAGCGCTACGAGCGCAAGTGGCCGCGACCGTAATCTCAAATCTCAACCGCAGTACTACTCTTGTGTGTCCACACACACGTCCCTCGTCGTCCGATGTGGTGGCGACATCGTCGCTGGTGGCCACGGACCATCCACCAGATTTGGATCTCGACCTGTAGATCTTATTCCTCAAACTTACAAAGCTATCGAATCTCGGTCGGTAGGGGCCCTAATGATGGTATGATCGGCGTGGGTGCTCACGCCACTCGTGGTCCACGTTTATACAATCGGCCTAGTTAAGTTTCGAAAAGGCGCCACCAGCTGGAACCTTTCCCGTCCAAGATCGTCTCCCCCGGCCTTTCTTGTACTTGTCCTTTGTATACTACTGAGATAGTCCTCCGAAATCACGATGGATTGAGTCTGTCTGGATACTATGGTAGATAACACGTATACCGGCTTTGTCTACTCAACACGAGCGGTTTCGACCTCTTGGCGCTCACAAGTCGCTTCGCCATGTTGACCACGCAGGCCTGGAACCGCTATGAGCTGGCGATGCACCTGCTGAACTACCTGCATTTCGAGCTCGCCGCCAAGCGCCCGACGCTCGTCAAGGCCGACACGCCACGCACGACGCGCCTCCTGCAGCGCTGCACGCTCTTGCTGCACGCTCTTGCGTATGGCTCGGCCAATTGCCGCATCTCATGCCCCACCTTGTAGTCGAAAAGTACCATCCAACGTGGTGTACGACAATGGCGCAGGAATGCAACGTATAATTGGCGATGCGTGTGTAGCCACCTGCAGACGTTCATGGTCATCGTGAGCGACTCGCAGCCGCCCGTCTTGTACAAGCGGCAAGAGCTCGTGCTCGACGACGGTGGCACGGTCTCGCTGGACTGGGCGCTGCCTTCGTCCGTCTCGGGCCACTCCGACGACGACAGCGCGCTCGCCGACCACGACGTGCCCACAATCGTAGGACCATCCCTTCGTCTGCCGCCTCATATATTTGGTTCCACTCTAGCTGCTCTTGCACGGCTTGTCGGGCGGGAGCCACGAGGTGCGCGTCGACCGTCGAGTCTGGACGCTCAAGCGTGAGTGTAGGAGTACATGATGCAGACGGCGGAGAAGTTCCTGCGCAAGGGGTACCGCGTCGTCGTCATGAATGCGCGGGGCTGCTCCAACACACCCGTGACGACGCCCAAGGTTCGTTGTGTGTTTCTATCAAGGTATCAATCCATACAAATAGCTCTTCTGCCCCGCGTACACGCAAGACGTGCGGGAGGTCGTCGCGTACTTGCGCAACGAGCACATGCACGACTCGACGCCGTTCCTGGCGGTCGGCTTCTCGCTCGGCGCCAACATTTTGACCAAGTACGTGGGCGAAGAAGGCGCGAATTGCACGCTCCTCGCGGCCGTCTCGGTCGGCAACCCGTATGACTTTGTGGCCACCAACATCCACATCACGCACTCGTGGTTCCGTCGCCACGTGTACAACGCAGCGATGACCAAGAACTTGCTCCAACTCGTCTTCCACTTGGTCGATTTGATTGCAATCCGTGACTCGATTCTTATTGTTGTTGGGTAGAGCGACGCCCACGAACAGCTCAAGGACCATCCGGACGTCGACCTCTTGCAACTCGAGCAGGCCAAGACGCTGACGGACTATGATGATTTGTACTCGCGCCACGTCTTTGGCTACGAGACGCCCATGGACATGTACCGCGACGCGTCGAGCAACGCCTGTGCGTGCGCATGTGCTTCGCGATGCAGCTGATGGATGAGCGTAGACATCAAGGACATTGCGATTCCGATGCTCTGCGTCTCGTCGGACGACGATCCGATTTGCACGAACGCAGCGATCCCGTACAAGGAGTGCCAAGAGAACCCGAATATCGTGCTTGCCGTGACGCACACGGGCGGCCACCTCGGCTTCTTCACGGGCAACGGGCTCTCCGCGTCGCCCGCGCGCTGGTGCGTTGACGTCATCGAGCAGTACTGCTCCAGCGTCCTTGAGCTCGCCGAAGACGACGGACATTTGACCAAGGAGTCGATCAAGAAGGTGCAGTCGCTGCCCAACCTCCTTCATTTAGACGCTGAAATCGACGAGCCGGAAGACGTCGAGCCCGCGGTGTCATCGCTCGTGTCGTGGGACGTGCTGGGCTACGCTGCTCTTGGCATTGGCGCCTACATGTGCTGGAAGCGCGTCGTGTCGTGAGAAAAATGGTGGAAAATATGGTCTTAATATATAAATACGTGTATTATATAAGAGCAGAACGCAGTGCAGTAGAGGCCTCGTTACCACACGAACGGCGCTTGCAGGAACGGGGATCGAAGCGACGGGTGCATGGAACGAGGGCGGTGGACGGGTCGTCGCGGCAGGACGACGACGAGGGTGCCGTTGGGATGGAGCTGGTACGAGAGGTTGCGAACGTCAATCAACTGGAGGGGAAACTGCTCGCGAAGGACGAAGCGGCCGTAGGCGGGCGACGTCATCGACGGCAGCTTGTAGCCAGTCACTTGCAAGACGCCGTCGGGGGTGATCGACAAGCTCAGATTGGCAGGATCGACACCCGACAGGTTGGCCACGAGAGCGAGACCGTCCGAGTGCCGCCGGATCTCGTACGCCGGTCGCCAAATCGGCAGCTTGGCCACATCTGCGGGTGACAGCGGCTCGTTCGCCATCTCTTCGTCTTCCGCTTCTTCATCTTCTTCCTCTTCTTCGGCACCGTTCTGGTCGTCCTCTTGATTGTCATCGTCTTGGTCACTGCCTTCGTCGTCGGCCTCGTTGTCCATGGGCTCATCGACTTGGTCGTCGTCGTCTTCGCATTGGTTGTCAAGATTGTCGTCTACAGCCTTGCTCGGCGAGGGCGGAGGCGTCTCGGGGGCAAAAGGCGCAAGGAGACGCGACGCAAAGACCGAGAGATGGTCGCACTTGGCCTTGAGCACATCGGCGTCACGGAGGAGGTCTTGGATGCGAAGGACTGTCTGCTTGCGCTGGAGGCGAATGGCTTGGTCGCCATCGCTCAGCACCAGGTCGAGGTCGCACAAGAGGCGCGTCAAAAGCTCGCCTTGCTCCAAGACGCGGAAGCGGTAGGCTTGGAGCTGCAGCATCGTCTTCTTGTAGATCATCGCATGGTCCTTCTTGGGGAGCGCTGCGCAGAGCCACTTGGCGCCGGTGATGGCGGCGGCCACGATCTGGTGCTGGTGCGGTAGGCGCGAGTGAAGTCGGTCTTGGATCGGGCTAATGCGATCGGCGATCGCTTCTAGCTGCTTGGATGCTGGTGTCATGTTGAAGTGCAATGGAAATGTGACCTGCGATGCGCTGGCGCGCTGGTCATTTGTCCTGGCTTTTCCAGACGGTTCTAGAAATTCGCGCAATTCGATTGGCCTCTCGAAATTGCCGCGGCTTCTGATTGGGCCGTGGCGATGTACTGTACAAAATAATATGCATCCATGTACAAGTACTGAGAGGTTGCGGGTTTCACAGAAGAAACAAAATCTTGTCCCGATGGACGGCTTCGACTACATGGGCGACGAGGACCAGTGTCTCCTGCTCACGGACGGCTTCGCCCGCTTCATCCAAGTGCTCTTGGGCTTCTGTGCCATGGGCGTGCTCTACGTCAAGCGCGAGCTCGAGCAGCCCAAGCGCTCCTTCAACGTACACTACGTGGCAACCGCTGGCAGCCCATGCATCGATGGTAGGTTTGGACCTATGACGTGAGCAAGCAAGGCATCGGCGCGCTCATGATCCACATGCTCAATATCCTGCTCTCCATCTTCTTGACGCGCAGGTCCGACGTCAGCGACGACGAGGTCCACATGGTCGATGTCCGTGGCAACCCACTCAGCGTACTTGCTGCTGTAGTGCGCGATCTACTTTATGACGTTCCTCATGGACGCCACGCTCGGAACGCTTCTCGTGCTAAGTAGACGCGTGCGTGCATGCTATTGCGAGCTTATGCGGTCATGCGTAGTTCTTCTGCGCCAGATGAAGAAGCTAGCGACGCGGTTGCAGTGGACGTCGATCATGCACTCGGGCGAGTACGGCGACCCGCCCAGCTTTCGGTCCGTGGCACATCACATATTGTTGGCGCTCCTAAGCAGTGTGGATGCGTAGCATTTGGCTCAAGCAGCTCTTGGCCTACGTCGTGCTGCTACTGACCATGAAGGTCCTCGTGCTCCTCCTCCTGTACGCGGCCTACAAGCAGCTCGCGGCGCTGGCGACCTCCGCGTTTGCCGTCTTCGCGCACCACCGCCACTTGGAACTCGTCCTCGTCATGATCCTTGGTCCATGCGCCATCAACGTCATCCAATTCTGGGTCCTCGACAACGTCCTAAAGACGACGACCGCCAAAGGCGGGTACGTGGCAACGCCCACGACCGAAGACGACGACTCAAGTCTCATCGACGACACAACGTCGCCCTAGTTCCTACCTCTGCATTTGCATCCTCTTGTGTCTCCTTCGATGTCCATCATCATATTGCACATCGCATCCGTGTCCATACTGTCGTGGTATTAAATATGCACAATCGATTATAAGTTCTTATTTGTGGGGAACCTTGTCCTTTTGCATTTGCTGGCGCCGCTTCTGGATGAGCTCTTCGACCGAGAGCCCGCCGGTCGCGTACGTTGGTGGCTTGTTGGCGTCGGTCGCCGGCGGCGGTGGATCGTTGCTGTTGGCGTTGCGCAGCGCGACGATCGAGGCGTTGACGAGCCGCTGCAGTGCGTGCACTTCACGGCAGAGCCACTTGGCCGGCTCCCCGACGCGGTCGACACCGCCGGCCGTCTCGAGCGTCGCGTCACTCGCTCGCGCGATCGCATCGACGAGCGCCTTGATCTTCTGCTCCATGATGGTCTGGACCGCCTTGCGCTCCTTCGTGAGCGTGTCGCAGCGGGTTTGGAGGTCTACTTGCTTGGCGTCCCGCACCGCCGTCGACTCGATTTTCTCGCGCATCGCGTACTCGACCGAGACCTTCTCGGACCGAACGTCCTCGAGTTCCTTGAGGGCGCGACTGTACTCGGCTGTCTGCGCCTCGAGCACGTGATGGAGCTCAGCGATCTTCTCGTCCGCAGTCAAGAGACGATCCTTTGGTGGCGTCGCGTTGTTGTCGAGCTTGGCCGAGTTGTAGACGGTCGGTCGCTCGTACGGCACGTACTGCTTCGCGCTCCCTTCTTGCGCCGGCCGCTGCTGCTTGAAGCCCCACTCGCCAAGCGCCTTGATGAGCTCGGCGTTCTTGTTGGGCGACGTCGCGTTGTGCTCCATCGTCACCCGCTGCAAGTGAATGAGCTGCGCCGTCTTCTCGTCGAGCTTTTCTTCGAGGGCTTTCTGGTGCCGGTCGTACGCATCGAGCTCGTCCTACGCGAGTCCGTGGGAGGGACACGCAGACTTGCAGAACGAACCTGCAGGGCCATGATTTGCTCATCGCGCTCGTTAAGCCGCTGCGTGAGTGCAATCATAATGTCTCGCTGCTTGAGGAGGAGCTGTTTGTACCGGTCGACCTGCGCCTTCTCCTCTTCGATCGTCTCGCGCTCCTTCTCCAAGTCGGCCAATCGGCACTCGTACTCCTTGCGAATCCGGTCTTGCTGCTCCTTGAGCGCGAGTCGAAACTGCGGGTCCTCGGTCGAGAACTCGGTGTTTTCTGTCGATGTAGGCAGCTTCTTTTGGTGGCTCGTGAGCATCTGCGACGTGAGCATGATGATACGTTGTTCGAGCTTCTTCTTCTCTTCTTTCTCGAGCATGAACTCGAGGCTGCGCTGCTCCAGCGCGCGGATCGCCGCCATCTTGTCTTCTTCGGCGCGCCGGCGCTGCTCGTCGAGCTCGAGGAGCCGCCGCTTATCGACGACGTTCCGGTTCTTCTCCTCCAACTCTGCGCGGAGCCGCTTGAGCTCGCGCTCGTACTTGCGCAAAAGCGATTTCTGGTCCAAATCTTCGTTGACGCGCGCTTCGTTCTTGATGTTTTTCGCGCGGTTGGCAAACTTGAGCGTGGAGAGCGACTCGACGATGGCTTCGAGCGCCGGCGAAATCATTGCCATCATGGTCGTCTTGCAGTTGCCGCCGAGCGAGTCTTCGAGGATGCGCGTCAGCTTCGAGTCGCGGTACGGAATGTGCTGCCGCCCGCGCGCGTCCGTGAGCGCCGCGATGACATTCCCCAACGCCGAGAGCGACTGGTTGATCTTCTTGCTCTCTTCGAGGCGCTGGCCGGTCGCGCCCGAGAGGCGGACGCGCTCCGAGCCGGCCAAGTCCACGAGGTTGAGCTTCCCGACCTTGAAGCTCTGGCGCACGAGCGACTCGAGCTTGGTGCGGTCCCTACGCCATGTCGACAACGTGTCTTCTTTCATCCACAATGTACCGCGTCGGTTGCGAGTTGACGAGCGCGGTGAACTCTTCCAGCGCAATCTCCTTCCCGCTCGTGTCGACGTACATGGTCTGGCTCTGCTCGGCGATGATGATAAAGACGGCGTGGGACCGCGACGAGATCTCGTTCATCTTGGTGCTGCCCGTCGCGCGCATCGCGCCACCGCGCTCCATGAGCCCGTAAATCTCCTCGGGTGACCGCACGACCCACTCCGAGAGCCCTTCGACAAAGACACCGCGCTTCTTGTCTTCGCGGATCGTGAGGTTGTTGCGCTCGGGCTTGAGGAGGTCCGAGATCGACTCGTTGTAGATCTGGAGGTACGACGCGCGGACGAGGAAGCGCATGCGGGCGCTCACGTTCGCCTGGATGTGCAAGAAGATCTGCTCGATCGCGCGCGGAATGATGCCCCGGTCCTCGAGGGAGCTGCCGCCGCTCGAGTTGAAGCCCTCCATCGTGTACGTTTTACCCGTGCCGGTCTGGCCATACGCGAAGATCGTCGCGTTGTAGCCTTCGAGCGACGACTCGACGACGGCTTTCGCCGTGTTCTCGTACACGGCGCGCTGCGTGCTGTGCTGGTCGTACACGTGGTCGAACGAGAACGAGTGGTTGCTGTACGACGAGCCGGCGTTGAGCAGCGACGGGTCGTCCGGCGGGTGCGACGAGTCGGAGACGCTGAGGTAGTGCCCCGACGGGTCCACGGCCACGACGTTCTGGAACGGCTTGTCGCTCTGGAGCTCGCGCGGCAGCGGAGGCCGGACGCGGATCACGACCTTGAAGTTGGACCCGTACCGATGGCTCACGCTCGAGCTGTGGCTGCTGATCGAGTCGCGGTCGTCGTCGTCGTCCATTATAATCGGGGCCCGGCGCGCAGACGGCGACGGCGTTGCTTCGCGCGCGACCTGTCGCTTGAGCGCCGTGGTCCGCGCGGCCGAGCTTGTCGACGTGGGGCGACTCAGCGGCTTGCTTCCGCGCGGCGATGCAGTGTAGTCGTACATGGCGCCGCTCTTCATACCTCCATGCATTCAATTGCGCGCGACTGACGGACCAGCCAAGCGTCTTGTTCCAAGGAAGGAAGGATACCGAGTGGCGACTCGCCAAGATATGTTTGCCGGATACAACGCCGGATAACGGGCCGCGATCGCGTGGCGGCACCAGCGATCAGCATACTATTGGACGCGTCGGTCGGCCGGCAACAAGTCGTCGCCATAGTAAGCTCTATCGCGCGAATCGGCGACTAGGCTATGAGGAGCATGGTTGCTTGCTCGGGACGCAGGCCAGCGTCAAGCGCTACGGTCGGAGACGCCCAGCTTTTGTCCTGTCGTAGGCTACGGGCGCGATGTCGACGACAGGCGTGAGCTTGTCCGGACCACTGCGAGCTGCCAGTCCGGGCAGATGACGTGTTGGGGCCAAGGACAGGGCTGGGCCAAGGAGGTCATCTTCGGCTGCCGAGGAATGCATCCGGATACTAAGCACCCGGACCTTGGTCATGTTTAAACAGTTTGGGTGGTTGCGTTATTGGCACAAGTGGCGAATAAAACGCGATGGTCAAACACGTTTTACTGCGCGATACTCGAATTACCATTTTCGAAAGATGGACCGCTTCAAGGAGCTTGACCAGCAGCGCGCTACGATCGAGGCCGAGATCGCGCTCATCGTGGAGGAGCTGACCTCGGGTCCCAACCCCGCGGGGCTCAAGGGCCCGCTCATCGACGCCGAGGGCTTTCCCCGCGGCGACATCGACGTCTACACCGTTCGCCACAAGCGCCACCGCTTCGCCTGTCTCCAGACCGACCTCAAGTTTGTGATGAAGGACATTGAAGACGTCATGGCCGGGTTCGTCCGGCGCTATAGCCCATCATTTCTTATGGTCCATGGGCTAGCATCTACTCTGCGAGCAAGCCCACGGTCCCGACCCCAGGTACGAGTTGCATTGGACCGTTGCAAGCCTCACAGGCCACAGTAGCCCAAACGCCAGTGCGGCCTCCAGCGCCCATCCGAGCCCCAGAGAAAGAAGAGCCTCTGCTTGTCAAGGTCGACGATCCTGTCGGTATGTCTGGGCTCCATTACGAAGCAGCGTCCCATGCTCTCTGACTAGTGCTCGAGATGGCGCCGTTCGCGATCGTCGACTCGGTCCAGCCGGGTACGTAGCTCGTACTCGCGAAGTAGGTCCATAGCCTGAGTAGACTCGCCCGCGAGCGAAGCTGGTCTCGAGGCCTACGACAGCATCATCGCGTTTGGCAGCGCGAACGCCACCAACCACCGCGACCTCGCTGCCGTGCGCGACATTGTGCTCCGCAACATGAACATGCCCATTGAAGTCGTCGTGGAGCGCAACGACTGCGACCGCTTCCGCCTCCAGCTCACACCGCACCACTGGCTCGGCAACGGCGTCCTCGGCTGCCTTCTCGTCCCGTACAAGCACAGCGGGTAAAATAGCATTCCTAACGCTTCTGCTTCGAGCTCAATCCTCAGTATATTCCTGCGTTCGTCAAAATTGCTGATATCTGTTCATTTCCCACAAATCGATCTCGGAAAAGTCCGAATACGTTGGTCAAGCCGCCTAATTCCCTCTCACGTTGTCCTCTTCAGACTCGAATTCTGAGAGAGCTGCGTTGACCGAGCCGTGTGTCCATGGCGGTTGGCTTGAGCCCTAGGTAGCTCCATAGCTCGGGTCGGGAGATCGACGACAAGAGCTACTGACATGGGTGATCCGTTGATGCATCCGTCAATATGGATGCCCCTACAACATTTGCCCTGTGCTCTTCCTCTGCCTGTGTCAGCCAGCCGTTCGTTCAAGATGGTGTGTCATGGAGCGTTTCGAGTCGCGCCATGTTGATGTCGGTGGCCGCCATTGTCGCCATCGTCGCAAAGACGTCATCGCCCGCACTTATAAAAAGACCGACGAGCAAGAGCCATGGACGCGTCGTCGTCGGACGTGAGCCCCGATGTGGTCGCCATCACGCTCAACGCCGACTCGGACGACGACAGGATGATTGAGATGCGTACGTACTGCGCCAGTGAGCACTGCACGAGTGTGTGGTTCCAGGCGCCTCTTCCCGCGCACACCGGCGTCTTCTACGAGCACGACCTCAAGGTGTACGACTACATACAGCTGCTCTTGCACATCTTTGACCCCAAGCCACTGCACTTTTGCACCAAGTGCCACGAGACGCTCTCGGCCACCGAGAAGGCGCAGTGCAGTGGCCACGACGGCTTCTGGACCATCTGTGGCACGTCCCGCGCCGAAAAGTACGACCTCTACGTCTCCTTTGTCTCGCTCTGCCAGCGCTGTGCGATGCCGCTACTGCTCTCCCTTCTCTGCTTCCCGCTTCTGGCGCTACTGGAGGCGCTTCGGTGCCCGCTGCCAGCCAAAGTCACCGAGCTCTGGGCGCACCTGCCCCGCTTCCACGCCTTCCTGTCGTGGGCCTACCTCTGGGCGACGTACGCCAGCATCGTTCTCTCGGTGCCGTTCACCGCGCAAGTGCTTTTCTGGGGCCTCCTTGAGCTCTACACGGTCTTCCTCCTCGTCGTCGGTCTCGCCTTTGCGAGGACGCTCAAGCAGCGCGGCCGGTACTCTGCGCGCTACGAGATCTTCTTCGCGCTCCAGGCGGTCGTGTTTCCGAGCGCGTGCCTCCTCCTCCCGCTCAATCTGATCTTGTCGATCCCGAACATGCACCTCCTCGGCGTATCGATGGACCTGAGGACGCTGCAGCTCGTCGACGACCATGACGTGCCGTTGGAGCCGAGCTTTCTGCCCAAGCACTTTGCGTCGACGCGGCTCGTACAGTCGATTCGGCAGAAGCTCGTCAAGTGGGCGGTCCGGCTCGTCGTGCTCGTCAACTCGACAATGGGACTCAACTTGATCCTGATGTTGTCGTGGACGACATGGGTGCTGCCGACGACGTCCATTCTTCTTCCCGGCTTCAACACGTTGGTCAACTCGCCCGACAACGTCCTCTACAACATCACGGGGCACGGGACCTCGAGTTGCACACCAGGTACGATGAGCCAGAGCGTCCAAGGTATCTGGAGCTTTAAGCTCGAGCCGACGCCGACCACCGCCCTTGGTCTCCCGACGCTCGTGGTTTGGTTTGCGACCGATAAGAAGGAGCCAGCGCTCTTCCGCTTGGAGAACGCAGCGTCGCTCGACGTGCGCAGCCAAGAAAGCACGTCGTTTTCGTTTCTCGCGAAGAACGGGCAGGCAGGCTTGAGCTTCCTCGGTACCTTTTACAATACGACGTGCGACCAGGTGAAGTCGCTCACGCCGCACATCGAGACTGTCTACGCAGACATTTCGATCCAGCACTACTTGGATCTCGTGCCTGGCACGCGCGGCGTGGCGCCGATCCCGGGCTTTCTCGTGACGAAATTCCTCTTCCAAATGTGCTTCATTCCGCAGTGCGTCGGAACGTGCACGCTGGCCATCTGGACGCTGTGGCGGCAGTTTGACGCGCTCACGCCGCGCATCAATCTGGCGCGAGGCCGGAACGTCGTCGCGTGGTTCCGCCTTCGCTGCGCCGTGGTCGCGACCGTCAAGCTCTACGCGACATTTGTCCAAGCGCTTGTGCCGCTCGCCATGGTACAGTTTCTCGTTGCTGCCGGTGGCCTCGCGGTCTACTGCCTCACGGGCACTGCGCCAATGCCGACGTACTACCTCCTCCTCACCGCGCTCGCAGGGTCGCTCTCGATCTTGCTCTACCTCTTCCCGCTCTCGTCGGTCGTGTCGCTCCAAGCCAACCACGCTGACACGCTGCGCGTGCACTTGCTCCAGCTGCAAGACGACCGCTTCTTGAACGAGGCCGAAGACAACCGCCGTATTGAGTACTTCAAGGCGCTCATCGACAAGATCGACCACCACGACGACTACATCCGGTACTGGGGCAAGCGTCTCTCGCCCGACCAGCTGCTCGGGCTTAGCGTCACGCTAGCGTCTGGCATCTCGTTTGTCGTGACCAAGTCGGTCCAGTTCAGCTGGTCGCCGCTCAACCCATGGTACATTTCCTATTAACACGAGCTACGCATTGCTATCATCGCCGTCGTCTTCAAGCACGTGGCCGTCGTACGTCAAGACGAGGACGTGGGTGCCCTGGAGAAAGGTAGAGCCGGGCACGAGCTTGGGCAGGAGCCGGCGCGCAGGCGTGTTCATGTCGAACTCGACGAGGCCCTCGCTGCCGTTGAGCGTGAGGCGCATCGCGGGCTGTGCCATCTGCGTAAAGAACCTAGCCTGTCATCGCACCTCACTTCACATGGTATTTGGAAGCGCCTACCGCTTGGCGTACAGGCTGTAGCCGGACGCGCTGGCAAAGATGCCAATCGTACTGGGCGGCTGCTTGCCCAAGACGCCTTCAAACTCGCGCAGGTACGTCACGCCCGTCGGCTTCTCTTCGTGCTTGCACTGCGTCACGATGCGGATCCGAGATGCATCCGGGAAGGCCCACTCACCCTATGCATGCTGCGCTTGAGAAAGGCCAGGAGCGCAAGCTCCTACAATGTGGTCGATGCCGCCGTCCATGGACATGGCCGTCGGCGCAAGGTCGCAGCCGAGCTTCCGCAGCTCCTTGGCGACCACCTCTTCGTACGCGACGCCCTTGGCCGCGGCCGTGGCGTGCCACCGCCGACCAAACAAGCTCGGGAGGCGCATCGCGCATGTCCCACCGCGGCGGATTCGGCATCTGCCACCCTCCAAATAGTGTGAGCGCTCCATCCAGCGAGTGAACCTGTTGATGCAGTTGATGCCATCGCTTATCGGCTGTGGATTGGCCCTGCGTTTTCTTTCGCAAGCATCGGCCTGTCTATGTAGCTGCCGCATCACGGCCGACCTGCCGCGCCACGGCCACCTCGATGACACGGGCCTTGCGACGGGCTTCCAGGTGCATTGGCTCGCTGCAAACGCCAGCCTGCACCTGCAGCATGGGACCCGTCAGGCCAGTGTGTGGCTATGGGCTTCTACGAGCACAAGCAGCAGCGCCGGCGTGCACCTTGAAGTTGTGACTGCAGAGACAGCAGCTGCATGACAGGTGGTGCTTCGCACACTATTTGACACCTTTGCTGTCGGAATGCAGGCCATTCTCAAATTGCCATGGCGTCGTTCCAAATGCTCAATGCCCCGGCGCACGCCGTCGAAGAGATGCTCGAGGGCCTCGTCGCGAGCTCGCCGCAGCTGACGCTCGTCGCCCAGCACAAGGTCGTGCTGCACCGCAACTTCAAGCAGCTCCAGGCCAAGCAAGTGACGCTCCTCTCGGGCGGCGGGTCGGGCCACGAGCCTGCCCACGCGGGCTACATTGGCGACGGCATGCTCACGGGCGTCATCTGCGGCGACGTCTTTGCGTCGCCGACGACCAAGCAGGTGCTCGAGGCCATTCGCCTCGTGACCGGCCCCCACGGCTGCCTGCTCATTGTCAAGAACTACACGGTACCGAGCTACCCCGTTGTGTACCTCATATGTTGCATAGGGCGACCGCCTCAACTTTGGTCTTGCGATCGAAAAGGCCAAGGCCGAGGGCCTCAAGGTCGAGATGGTCGTCATTGGCGACGACTGCGCGATCCAAGGCTCCAAGGCCGGCCGCCGGGGCATCGCAGGGACGGTCCTCGTGCACAAGGCCGCCGGCGCGCTCGCTGCGCAAGGCCACTCGCTGGAAGAGATCCAGGCGCACGTTGGTCGCCTCGCCATCGCGTCTATGGCGTCGCCTGGAAGTCGTGCACGCTGCCGGGCCACACCACCAAGTCTGTCGTCGTCTCTTCTGCATGTTCTTGATGATAGCTCACGCCAGGTTTTAGCCAGCGCGTCAAGGCCAACGAGATGGAGCTCGGCCTCGGCATCCACGGCGAGCCAGGGCTTCTCACCGTGCCGCAATCGTCGTCCAAGGCCACGACCGCGCGTCTCCTGGAAACGATCTTTGCCGACTTGCACGTTGCCGGTATGCAACCCTGAGCTCTTATTTGCATCATCCTGAGATCGTAGAGCACGACACGATTGCGGTGCTCGTCAACAACCTTGGGTCGACGACGACGCTTGAGCTCCACGTCGTCGCCAACGACGTGGTCGAGTGGTGCAACGCGCAAAAGGTGCACGTCGCCCGCCTCTTTGTCGGGTCGTTCATGACGGCCCTCGACATGGCCGGCGTCTCGCTCAGCGTCTGGAAGCTCAGCGACGGCCACTCGAAGCTGTTGGACTTTAGCGTCTCGGCGCCCGGCTGGCCCTTTGTGGCGCGCGACGACTTGACCGAGCTGCCCAAGGTCATCACGGTGCCCGAGCCGCTCGTCGTGCCGCCGATGGCGACCGAGATGGCGTCCGGTGTCGCGCCGAGTGTGCGCGTCGGGATTGAAGCGGCGACAGCGCGCATCATCGAGGCCGAGCCCCAGCTCACCGAGTGGGACGCCAAGGTAAGGCGACCTTGGCCTCCTTGATATGTCGATAGGACGAGTTGACGTGGACTTGAAAATACAGGTGGGCGATGGCGACTGCGGCGAGACGCTTCAAACTGGTGCCCAAGCCATTCGCGACGCGCTTCCGTCGTACCCGCTGCACATCCCGTCGGCCACGGCCCACGCCATTGCGGCCACGGTCGCCGATGCGGTCGGTGGCACGTCCGGCGGTAAGACATCCGTTGCTTTTGTGGATCTTAGTTGTCTACTAGTGCTCTACACCATCTTTTTCACGGCGGCCGGCAATGCACTCTATGCCTTTGACCACGGCCACGCCGTCGACGCGCTGCCGAACGACGCGTGGCGCGCCGCCTTTGGCGCAGGCATCGCCGCCATTCAAAAGTACGGCGGCGCGGCCGAGGGCTCGCGCACGATGATGGACGCGCTCCTGCCGGCCATGCGCGCCAGTGAATCGGTACATCCGACGTAAAGCAACCGCGTCATGGGATGGCGTAGGACGCGACGGGAGCTGCGCTCTGGACCAACGTGGTGCAGGCGGCCGAAGCCGGCGCGGAAGCGACCAAGCACGTGCTCCCAAAGAATGCGTTTGGCCGCTCGAGCTACGTGGGCGCCGAATTCGCCAAGAACATTCCGGACCCGGGGGCCATGGCGGTCGCGTTCTGGCTCGCGGCGCTCGCCCAGGCGTATGCATAAGCTCTCAAGAGTATGTTGACATCAAGCGCAGTCTACTGGGTTGACGAGGGTCCTTCTTACTGACGCGGCTTTTGCTGCATGTCTGTCAGGAGCTTGTGGCTCAGGCGCACGAGCGTCGCTCCTTCTTCCGGCGTCATGTCACCTGCCGCACTAGCGATAATAGCATGGGTACAAGCCGTTCGAGTCCGTGTCATCGTACCTCCATCGCACGCGGCCCTTGGCGTCAACGAGCTGGACGTAGCCGACAAAGCTGTTGTTCAGATCCAGCGTCGTCCGAAAGGCGTTGCAGCGGCCGAAGTGCGTCAACGTCTTCTCGAGGTCGGTCGTCTTGGCCTTGAGGCCGTTGCGGATCATGCCATTGAACGCCTTCCAGTACCACTCCTCTACAATGTTGAGCTGGAGAACCTGGACCGTCTTCTTGTCGCCAAGCGCCGCCTCAAAGTGGGCGCGCCACGGCACGATGTGGTCAAAGCCCGAGTTCTTGAAGCACGTGAGGAGCAGCGTGAGCTTCCCGCCCGTGAGGTTCTTAATGTCGTAGTCCGAGCCGTTGAGGTTGTTGACGGCGAGCGACGGCATGAGCGGCGCCTTGGCCACAGGCACGAGCTCCATGGGCGCGACCTACGCATCCGAACCATGAGCGCCGATGCGATGTCGGCGTGGCGGCGTACGATCACTTTGCCGTTCGTATCGTTGAACTCCTTCATCTCCTTGAACTTGTCGGGCACGTACTCCTTTGGGCGCTTGGCGTCGATCTCCTTCATCATGTCTTCCATCGTGTGCATGGCTTCTTTCCAGTTCTCGAGCACGCTCTTGTCGGCTTGGTACACGAGCTCTACGAGCGTCCGTCAGCATGGCAAGGAGCTATCTGCGAGCCTACCGCGGTCGCTGGCCATGGCCCGGCGCGGCTTGGCAGGCGGCGCCTCCGCGGGCGGCGTCGAGCTCAGGAAGCGGGCGACCGACGGCCCATGGACCGCGATGCGCGAAGTCCGCCGAATGTGCGCCAGCATTTTGGGTACTGAAGCACACCAATCGCAGATACTACGAAATACGCTCTCAACTTCGACCTTTCACACTTCGAAACCAAACTCTTCCTGCTCACAAGATATCGGCATCAAGCCCATGGCCCTCTTCAAGCACGCGATGAGCTCCATGCTACTTACTGCTTAGTCCGAGCCCATGCTATGAGTGACGATACACACCGGCGGGGCTGCGTCACTCCCAGAAGCAGCCGACAAACAGGAGACAGAAGTGACCAAGTGTGTCCATGTTGAGATTAGATATCGGGCTAGGCCTACAGTAGAGAAAGACATGCAAGTGACTCTTTTGGTACAAAGCCCATCCACCACGTCAAGGTAGAGTCACATCGGATGGGAAAAAGATAGGTGCAAGCACCGACATGCAAGAATACATGGAGTTCCCAATCGGCCTACCTCCCAGACGCGTCACTGGAAGAAGATGCATACGTATCCCACGTGCAGACCTCGGCGGCTTGATATCGCGCGCCTCGCATGCCCATGTTGCCGTTGCCGACCGTGTCACCCCGTATCCAGACCACATACACCTTCGCGTCCGACTCGAGCTGCGCGACCCGTGGCTCGTCCTGCTGCGCGCTTGCGGTTGTTCTGCTGCTGCTGCTGCGGCACGCGATCACACACTGCTGTGGCGCTCTCGCGCTCGTACTGCTGCTGCGCTCGTTCTCATGCTGCGCTCGTCCTCATTCTGCGCTCTTGTGCTCGTGCTCTGCGCCGTTGTAATCCGTTGCTGCGGCCATCGCGCTCGACCCGTGCTGCTGCTGCTACGTCTGCTGCCCGCTGGCGCTTCTCATTCTCGTGCTTGCGGTGCTTCGTCGTCGCGCTGCCGGCTTGATCGCGTTCGCTTCGTCGAGGAGGCGAGGACGCAGGGATCTATTCAAGCCTGGGCTACCGGGCGGGGCCACCGCCGTAGAATGCGAGTCTACCGCTGTCTGGGGCTCGGCGCGAATTGGGAACTGAGCAGCGCAAAGCAACGGCCCACCAGCTCTGTCCGGATTGGCTGAAATCTTTAGCACCCTACCCCTGCACTATATACTGTACTCAAGTGTACTTGTCTGCAACCGTTGAGATCGCCTCCGATTGGCCAGCACAAAGATTCGAAACTTTCGTCTGCCCTGTCGCCCAACTGAATATCGTCGCTAGTCGACTAGCAAAGAGGTTTTACCCAAAAACCCAGCTTCGAAATCGAACGTATACTGCATTTGTACCAGGCGTCAGGCAGTATCACCCAGAAAAACCGTACTTTTTCGGGTGCTTTGGGATAAAGCTGCCCCTCCTCTGCAGCGGCGCGCTAGTCGATTAGTCAACGAAAGTGCAACGTCGCTGGTCGCATAGGGATGTGCAGCCTAGCAGCGCTGGCGGCAGCTTTGGCGCAACCGCCTGCGCAGCACGCTCGCAGTTGGTCGACTTGAATGAAGCATGGGCAGTCATCGCCATCAGAGATCACCCTCGACGGCGTAGGCGACACGGTGCCAAGCAGTACATGAGCATGATGCGGGGTGTGGAGGAGCTGCCTTGTTGGATGACACCGCCACTACGTCGTACTTCGCCTGTGAATGAGCGCTGTCGATGGGCTGGCGGGACCGCCATTTCAGCAATCGGACGATTCACTCGGTAGGATTTAGCCACCTCAGAGGCGCGAGTAGGTCAGCGTCGCGTCCGTCGTGGTCTCTATGGTGCTGAGCTGGCTTTCGCTCTCGCTCGTTGCGCCGTACATGAAGAACGACTGCCTTTTGCCCAACTATTACGCGAGCAATGCGTCGCACTTGCTCACGCATAGCTTCGACATGGAGCTGGCGTTTGCTTCGCAGACGGCGAGCGGCTGGACCACCGGCGTCTTCCGCACCGGAGCAGGCAACCCACGCAAGCACTTCTGCGAGTAGCTATCGGCGCCAGCGCTGGCGATACAGAGTCTGCGCGAAATGAACAGCTCAGTTTTTCTGTTGGTTGGACGAGGAACGTCAATGGGAGATGGTGTACACGTGGCGCAACAAGCTCGCTGCTAAAAGCGTCATTCAACCAACGCGGCCGTGTACTTGGAAGCAACATTTTGCGCAACATTGACCTAGAGCGTCCACGAAACGAATGGGTACCTGACTGCGAACTCGAGCGCTGCAGGTGCCACGTGGCTGGCGCAGCTCCTGGCCACAACCGCGCCAGTCCCCATTCTCGGCGAGGTCGCTCTCTGGGCCGCGCACAACCTCTCGCACTTTACACTTGCAACCGCATCCAGGTCGGCCTCAAAGCTATTGTACTTGTACAGAATGCCCTCGGCTTCCCAGACCCAATTTGGCAAGTCGATTCCAATGACGCTCTTGGGTCGGGCTGGACGGTCGCATGCAACGACTTGCTGACGGCAGTCACGGAAGCCCATCGCCTCTTGTTGCGACAGCTCCATCCTCTGCCGTACGCTGCAGCCTCTCGTGCATGCAGTTTGTGGGCACCAAGGGTGACCACCGGCATCTCTGTCGCTTGTTGTTGGCATGCACACCTGTCGCCATACACTGATGTGGCTTCAAAGCCTCGTCGCCGTGCACGCTTTGCCCGCACCGGCCTTGCAACCACGCACCAAGGTTTTCGCGATCTCCAGCTCACGCGCAAGTCGATTGTCGCGTCGGCGCTGCTCGCTGGCGAGGCCTTGCACCTCGTTCGCACGGTGCTGCAGTCGTACTACTACCACAAGATTACAGCGGCCGCCAATGGTCTCCACTGCTAGTCTCTTGGCTCGGGGCGTCGTTCAAGCAACGGCCGCGGTGCATCGAACGTGTCTCAACCTCAGCAACATGATTTACTGCACACGTGGCTTGGTCGACGTCGGGGGCGTTGTGCGCAGCGAGTGTTTTTGTGCAGCTCGTGTGGCTTGTCGTCGGTGCCGGCACCCACGTGTCGCCCAGCAGCCTCTGCCGCACCGCTCCAGCACAGCTTCCCATATCAATATCGCATGATCTCGATCTACTCCCAGCTGCTTGTGCATTCGCTTTGATATGGAGAGACCTCGCACCGAACGACGAACGATGTCCAATCTCGAAAAGTATCAAGTCGATAGTTCAAATCCTGTTTCGAAAAACCACTGTTTGTGCCAGAATATCGAATTTCGTCGGAATGGTTATCCGGAACCCACTTTCGTTGCAATGGAGAACTGGACAGCGCGGCAGGTGGCCGACTGGGTCACGCGGTCCGGCTTCGCCGAGTACGCGCCGGTACGCTGCCGTCGCTTGGAGCCTAGCCTCATGACGCTGTTTAGACCTTTGAGAAGAATGACATCACGGGCGGTTTGTGTCGGCGCTCGCAGCAGCACCTGCTTATGAGCTGGATTAGATGTCCTGCCCACCATCACAAACGACGTGCTCCGAGAGGACCTCAAGGTCAGCGCCTAGGCCACGCATCAAGCTTGCGAACGCAAATCCA